AACAACTGGTCCGCGGACCGGTACCGGCTCGCGAACAAGTCCTACCGGGCCGCTGGTTTGCTGGGCGCCGCCATCTTTTTTTGATGAAAAAGTTATTCCGGTGAGCTTTTCCGGGTAGAAAGCTCACCGGAAGCACTTTTTCATCAAAAAAAGATGGCGGCGCCCAGCTAATGCCGGTACCGGGCCGCGGCATAAGAAAGGTTGGGGATCACTGCTGTAGCTAATTGGAGCACAGTGTAGTAAGTGAACCAGATGGCCCTAAGTGTGCCAATTCAAGTTGGAAAGCCCAACATTTGGTCCAATGGAAGTAGGACACTACGCATTTTTTACTTGCTGTCTCTTCCATTTCCATATATCTGTTCTCTTTCTTTCTGATCAGAGCGCTGGGCAGCATCTTCTCTCTTTGCTGTCATTTTTATTTTCTAAGAAAACTATTTGGGGCATTTTGAGATGTAGCACAGAATCAGTCCCAGAAATATAGCTTATACCCCAAAAGGCTGTCTCTTTGCTTTTATGCAGGCCAGCTTCTCTTCTATTCCTTTTTCATTAAAAGCATCTAAATAAATAAGCAACAAGTGAGCAGGTGAGGCACAGAGTTTCAAGAAAGATATTTATGGTTGGCATGTTGGTGACCCAAAACCTAAAGCCATAATTGGTGAAATGCCTGGGCCTTGGTGCTGAGGTCCCAGTGGCAGAAGGACCAGCAGATAAGAGCTGTATGAGCAGGAATAGGATTTGACCGGTATAACTACCGGTTCTGTCAGTAGTCAAGTCGCATGAGTGCAATTTACAACCTGCTGAGCTGCCCAGACAGCTGAGCAGCGCTGCATGCAAGTGCACAGCGGTTGGAAAAGATCTTTCTTCCAAGAATGGAAACTTAGATTTCATGTTGTTCTTAGAGTTCTATCTAAGGAGGGAATCAAATGGAATTAACTTTTTCTGAAGAATCAGTTGTTCTACCATGCTCAGTTGGCAGAAGCAACATCTATAGTAGCACAGGCAGTTTTGGACTTCCAACTACAATTGTAAGCAATTCTGTTGCTAAGTGAGAAGTTTGTTAAGTGAGTTTTGCCCAATTTTAAGATCTTACTTGCTACAGTTGTTAAGTGAGTGACTGCAGTTGTTAAGTTAGTAACACAGTTGTTAAGTGAATCTGGCTTCCCCATTGATTTTGTTGTCAGAAGATCTTGTTAGATCACGCTGATCACGTGACCTTGTAACAGTGCCACCATCATAAATATGAGTCAATTGTCAAGTGTCTGAATTTTAATTACATGACCATGGAGATGCTGCAATGGTCGTAAGTGTGAAAAATGGTCATATGTCACTTTTTTCAATGCCATTATAAGTTTGAATGATCACTAAACAAGCTGTCATAAATCGAGGACTTCCTACATGAGATACATTCATTGTATGGCAAATAAGCACATCACTAGTATATTGCATAGCTAAAGTGTTGGCAATTGGCTGGCTGTCTATACCGCACACCTATCAGTCTGAGTTGTGTTAACAAAGGTCAGATGAAATGGGCTGAATGCCACGGCTGAAAATAGATCTTTATGCTTTACAGAAATGAACTTAGTCAGCAGAGATGAAGTAGAAATAATCATTATTTTAGTCATCCTTGCAGTCTGAATCTTGCAACTGTTCTGAAACTAACTTTGAAGTAGGTCTGTAGATTCCGCTCAGAGAAAGGAAACTGATAGTGGTACTTGCGTTTCAGGAAGACTAAAAAAATGATTAGGTCCCAGAGATAGGCTTCATCATGGGACCTTCAATTTGGAAAGATGGACGAAAGAAAGCATATTTGCGTCTTGGCTGTTCAGTTTCAGGCATAAGCGAAATATTATTTTTATTATTGGAGAGCTAGTTGTTTTGGTGACTAAGGCATCACACTAGAAACCTGCCTCCACAGTGTACTTTTATTGTAAATTGCCTTGATTATGTGAATAATGTAAAATACTTATTAGTGTTGTAAGGCTACTAAAATATGCCTCTGAGACTATGGTAGGCTATTCCCAAGGACTGGACTATTCTAAATCTGCCAGTTTCCCTGGGCAGACTTTAAATACCTTAATTTAAAAATAAGAGTCACATACTTTTTGTGGAAAATAAGTGTTCTGCAAACAATTGAAATGTGGCAATGGATTTGTTAAGTAACAAAATATAAAGCAAAAGCCATGCCTATTAAAATTTTAAACTGTACTTGGATTCTTAGGCCAAGCTAGATGTTGCATATAGGTTGTATGGAAGGGTCTCCACATTTATATCAGTTTAAAAAAATTAAATGGTATGTTTTGACTGAGATCAGGACTGCTGCATAAAAACTCTTCCCTATTCTTTGAACATGTATTGAAAATTTGAAATGCCATCAAAACTGACCAAGGAGGAAACAAATTATAGTACATTTTCTTCCTCAAAGTAAGAGGCTATATTGAGACACAATTCTTCCAAAGAGACAGGAGATCCTGATACCATCATACTACCTAGCCTGTTTCAGTATATAGAGTATATTTCAAAGAGAAATACCGAAAATGAAACTGATTCAGAAAATTAAAATAAAACCTTTCTGCCTTTTATTATTCAGAGACACAAACATCCAGGCTGGGGAAGAAATGTAGTACAAGAAATGGGAAGGGCTGTGGAAGGCTCGTGTAAAGCAGCTTGATTTTGTGAAGTTGCTTTGCCATCATCTGAAGCTTTCTTATATGCCTTGCTAGGCCCCGCTGTCTAAAAACTATAGTTGTCTAAGTCACAGGGGTCTCCAACCTTGGCAAGCTGGCTGACGAATTCTGGAAGTTGAAGTCCACAAGTCTCAAAGTTGCCAAGGTTGGAGATCCCTGTTTTCATCTCAGACCAATTGTCTTTAATTCTCTCCACCTCCATACATTTCGTAGGGCTTTCAGGAAAAGATTAAGATTTGGGAGAATCCACAGCTGATATGGCATGAACCTTTCACTATTGCGTGAACTATTCTTAAAGGTTCTCCACTGTTGTTATTTTAATTGGCGTACTGATATTTAATTGATATTAGTACTGGTGCCACTATAAGATGACTCAGAATCTATTTAGGATGCATTGTTTTTATGAAGATATATGATGCTTCTTATATTCTTCTAATTTAAGAAATAATGGGCATTTGCTGGGTTAAAATTTTTAAAAGTTACCGTTTTGTAACTTACTACATTTTGTAATGTGGTCGAACATTACGTGACTTCCTGCTGTAGGAATTAATCTAAGTTTTTCCAATATTTCACTGTCTTTTACTTTACTTTCAGACACTTTCAATCCTTAGGAGCAAACTAATTTTACTTTGGGAATTCCTGTTACAGTTTAAAATTTGGGGTCCTGCTCTGCCCCATCCCACAGTGACCCCTCACAATCAATGCAACCTCTTTGCAGAAAGACACACTCAAGTCCTGGAGTATTTCAACATTTCTATAACTTCCTTCTGTCACACATTCTCTTGTATCAGGCAAATGCTCTGTTGGATTGCATATTACCTCTCAGTAAATATCTGTGCTATAGATCCCAGCAGCTTAGTATCCTTTCATTAAATCACAATCTGGTGCAACTGAATGGTTTGGAAAGGGCCTGATTTGTAGAACCGAATAGTGCAAAATAATTGATTTTATGCACGATGTTATGCTACCCAGCTCTCTTTTTTTTTTCAAATAACGTCTTATGTATGAATTAGGCTAGCAGCTTATCTGTCGAGTATCTTAATGGATACCAAGCACTTTTGGCTAAGCAGTCTGCGTGTCAGGACAGTTTTCTCTTCCCACCTCCCTGATCCGGAGGAAACCTGCCGCTTTCTGACATGCCTGCGGACGAGGGTGCGGAAGTCTTTTTTGTGTTGCTGGCGATTTCGCAACCGACATTCACGCCCCAGAGCTCGGTCCGATCCGGCCCGGTTCGCTTTCTTATTGCAGCCCCGGTTGCACCGACTAAGACGAGGGTCGTCTCCCAACCTTGGCAAGTTTAAGACTTGTGGACTTCAACCCCCAGAATTCCTGAGCTAACACGACTGGAGGAGGAATTCTGGGAGTTGAAGTCCACAAGTCTTCAAACGCTGTCAAGTTTGAAAGATCGCCTGGAGTTAAGATCTCAAGGGGATCGATCCGTTTTGCCCGAGCTTCCGCTGTCTCGCAAGCCGCCGCCCCCAGGTGGCTCCGGCGGGAGCCTGGCCGGGCTCAGCAAAACTCAACTTCCTGGCCTGACTTTTTGACAGTGACAGCCTCCCTCCGGGCCCCACCCGACCCAGGGAGAAGCAGCTCTTCCTCTTCTCCAAACGAGCCTCTTCCTCGCCCTCTCCAGCGCATCGCAACGAGGAGAAGGGGCAGGAGAAAGCCAGCCAGCTGGCAGAGCTACAGTAGGGGGAGGAGGGCTGAAATCTCAGTTTAGGACGCCGAATGCACCACGTCCTGCGGGGCTCTCCCGGCTGAGCCGCAGCAAGCGCCGATCCACGTGTCAGGAAGGACCCCCTTGCCCACTTCCCCAGCGGGACTCTCCCGCTTCCAATAAGAGGGGCGTCGGCGGCAGCAAGATCAAGATGACGGCTTCCAGGAAGAGAAGGAGAGCAGCGCCTCCCTTACCTGGCTTAGCTGGCTTAGGCGGCGGCTTGGACATCGCTGCGTCCAAGTTTGCACAGCCAAGCCTCCGCGATCGCCGATCCTAGCGCTGAGCCGGCTCGCTCGCCGCCTCCAGATCGCCCGTCAGCCTTTCCCCGGCGGAGGATTTGGGGAGCGGCGCGGCTCGGGAGCGACCGACGAAGCTCGGAGGGAGCGGGGGTGGGGTGGAGATCGGGTGGACGTCCCAGATGAGCTCTCTCGGCGAGGGCACGAAAGGTGCTGTTGCAACGACGAGGAAGTGCGGCTTGGTCGCAGACTGCCTCCCCCTAGAGGTCAGGGAAGCGCACGGCAGGAAGAGCGAAGGGAACCCGGCGAAGGCGGAATCATCCCAGGAGGGGGCGTTTCCCGCGCGGGAAACTGGCGGGGGGGGGGAATCGACAAACAGGGCGACGAATCACAGCGCGCGAAGCTCCAATAAGGGGAGGGGCGATCCCCTTAAGGCTCCCGGACTGACTGCGAGGGTTTGACCAATCGGAGCGCAGCGGTGCGGCCTCGTGCCCGCGTTCTTGGTTGTACAAGCAAGGTTAAGCGCCTCTGCCTTTTTTTTTTTCTGTGGTAGCGGCTTCTAATGGGGTGATAGAAGTGGGAGGGGCTTGGAGCCTCTCTTTGCGGGCTGAAGGCAGGCTCCGCTTGGCTTGTCTGAGGGAGGTGTTTCCGCGCTTTGCTCTGAAGAGGAGAAGTGTGAGTTGCTTTGTTTGCGTTGCTTTTGCTTCTCTGCCTTAGGGCATCTCTGAACAGAAGCCCTTGTAGAATTCACCTTCCTTTAAAAAAAAAAAAAATTCGAAAATCTGACCTCGTTCTCTGCAGTGTGTGGTTGCAAACGCACTAAAAGTGTGTGATTGCAGATTGTGGACGTTCTTGGGCAATCTGTACTTTTGGCCCCTTAATGATGTGTTTGTGTTTTGAATGCGATTGTCAGCATTCCGGGTCTTTTCTTGAGTTGAGTAACCTTGTGCTATCGGTCTTCCTTAATGGTGGTTTTTGTTTTCTATGGCTGCTTTCAAACCAGCGCTTTATGGTAAGAAAAAGATAACATAAGTGGGGGAAGGAAAGAAGGGTAACAAACATAACTGAAATTATGTTTAGAAAGCCGAGCCAATACTATATGGGGTAAAAATCCTATTCATAACCATTTATGTTTCTGTACAAAACATCCTTCCCTCAAAACGACACTATAGAGCACTGCACACCAGAACAATTAGACACAAGAACAGTTTTTTCCCAAAAGCCATCACTCTGCTAAACAAATAATTCCCTCAACACTGTTCAACTATTTACAAAGTGTGCACTACTATTACTATTAATCTTCTCATCACTCCTTGTCACCCATCCCCTCCCACTTGTGGCTGTATGACTGTAACTTTGTCGCTTGTATCCTTATGATTTATATTGACTGTTTCCTAGTATGATTTGATTGCTTATTGTACCCTATGACTATCATTAAGTGTTGTATCTTATGATTCTTGACTCTTGATGAATTTATCTTTTCTTTTATGTATACTGAGAGTATTTACACCAAGACAAATTCCTTGTGTGTCCAAGCACACTTGGCCAATCAAGAATTCTATTCTGTTCCTGTTCCTATCCTATCCTATCCTATCCTATTCTAAAAAGGGTTTAAACATCACCCATCAAACCCATTTGTAATTATACCATGTTTCCCCCTTATACGGATCATTCGTGGTTTGGATGAATCAATGAGAATACTGGACAATTATAATGGAAATTGCTTAAAATTCTGCCTTAATGAATGAAATAAGTAACTGTAAATGAGAAGATAATTCATACTGCACTTGTTACTCATTCATTGATCATGTGCCATTAAGTCTGTGTTGACTCTTGATGACCATATATAGACTTTTCCCAGGGTGATCTAAACCCAACCTGGCACTTCATATTGTTCAATTAGGACACCCATTGTTGCTGTAATTTCCGTTCGCCTTCCTGATCGTGATCTTCTCTTTTTTCCTCCCACCTTTCCTAGCATCGTAGACTTCTTCACAGAACTATATCTTCACATAATGTGTTCCAAATACAGGTTGTCCTTGGCTTACAATCTGAATTGAACTGGAATCTTCATAGCTGAACAAAGCAGTAATTAATCAGGATGTCACATGACAGTTTTGCTCAATGAGTGCAATCCCTGCACACCCAATTGTGGTTAATTTGTGGGTGGCCAACAGGAAGGAATAGAAGGTAAGATAGATACCACAGAAGGTAAAGAGGACTGGAAGCCTTAGAGGTGGGAAGGCCAGCAAAGACCACATGCAAGTGCTTTTCCTTCCTGCTAAAATCCAAGCAAGATTTTTAGCCTTAAGCAGAGAGACACACGTGCCTAACCTTCACCTGGCCTCCCAGGGCCTCTCCATCCCCAAAGCACCCTGCACTCCTTTTCTTTACTGTTCTGAGTCTCCATTCTGGAATATCCTGTTTAAATTTCGGGTTCCTCCCTGCTGAAGGATGTCAGCTCCTGAGCTTTTCAGGTATAGATATGTCACAGTACTTGATTTCTTCCAAAGCTTTTGCTGCTACCCTACCAAATTCTAGTCTATGATGTAATCCTGGGTTCCATTACTGTTTATACAGATAGTCCTCGACATACGACCACAATTGGGCCCAAAATTAATGTTGTTAAACGAGACATTTGTTACGTGAATTTTGTCCCATTTTAAGTCCCATTGACTTTGCTTGTCAGAAGGTCGCAAAAAGTGATCACATGATCCCAGGACATTGCAGCTGTCATAAATATGAGTCAGTTGCCAATTTATGCCAATAGTCATAAGCAGGGGTGGGCTGCTGGGGGTTTGCAGGGGTTCGGGAGAACCCTTAGCTAAGATTCTGTGCAGTATGGAGAACCCCCAAACCCCACTCCTGGCTGGCCCTACCCGCCCCGCTCCACCCCTCCCAGGAGTCCCCACGTGGCCTGTTTTGGATGCAGGTAAGTGCAGGGCGCGCACAGAGGCTTGGGGAGGGCGAAAATGGGCCTCCCGGAAGTTCGGAAGGCCAGAAACGGGCACATTTCCGGCTTCCAGAGAGCCTCTGGAGCCTGGGGTGGCCGTTTTTGCCCTCCTGGAGGCTTGAGGAAAGCCTCTGGAGCTCGGGGAGGGCAAAATGGCCCATCCCCCACCATGGTACAGGAGGCCGACTAGGCCACGCCCACCATGGCCACACCCATCCAGCAACCGGGCAGAGAACCCGTTGCTAAAATTTTTGAAGCCCACCCCTGGTCATAAGTCACTTTTTTCATTGATGTTGTAACTTTGAACAGTCACTAAATGAACTGTTGTAAGTCGAGGGCTATGTGTATTCAGTCCTACAAAGCAGGAGCTATCCATTACTTCAATATGTTCTTTGGCAAGTCTGAGGCTGGTTGTTGTATCAGTTGCCATTAATTTAGCCATCTTTATATTTAATCAGATTGGTTGTCTTCACTTGGCTCTTTGATTTACAATAATAGAGTTAGTAGATCATTTACACTTTCACCTTTCAAAGTAGTGCTGTCAGCATGGCACAGTTCTCTTCCTCCAATTTAAAAATCATGAGCATTTTCAATTAATAAATAAGAAAACAAGGAATCTCCTTTGCAGACTTGGAAAAAGTCGATTACACCATGTTCCATCCTGACTGTAACTTCCTTTCTTGTTCCATTTAAGTTTACTTGTATTAGGAACTGCAGTCTTATTCAACAAACACAGAGCTTTTATTTACAAACAATTGTAAATTGTTGGTATAATTTGAATAGGGCTGTGTCTTACAGTCATTTTGATATCAACATCAATCTTATTTTTGCCGGGTTCAGTGACGATGGGAAAAAATACTTTGTTCTGCAGGTGATAGTGTTATTCATGAATCATTTATGCTTATGTAACATTGCTCTTTACAGTTTATTTTGGAGCCATGTTCTACTGTTTTGAAATACTTTTTGCATCCCAAAGGGTTCAAAGCCCTTCATCCTTATGTAACTGATAAAAGACTTGGAAGCACTTGTAAAATAATAGTTAATTAACAGCATATAATCCAGATGCATTCAAGGTTATTAGTATTCGTAGTCATAGTTTTGCCTATTTTATAAAAGCACTTAAACCTGAAAAAAAAACCAAACCATTGTGAAGTGTTCGAATTTAACAAAACAGCCTATTTTATGTTCATGTGTATTAGGGCTAGGCAGTACTTCAGATTCCGTTCCAAAAAGGTGTTTTGAATGGTATAGCTATAAAAAGTAGGATGCCTAGTTTATACTGTGGAAAGAACCTTGGAACAGAAGATGAACACAAGCTGCAATGTAACATAAATATTTAAAAGTCCAATTTTATGCCACATCAGTAGAAGAATAATGTCCAAATAACAGAAAGTAATAATTAATAGTAAATATTAATAATTAAACCTGTGACTATCACTGACTCTGGGTAATTTAGATAATACCAATGGCCAGGGCATCTCAGGGAGAACGTCATTCAAGAGGGGAGGTGCTATGGCAGAGAAGGCACACTTCCTGAGATTAACTGAGGAACCAGGTGAGTGCCCATCTACTGGAACAAACTGGCTGGCAGATACCATGGAATATAGATGGACCCTCAAGTAATCATGCCCTTTGCCAAATACAGAACACAGTATATTTTTATGTATTATTTTTCGTGAAAGATTCAGAGAATCTGGATGATTATGAGCCATAAAATAATCAAGGGATTAAAAATCAATTGTCAGGAGAAGAGATCCAGTACGTTTGGCTCAAAAAAATATTAACTCTTCCAGGATCTTTGGATAAACAAATGATTCTCACTAAATAACACACAGCACATAACTGTTTCTTTTGTTATTATTTAGCTTTATTATTTTTTAGATTTTTTTTTAATGCCGCCTTTATTGCTTTATAAGTAACTCAAGGTGAAGAACATCCAGAATACTCTTTCTCCTCCTGTTGCGTCCACAACTCTGTGAGGTGGGTTGGGCTGAGGGACTGGCCCAAACAGCTTTCATGTCTAAGGTGGGATTAGAACTCAACAGCCTCCTGCATGCACTTTTATATTTTCTCGGGGCATATATATAGGGGCATAGCAAAGATGATGATTATATGTACGTAAAATGTCTCCCCACCAGATCCCTGTCCAATCCTCCTTTTTATAGTTCATTTACTTTGTGTCTCAGCTGAGATTTCATTGATTGCTCTCACTGTTGAGCCACGTAGATTTTCCTCTTTCTTATGTAGTTTTTCAAACAGTGGCCTGTCTAGCCCGGTTTTAGAGTCCCTTGCTGGCGTAGCTCAATTTAAAAATATACAAAGGTTCCATAAGCTAAAAAAAAAAAGCTAATGGACATGCTCTTGATTTTATCTTTTCAATTTAATGTTTAGGTTGTAAAGGAACAATGAAAACATTGGTCATTGGACTTGGAGGGTAAGTATGAATAGGAATTTGAAATCCTCTTTTCTTATTTTATGTATCAATATATATAAATACAGATGGTCCTCATTTAATGATCATTTGCTCAGTATGTATTCTTTTCACTGCATGTTAAACAGTATTTATATTTTTTATTTATATAATTTACATTTATAAAGGCTGCCCTATTCAGCTTTGGCTATTATTGGCATACAATACCAATAAAATACCATTAAAAATTATGACACTTTCTGTAATAATGATTGCCATGTCTAAATCTATGTTCTAGTGTACTATGAAAATATTCAGTGTATATGAAATTGCAGTTTCCACTGCTGTTGCAATCCTAGTTCTAATATTTTTGCTGTTGCAACCACACAAATACTTTTAAGAACCCTGCTCTCAGGAAGGAAAATGACAAATACTGAATGATCATTGTGCATTTATTCTGTAGAAGATAATTGACAGAGAACGCCCTTATGCAGCTATAATAAATAACCTTCTGGCTACTTAAAAATTAAAAAAATCATTACATTTGACTAGATACAAAGCAATTGCAGAGTAAACAAAGCTATTAACAGTGCTCTCTACTGTACAGTTTGTTCTTCTCAACATTTTTTCTCCCCATTTCCAATTCAGTGTAACAAATGGAGGCAAATCAACCCTGGCAGGAAAGCTGAAGAAATTGTTCCCCAATTGCACTATAATTTCCCAAGATGACTTTTTTAAGGTAACAAGTTTAAAAAAACTTTACACTTTGATACTTTGCTTTGTTGCAGAAGTGGATTTAACTTTGTTGATTCCAGTGCCCACAAAGATTCTTTGCCCTACAGTGAGTCTATGCAGTGATGGACATCAAAAGTTAATATGACTTACCCAGTGTGATTAGAGTTCTCAATTAAATAGGGCAATATTTCTTAGTCTCAGCAACTTTACATGTAATCCTTGTTTACTGACCACAATTGGGACCAATAACTCCATCACTAATCCATGGAGTTGTTAAGCAAGACATCATATGGCTGCAACTTGTGATTTTACTGCTAGCTTCTCCATTGACTCTGCTTGGCTGTGAAATATGCAAATAATAATAACATGAATCACAGAATGCTGTGATAATTATATACACCCATTGGCTGTTAAGTGCCCAAATGGTGATTGTGTGATTGATTGTGGGGTAAGTGCAAGAATAGTCATAAAGTTACCCTTTCAATGCATTGCAACTTCAAACAGTCATTAAACTAAAGCAGCTGTTAAGCAAGGATTGCTAGTATTTGAACTTCAATTCCCTAAATTCCCCAGCCCTTTTAGGCAGCGTCCTAAAACTGCTGAGATTAAGAAACATTGATGTAGGAAATTAATGTGTGTAAAAATGGTGCCTCATTGCAGAATTTCTCCTCACAGTATAGAAGTAGGTCAGCATGTAAAGCTCTAGTTATTTTGTCATGGAAGTTTTAATCCTCTGCACTTTGGAATGGCTGCTAAGTTTCTAGAAAATCAGCCAAATTGACCTGATCTCAAAATTACCAAAACAATGATCTCAAAAATTGCGGAAAAGACTCTTCCCTTCATTTGTTTTCCTGTATTGTTTGTCTATTCAAACATTTCAAACTTTGTGTCAACCCTGGAGCCATCTTTGAGCATCTTCAGGGTTGCCACAGTGAGGCTGGCTGGAGCTGTGGGAAAGGAAAGGAGTAGTAGAGATAGCTGTGGGGAATATGTAGCCAAAATAACATTCTTTCTTCTGTGAAGCAAGGACATTGTCACCAGCACCTGGAGGGGCATGGATGGAAGGCATCCAGGATGGGAAGAAAGACCTGGTGGGAGCATGTGATAGTTGTGTGTAATGTGGGGAAGAAATTTGGATTTTGAACTGGGTGGGGAAAACCCAGGGGACTTCAGATTCGGGTTTTCACCAGCTGTACCAATATGACATGCCTAATAAATCTATACTTTGAGGAACCCTGCCTTGGAGTTTTGATTTCCTATGGGCTGTTACTTGGAATCCTATTTTGATTTTTCTTGTTCTGTAAATTATTATCTCACGAACTTGGCAAATACCAGTTTTTAAATGAAAGAATGTGGCTTGTGGGAGGTGTTTTTTTTTAATTATTAATGCACAGGAATTGAATTTACTTGGTACAGAATGATAGCGATAATATCATTAACGTTAAGTGTAAATTGCCTCTCTGTGTTAAGATTTGCAGCCACTTATCCTGTGGGTTTGTACCATACTCTCCATAACGTTAATATGTTTGGTTTTCTTTAGCCTGAATCTGAAGTAGCCAAAGATGATCACGGATTTCTGCAGTACGATGGTAAATATTCTGGGTTTTTTAAAATATATATTTTGAAAACTCAAAAGAGAGATCTGGATGGCCCCCCACCCTTACGGCATTCAAAAAACTATTAAAAGGCCTTGCTATTTTCTCAAGGTTTTGGGCAGGATGATGGTTGTGCCCCTTTTGGATGGGCTTCCTGGCTCAGTCATAATTTCTCTTCTGTTTTTTTGTATTGCTCTTACTTTTCACCTGTAAGCCACGTAAGAGTAATCAGGAGCCAAGTGGCTTCTAAATTATATATACATACCTGCAAATGTATAAATTATAAAATGTAATACTGAAAAATACAATTTTCAACAAGACATTTCAATGATCTGAGTCTTTGTACCATAGCACAAAGGCATCCAATTTATAAATGAGAAGGCCCTTTCTGTTTCTAGACAGCGAAGGTCTTCTCTGCTCAATCTGGTTCTCCCTTTCCTAGATGTCCTGTACCAGCAACCAAGTGTTCAGAGGAAATCTGCATTTTACTTTGTTTAACTACTTATAAAGCTTGCTCTATTATGGAAATAGCTTGTTCTTGGAATGCAAATGTGCTACGTTTGCCTACAAAAACAACTAGCTGGTTTAAAAGCTGTTAATATAAATAAGATACTTGGCAGCAATAAATGTGATCAACTTGTTCAGGTTCAGACAGCCCCAATTGTTGTGCAATGCAGCCAATTATTAAATTTTTGAATTGCAACATAATAAGCATTCACCATAAATTGAATTGGCTTAGGAAAGCATAATCAGCCTTTGGGGATTGTGGAACGTCATCACATATGAATGAGATGAATCACATTTTCACCTCCTTCATAGATCTGAATTGAACTAGCAGAAAGAAATATATATGAGAAAAGAAAAGACAAAGGAATTAATCTCGTTCTAGGATAAAGATAATTTATGTAAAAGCTTTAGGCTGTCTTAAAGCTGTCTGGATTTAGAAAGGACTTGAGTGCCTACAAAAGTCAGTTTATTGTTGGAATATAAATATTTTCATTAAGTAGTTAAATGGAAAACAGTTAATCATGAAAATACAATAAGCAAGTTTACAGCTAGCATTAATGAAATTCAGTAACACTCTGCCCCAGTTTGACTGTAGGGTAGTTCATCTCAAACTTGTTCATTAGAAAGATAATATTTTGATTCCACATTTTTGCCAAGCAGAGAAACTTGTCCAGACTGTTCAGATTCACTTTTTAAAAAACATTTTAAAGTTAGGGAACCCTCACTAATATATTTTGATTATAAATAAATGTGTTAGCTTACTTCCTTCATATAGCTTTGAAAAATGAAATGTAACCAACTGTTCTAAGTATGACGTTCTACTGCCTTAAAAGAATTCATATACTTATTTTAATTCATTTTGCTTAAGGAGAACATAATATTTCACTTTATATACTAAATGATAAAGATTTAAAATTTAGTACAGTCCAAACTATACATGAGAAGCTGAAACTATTGGGGTTTTTTTTCCTTGTTATTGTTTGGAAATTATTGATCTGCTGGGTTTTTTAATCTATCCTTAATTCATTACCACCGATTTTTCTGCTATTTGCATAGAATTTCAGATTTGAGAACTATAGTAAGATCACTGGATCACTCCTATACTTTGCTATCACTTTATAAACTTTCCTGTTTCCAGTCCTGATTAATCAACCGTAAACATACTTTGCATTTTCTCAGATGGTGCTGAATCCTCAAAATAACAAAATTTTCTAACATTTAAAGTAATCCCTAACCCTCCCATTCTGTTCAATATAAACTTCAAGCTTTGGCCCGTGAGTGTCTCATGAACAGAATGAGTGCCGACTGGGAATATTGCCTTACATTTTAAGATTTAAGTGTCTCTTTTAGTACTTGATGCCTTGTACATGGAGACAATGGTGGCAAGCATACGTTCTTGGATGACAAAACCAGAAGACTCTGCATTGCCAAGACCACCCAATAATACACATGATGATCAGACAGGAGCAAAAGATATTCGGGTCTTAATTATTGAAGGTTTCCTTCTGTTTAACTACAAGTAAGCAGTTGTTTAACATTTACAAGAACTGCAATATGGCAAACCAGCATCCCTTACTTGTCATTTTACTCTTGCAGGCCCCTTAGTGATATATGGGATAAAAAATATTTCTTAACAATTCCCTATGAAGAGTGTAAAAGGCGAAGAAGGTATGGCATACTAAAAGCAATGCTTAATATAAAACTTTTTTTTCTTTGTCCACTATTTTCTTCTCTCTGTAAAGCTGCACATCCTACTTCAAAATAAGCTCCACTTTTAGGCTGTCTTTGTGTTGTATATTCAGCCCATGGACCAGATTTCCCTTTGATTGGAACTGGTGTTTGGAAAGGGGAATCGACCAGGGGTGGGATTCTACCAGTTTGTGCCTATTCGCTAGAACTGGTTGTTAACATTCTAAGCAGTTCGGAGAACCGGTTGTTGGAAGAAATTACTGGCCTAATCCTGTAAGGAAGGCAGGAAGGAAACATTCTGGAGTTGCTTACAGAAACTGCCTCTCCGTTAACCCTTATTACATTCTTGGCAGGACTAGACTTCCTGTCTTAGGAACATCTCTGGAATTTTCCCCCCCTCCTTTGCTGGTACTTTGCTTGTATAAGTGACCATTCAAAGTTACAATGGCACTGAAAAAAGTGACATGACCGTTTTTCACACTTACGACTGTTGCAGCATCCCCACAGTCATGAGGCCAGGCGAGGAGATGCGTGCCTCGATGTGATACTGAGTTGGCCATTCACATGACCACCAAGCCATACCCACCAACTAAGCCACGGCCACAGAAGTGGTTGTTAAAAAATTTGAATCCTGCCCCTGGAATCTACTATCTGTCCTTCATTCAGAAAGATAAAGGGAGTGATTGTCTCTTCTTTCCTTTTTTTACTAAAAGAGAAAGCTTTCCTTCATAGCAGAAGAATGTATCAGAACTGCCACCTCACCCCTGAGCTCCTGCTGTCGCTGAGTGCCAGTCTGTCATGGATCCTGGGGGGCAGGGGAATTCTTAGGGTAGTACCCCAACCTTTTGGGCACTAGGGACCGGTTCCATGGAAAAGTTTTTCTGTGGACCAGAGGGGGCATTTTTGTGTGCTGCCTGCATTCCATGGATGTGTGTTTGTGCAGCCTGGCTTCAGGCATGCCGTGGACTGGTGCTGATCCACAGACCAAGCGTTGGGTACCCATAGCTTAGGAGGAAAGTGAAAGTAATGGAAGTAACTGCCTTTCCGAGTCACATTTCAAGGTCGCTCCCCTGGGAGAAGAATGCAGCCTATACCAAGAGTGACCGTTTCAAAAACATATTGTTCAAAACTGATTGGACGATCAGAGGAGGGCAGTAGTGGGAAATGCTTAAAAGGAGGGAAATTACACTTGGGGATTTGGCACACAAATTTCAGTTCTGGCTTTCTTTTACTGCAGTTCATTTGACTTCTAATAAAACTATATTTTGCAACGAATGGCGGCAAGGATCATTTTTACTTAGAGGTGCAAGCTGAGGCAGAGCGGACAGGATGCTTTTCTCAATGGAAAAAGATAGGATGATCACTTCCAGCATTTTTTTCATTGAAGGAGATCAATCTAGACAGAGCTTTAGGGAACAGTAGGTCTTTAGCACAGATCTTCTAACAGAATCCAAAACACTGTGGAATCTACTTAGATCAGCATGATCTTTCCTTACGAGAGTTCCATTATTTGTTATTTGCTAGTAAAGCTTGAGGCACATCATTATGGAAATTACCTCTGAATACTGCTGTGGATGCTGTGGGCTTTATAGCTATTTTAAAGGTTTTATTTGAGGATGGTTAATTTGTGATCCCTCCTACATTCTTGATGGTAGAATTCAATTCATGATAGTTGGGGCTTTTAGGGACTTGTAATTTAGCTATATTCAAAAAGTCATAAGTGCTCAACTATTCTAAAGCTACAAAGGGTTCAAGGATCACAACTTAAAAACATGTTAAATTTCTTTAAGTGACCCATTATGCTTGAGTGACTGACAAAAATTATGAAAATGGCTTAAAAATAATAGCATTAAACAATATGAAATGCGGGACTATAAATCTAGGAGTGAAATACAGAAAAAAGAAACTATTTAAACATTATCAAACTAATAAGAACCACTTTGGGTTTTATTTTTGCTTAATGTAGCAACAGAATATACAATCCACCAGACCCACCTGGTTACTTTGATGGACATGTGTGGCCCATGTATCAGAAACACAGGAGAGAAATGGAAGAAAATGAAGCAAGCATTGGTACAGCTAACATTCTTATAGTTCTGTCAGGTGTCTGACATTTGCATAAAGTGCATAGCTACTTATGCACTTCCTATATTCTTTTCTTTAAAAAATGTCTTAATATTTCTTTGCATTTATGTAAAAGGTGAATAGCTATGAGTGTGATGAGGGTCATTAGTTTCCAAATGATTAGACATTTATACGCTCACACTTTTAGTGGTCAAACTTGTTTGGATTGCACGGGACCTTAAGTTATATATCTCTGTGTGCTAGTGGATAGGTTATATTTATTGATTGATTGATTGATTGATTTATTGATTGTATATGCCACACTTCTCAGCAATAAAGTGATTCTGAATTTTTTCCTCTGCTGAAAATAATTTGTATTTGTATTCCACCTTTTGCAGTTTATTTAGATGGAACAAAACCACAGGAAGATCTCTGTTCAAGGATATATAATGATATAATACAGGAATTGGAAAAGACAAGTAAGTAATTAGCCTGAGTTAAGATAATTTGCATCAAGAAAACTGCTAATAATGCCAGATGCATCATTAGATTTGTATGTGTATGTTTCCCAATACACCTGAAATCAAATGAAAGCTGAGAAACATAATCTGGTCCCACGGACGTACAGTTCAACTCTTGGGTTTTCTTGGACAGCTGCTAGGGCTTCAGTGTTTCACTGCCTTGTCTAAGATTTTTCCTCTCCACTAAATCCTACTACAGGTACAGGCAGATTGGGGACAGCAGTTGATGGCTATTAAATCTTCACCTTTAATTTTTTTCCCCAATGCCCAGAATATTAGGCCATTCAGGTAATAAATATATCCAGTCATCTGCATGTGTTGCATATAGATCAGTATTAGTAAACTTGCTGGAAAAACCCCATCAATATTCGGAAACATATCATTACATAAGTCTTACAAAATGACTGTGCCATAAGCACAGTCCTTATCCTTATCTTCCCCTAGCTGAGGTAATGATGTTTTATGTATGGTACTCCTAATACCATTGTATTGTGGTTTTGAAAAAGAAAATACCTCTTACATTTTACCTCTTAAACACAGGTTTATTGTAATCCTCTGAGAGCACTTCATTTTCCCTTTTACAGCTAAAACTTAAATGAGCAATCAAATTCATAAGTTTTTATGTTACTTATGGGGGAAATGATTGCATTGTTCTTGCAAAATTATAGTTTCCAAAATGTTATGTGCATGTTTGACTAACAAGTTACACCAAAATAGGTTTTATTAAATTTGCAATTGCTACACAAAATAAATCCTTTTGAATGAATTTATACTTTGTGTTGGAGGTCTTTGGGAAAGCAAAAAAGTATTACAATAAATACATTTTTATATGTATATAAAATACATATAAAAATGATAATTTAAGGATATGTTAACATTGGAAATGGATTGAGTAGGAAAAACTGCAGCACATCTTCAAACCAATGTAGGTTTTGTTCTTTTTTCTATAGGTGAGCAAGGCATTATTATGCATGCATAAATTTGCTTTCATTACAACTTGCTTCATGAATTACTGAAGGCCCCCTTGCCAGTTGACAGAAAAGCACTAAAAATTAAATGAGGAAAAGCCAGCTCTTCTGTACAATGGGATATATTGGTTGTGGTTCGGTACCAATTCAGTTGCTGCAATTCTTCTTAACTCCTTTCTTAATAAATATTGTCAAAAAATGAGAGGTTGTTATATTTTATAATTGTGTCTCTACTGAATAAAGTTGGAGGTTACTTTTTGCATATATTTGTTTATGTATTTTTTGGGTCACTTGTTAACTTTTCCCCTTTATCCTTTCCTTTCGCTATATATTAGTTTGTTTTTAAATTTAATAAAGCTCTCTATTATAGATATATATGAAAGACTGAGAATCATGCTTGAAAAACAGATTACTGTTTTAGGCAAGTGCTAAAGTGCCTATCTTCTTAATGACAATAGTTGACCATTAAAAGATTTATAGATAAAAATTACTTAAAATAATTTGAAACAGAAGTATATATAAAAAGGGGACCTGTAGAGAAATCGATTACATACTGTAGTAGCACTAATATTTCAGTGTAATTATTACTCCATCAATATTGTCTCTACCTTATTATCATTACTACCATTCACGCTATTAAGAAATCTAATTTTCTCATTAGGATACAGAATACATTGCGATCTCAAGGAAGAAATAGGTTAACATTTTCTAATATGCCCTTGTTATTATTACTTGTTTTGTTTTTCTAAGAGAAAAAAATGGAAAGTTATCTTTTCATTTCACATTTTGGGAAGAAAAAAAAAAAGGAGCCATTTACTAACGCATCTTTGGATCCTTAAGTACTAATTTCGGTCCTGAATTTAAGAATATTTTTCCTGTGACTTGATCCGTACAGGTAGCTGAGCAAACCCCTATCGTGAAATTCAATCAATTCAATCAGAATAGAGCTGAAAGCGACCTTCTAATCCAGCGCCCTGCTCAGGCAGACCCTTTCTTTCAAAGGTTCTTTTCCCGATAGGTACACCATGCAAATTTTTCCAGGGGGATGGTAATCCTTTGTTTATCAAAGCGCCCCAGATGGGAATTTGAGTTACATCGTAGGTTAAGATTCGCACTTTAGAGGAACCTCTGCAAATATTCAACACAGGATGGGCTTATGGCGAATAGCTCAATTGCACCCATGCTTACGAGAGAGTCCTATCAGTTATTGTAGGATTTGGAAATGCAGAACCCCATCCTCTTCGTTTCTGGCTTAGCAACAATGGGTACGAAATGCTGAGCCAGGTCGGAAACAAATCGCTCGGGCCATCAACGGGAAGCGATGCACAACTCTAGCCAGCAGAGCTTCAGCCTTCATTCCGCTCATTTTTCTGAACAAAACGAAAGATGATCTGCCTCGTCCCTCATCATCTCTAACCAGGCGCGGGCGGTAAAACGCGCATGCGTGGCGGGTCGTTCGCCTAACCCCCCCCCTCGTGTCACGCGCTTGCGCATTGGGTAGCCGTGCCCGAGCGAGAGCGGTAGAGTCGTGTTCGGCGGAAGGCGGTAGGCTGACCCACCGCCTTAACAGCTGTTCTCTATGAAGCCGGAAGCTCGTCGGCATGCGCGGAAAAAGGCGCGTGGAGGCCGAGCGGCCGTTCGCTTTCGGCGTCGGAGAAAAGCGGCCGAGATGTCTGTGCCCACCGCGTGCGCTCTGTCGCGGCAAGGACAGCAGGAGACGCCGCGGGGCAAGGCGATGCGCGGGGACAGCCGGGAAAGCGAGGAAGACGAAGAACAGGCGGAGCCGCCCAGACGGGATGGAGAAGCGGCGGCAGGGAACACCTGGTGCGAGCAGGACTCCCTGCCGCAGTTGGCGACCACGAAGTTGGACGGGAAAGAGGAGGAGAAGCAGGAACGGGAGCACTTCCGGAGAATTATCAATGCCTTCCGTTACTATGGGTAACCGATTCACTCCGCGCTTACTCTGATACCCTTCATCCCATTACCTGGGTGGAGTATAGGAGCCCTGACTTCTGATCCACCAGTTCATAGCGATATCTACCCACGGAGGCTGGGAGGTGGTGGTGGGGGGCTTAAGTGATCAAGGGCTGGAAATAACACATAGTCCTCGGCTTACGACATTTCTTTTAGTGACCATTTCGAAGTTGCAACAAGGAACTTAGGACTATTTCCACACTTATGACCGTTGCAGCATCACCATGGTCATGTGATTTACATTCGGAGCTTGACAACTGGTTCATATTTATGACACTTGCAAGCGTCCCGGCGCTCATTTTTTGCGACCTTCTGACCAGCAAAGTCAATGGGGAAGCCAGATTCACTTAACAACCATGTTACTAATTTAACAACTGCAGTGATTTGCTTAACAAATGTGGCAAGAAAAGTCATAAAATGGGGTCAAAACGCACTTCACAAATTTCTCGCTTAGCCACATAAATCCTGGGCTCGATTGTGGTCATAAGTCAGGGACTATCTGCAACCCATTTCAAACCTGTCCTCAATCATGGAAGCACATTGAGCGACTTGGGACCAGTTCGCTTTCTTTCAGCCCAATTTGCCTCACAATCAACCTTAAGCTCTAAGGGAAAAGCTGGGATACCCCTTTAATAAATATTTACTCAGCCGTTAACCCTGCTGAGTACATTGGGACTTAACTCTGAAGTAAATAAGATGCCAATGTGGCACCATCCAGAATGTTTTGAAGCCTAGCTCTTAGGGCCTATTGATCGTTAACCATTGTGAGTGGGGATTATGAGAGGTCTAGCATGGAAGTATTTGGTACTACAGTTTTAGATTGGAATACTGTTTTTGAGAACGTCTTTTCTATTATGTAAGCCATGAAATGAAGTGATGTCTCCTGTTTAAGGGAATTATGGCAGATTTAGATAACTTGTTAAACTGCAGAAACATTACACCTAAGTAGGTGCATGTATTTTGAAGGCCATGGTTTTGCCAGTTGCAACATATGGTTTTGAAAACTGGGTCCTCAAAAAGTCTGAATGAAGAAAGATTGATCTCTTTGAGTTGTTCGTTTGAAAAATTGTTGAGAATGTCTTGGATTACATAAAGAACAAATAATTTGTTCTTTATGTAATCAAAATACACTACATAAACAAGCAAATTGTTTATATACTGTTTATTGGAGGTGGTGATCCTTTGAGAGCTGCATGCAATGAAATTTCACTTTAATGTATGCCGATTAGTGACAAAGTTATTCTAAGTAAGTTTCTAATATAAAAAAAAAAATGAGGCTACTTGTGGAAGCACTCATTTAAAGTGCAGTTTAAATATTTGGACACATAATATGAGGGCAAGAGTCACAAGAGAAGGTCATAAATAATATCAAAGTGAATTTTAAAAAAGAGGCCAACAGAAGACAAAATGGGTAGATAATAACACTGATCACGTATGCATAACCTTTCAAGAAGGCAGTAAGACCTATTGAATATTGCAACATTCTGAATAGCTGTGGACAGGATTGTTTAAATCCTTATCATTTCATTTCTGTTTCCAAAATCATAGAGTAAATGAAGATACCAGTGTCAATTACACAGCACATTAAGTTTTCTAAATCAGGGATCTCCAATCTTGGCAACTTTAAGACTTGTGGACTTCAACTTTGCTGGGGAATTCTGGGAGTTGAAGTCCACAAGTCTTAAAGTTGCTAAGGTTGGAGACCCATGTTCTAAATTACCACTTCCAAATGTATTGCCATGTCCATATTCATTGATGTAGTGTTTCAGTTTGTGGTTAGTTTTAGAAATCAAGATGAATTTCAACAGGATCCTCTTTTTAACACTTTTTATCATGTACCAATTGTGTCTGGGAAAGTAATGGAACTGCCAAATCTGCAGGTCCTAGTATAGATTATTGGTATTTTAATTTTGCTTTTAATAAAAATACTCTGTTTATTAATTGCATTTTTACAATGTCAATGTCTATAATTTAAACTATAAAACACATTGCCTGTCCATATGTTAGAACCATTTGAAACAGCCACAGAATAAACCTAAACCAATTTAAATGAAATCAACAATTCAGCAAAAGTTTTAAAATACATTTATCTTCTGCTTTAAAAGTTTTCTGAAAAAATATCTGTGTGCTGTTTTACAAAGTTTATAAATCTAAATGGCTACTGGTGACAGGCCATATGCATTTGTCATTTCTTCTAAAACAACGTGATTTAAGTAACAAATATATTTGTTATTAATATAAAATAGATTTTGGAACATTGTTCTGTCTAGCAATAAAATTCATTTAGGGATCCTAAATTGTTGATTTTGACAAGATTCTAAACCGTGTGTATATATTCTCATATGCTGGCATGCTGACTTTGGGATGAAACTATATGTGATAAATTTATATATGTGATTAAAAAACATTTCCAAATGGGAATCAACTGAAAATTTACAAAACTGATACCAAGAGAACTTTGTTTTACTCATTATTTTTGATTTTTTTTAATTTCTAGAATTAATATGCATGAAAGAGTGACTCGTGCAGAAAGACAATTTAGAACACTTCCAGCCTTGCAACAGAAATTGTTACCTCAGTTTCTTCCTCATCTTGACAAGATTCGAAAATGTGTTGACCACAATCAAGGGATCTTGCAGTCTATTGTGAATGACTGTACCCGAATGTTTGAAAATAGAGAATACGATGGTGATGTATGTTGAGCATTTTATTTCTAAAAGAGCAATTTTGTTGTATTCAACTTATTTTAATTTTTTTAGTGATTCATAAATGGGTTTTTTTACATATGGAAAAGTTTTCAAATTACCTGAGTTAAATTAAGAAAGTTCTAGGAAAATTGATAAACCCTTTCTTAGATTTTACAAATGAAATATCTTTCTAGTCCATTCTAGTAAACCATGATTTTCTTTCATTAGTGATAAGGAGGAATGTTTCCACACGTTACGTAATTTATATTTCTACAAAAGCTATGCCCACTCATTCAACTTTGGTCTTATCTTTTAAAATAAAAGTAAATAGATCTTTTCCAATTTTACCTTGATTTTTTGCTTGAAGCTGTTTATTGCTTTCCACAGGTGCCCACTATTTATTTTCTTCAGTTTATCCCTATGTCCTGGGAATTACTGAAGGTTTTGACATTCAGTTATAGTGCAAAACAGTATTCCAGTTTTTATTTTTCCCTTTACATTTAAACTACCATTCAAAACATAAATAATGGTTCCTTTCTTTAGCCTTAAATTTTTCAAGTGTAACAGGAATATATGAATAGTTCCATTCCCCTTTTCAGATAAGGAATATTTTTAACACCCATTTTCAGCTCTAGTCACATTTAAGTATGGATGTGTGAGCTGATTATTGTTCAATTTTATTTATCTGTGCTCTATCCTAATTCTACTTAATTTTAGAATTAAAAATACCTTTAACACTTTAACACAATAAGATCTCTGTGCCAGTCTTCTTCCTCTTCATCACTCTGAATTATCTCCTGGATCATTTAATGAACTTTAGAAAATTCATGATCTAATAGACTTTCAGCAGCACAAATACTGCCTGATTTATTTTAGGATCACTAGTCTTTTTTCACTGGTTTTAAACTAACAGCTGTTTTCAGCAGCTATTAGACATATCTAAGTATATGTTCACCATTTAATTGCCAGCCATGACCTCCATTTTTAACCACCTCAGTCTCCTTACTTCCTTTTTTGCTAGTCCATATTTATCAGTCCTCTTTTTAAATATAAACTAATGTAATATGTACTCTCAGCATCTTATCAACAAAGCAAGTATTGACTTATATTTGGATAACTGTAGGAATACATGAAGCAGCAATAAGAAGCTATGGCTGAGAAAAGGCTCACCAGACAACTTCTATTCTGAATAATGAATGTCAACTTTTTGATGTGTTATATATATTATGTGACAGTATCATGTAACATGTGACGAGTTGATTTAGGATGTCAGTCTTAATTTAGTTTCCAGTTATTAGTCCTACATTTTTATATTAACCAAGATGTTATGATAATGTATCATATTAATCTGTAGCTAACTTTTTTAAAATTAGGGAAATGGAAAGATTACACCAGCTTCAACTTTTGACATGGATAAATTAAAATCCACTCTGAAACAATTTGTAAGAGATTGGAGTGAAACTGGGAAACCTGAGAGAGATTCTTGCTATCAGCCTATCATTAATGAAATTGTAAGGAACTTTCCAAAAGACAGATGGTAAATACCTTTTAAAATATTTATTTAAAGAGAAGATATGCGCAATAATGGATTTCTGGTAAAGGTTACTGGAACTTGTCTTTGAAAATTTGTTTAGATCATAAGGAAAAAATCATCATGAATGTTTGCCGTCTTTTTAAATGGCTTCGCATAAAATGTAATTGTGATTACTAAACAGATCAGCAAAGAGAGTAAAGTTTATAGTTACAAGAATAGCATACCACTTAACTTTGATAAGAGAGTTTTTTTTACTAGCTGTAACAGAATCTCATAACTTGGAAATATATGTTGAGAAGACCACAGATCACTCAGCTGTATCTTTTAATTTTTTTTAAGAGCCAGAAATGAAAGGAACTAAAAGCTCTCTGGTACCCCAGTTCTTTTGTGAGATCTAATACTTGTATTTTATGTCAAGTAGAGAGCAAATAAACCATGGGAAGGCAATAGCAGTAGTATTAGTGGTCTCTTTATAGGTAAGATTTAGTTATTTGAGATTCTTTATTAAATGGACATAGCATGGCAGTCTTGATCCACAGTCTAATGTTTCCCTTGTCTGTGTTGAGAGAATTCATTTGATAACTGGTGGGCTAAGATAAAAAAAGAAATTTGTTTTAATCTCACTTTAACACAGCTTGTAATTGCTACTGCATTACTGAAGAGAAAAAAAGCTAAAAAGCTCATTCATAATATAACATGAATACCCTTCCCTTGTTAGATTCAAGGCATTCAAGAATGTCTTCAAATATAGAAAAATTTACGGTAAGTTTTTATATATTTAAATAAAAGGGTTTGACTTTCTCAAGGACCCCCACTTCCCCACTCAGCTTTGTAAAAAAAAAGGGATATGTATATGTGAATTTTTAACTGTGTAGGGATATTAGTAAATGTTAAGGACTAGCATTTTTCTTTTTTCCTTCTTTTGAAATATTAATTTTTTTTCTTTCTGTTAACAGTAAGGTTTTTTTTAAAATTAAACTAGGTAGTGAGGTTGATCATCTGTGATCTATTTTGAAATATTTTGTCCTATAGACAAAATAGAGCAAAGTCTCAGCAAAGTTATAGTGCGACCAGCCTAAAATCATTTGACCACACTGGCATGTCTTCTGCACAATAAAAGACAAAGACAACAATGTTACAGAAGTAGAAGCATGTTTTTTGAATGTAATATGGCTTCTTGATTTGGAAAGTTAAGGAATACGTTGTCATTCCTTAGCACACACATTGAAGCAATACATAAATAAATCATCCCAGAATGTTTTGAATGTTTACTTCTTTTTCTAAACAATATCTAAACACCACAGTCAGATGAATTTTTTAAAATGCTATAATTAGTAATAAATACTGTGGTGAGGGTTGGGCACTGAAGTATGCTACTTATTTTTTTAATTAAGCTTAACCTTTATTGCAGTCCTGTCAAACTGGTGGCCTGCTGGCCGAATAAGTCATGCACAGGTCACACCCACCCGAGCTCTGCAAAAGCAGAAAACGCTGCATGACTCAATTGAGTTTGACACCCATGCTCTATAGCAGGGGTGTCCAACCTTGGCAACTTTAAGACTTGTGGACTTCAACTCCCAGAATTCCTCAGCCAGCTTTGCTGGGAGTTGAAGTCCACAAGTCTTAAAGTTGCCAAGGTTGGACACCCTTGCTCTATAGCAACTAAAATGATAGGATATTGTGACTTTATAAAAGTTCACATTTCACATTTATTATTTTCATTGGAAGTAATAAAAGAATCAAAAAGTATATTTTTAATGGGAAGAATGAGCTCCTTAGTTTTGCATATTTTTTTAAGATTTAGCTTTTATTTTTGAGAAAGCTAATTTAACTTCTTGTCTCACATTTATTTTGAATTAAGAGTTTCAAAATCAATTGTAGAAAATCTTACAGTTGTCCAGGGAGAATGACCCCCCCCCCGGTTTATAATCCTCTCAGATTTCTTTATGTTCCACATTTTGAAAACCCCTTTCTTAAATAATTTGTCTAGTCTAAATAAGTATAATCATTTGTTCAATTGAAAAAAGACTTTGATTTTTCAAGTGCAAATTTATTCAATTTATATTTTACTTTTCTGCTCAGTCAGGAACTCGGGAAAGCTGAATATTAGATTCAATATTCCAAGAGCAGTTTTCTGCTTATACAGGATTACCTGCCCCAAATCTGTTAGAGAAGGGTCCTGGAACATGCTTGAACCTTTACACAGAAACATAGGCCGAGATTAACAATCCTATCTACTGGCTGGAACAGAATCTTTCAGTGGAATGACACTGGATCCAGTATGACACTGGTGGATGCACATAGTCATAATAAACTTTGGTGAAATTCAAACTGGTTTGGGTTTTTACAAAATAAGTATATATTATTCTTGTGAATTAATATTAGGATTTAAATCGAGCAAAAGTAGAGCCAACAACCAAGGCCAAATAAACCTGGTTCTTTGTTAATTATTTTCTGAACAAGAAGACTTGAGATTGCCCACAAGTACTCCAAACAGATAATCCCTCGCAAGAAGCCTGTGAGACAGGTTTCTGGCGCGTTTAGAGCTCTGGGACACAGTGAAATAACCATTTTGCTGAAATTGTGCTTTGTGCATTTAAAAAGGATACTGGGTTCACATACTTTTCAAATCACTTTTGGCTATTGCTTGTTAACTGCTTTTCAGCTATTAAGAATCTTTGCTCTGACAAGTTTTACAGCATTGCATGACTTTCCTTCAATCCTTAGCAAAATAAATTTTAAATACAAGTTTAAGGACTTATAAAAAATATCTTATTTTTTGGAATAAACAGCAAGTGATTATAACTTTGATTTTTGAAAGTTACAAATGAAGGGTCCAGATGGATTTGAATTAAGAATCCTTTCTGTGGTAAAATGCTTTGGTTTGAATACTTTAAAAAAAGGGATGAGATTTGGAAGGCTGAGAGAGAACTACAAGGAACTAAAGATTATAATTAGAGGAGCATAATACCTAAATTTGATTTACTAATACAGAATGAAGCAAAATATTTTGGACATTGGACATATTGGACATACATAGTGTTTTGGGACAATGGAGTCAAATTAATTTTTAGATTTTTTTTTAAATTAATTTTTTAAATTAAAATTAATTTTTATTTGATACAAAAGGGAAAGTTATATAAGTTGCAATTATTTAAAAGTGGATTTTAAAAAGCTATTCTGTTGGATATATAAAATGCTATTATAATTATATTTTAATTCTAATTAAAAAGATATAAATAACAAAGCAAAGGCTTCCTATATTGGATTTACAAAAGAGGCTTGTTAAAGCATTTAAGCATTTTATGGGAAAGATCAAAGAAATAAAAAGTAATAAAGCTCTAGTACATTATTTGAAGGGATTAAAATCAAGATTGTTAACAAAGGAAGGATTCTAAAATTGATTTCTTTGATCAAGGTTAAAATAGATACATTGTTATTTCTGGTAACAGACATTTGCTGATTAGTACTGAAATGAGACAGTTAAAGTTTTATATATTGATAAGATATGGAAAAAGACATGAAAAAAGAGATCTCGTTTTATTTAACAGAAGGTTGTAAGTTGCTAAAATTGCTTAGACTTGTTGGGATGAAGGGAAATGACTGGCTGATATATATCCCCTTTACTATATTCTTTTACCTTAGTTTCTATACCTTTTTTTCTTTTATGAACTTTTTATTTTTCCTTTTATTTCCTTTATTTCATTTTTTAATTTGTATTGTTTATTATCTTTCCAATTGTAATGTTTAATACAAATAATTATTTAAAAGATACTAATGTTTGGTATAGTGGTTAAGATGCTGGCCCAGAAACCAGGAGACTCCCATTTTAGGTATGAAAGCTGGCTGGGTAATTTTGGGGCCAGTCAATCTCAGCCCACCTCACAGGATTGTTGTTGTGGGGAAAATAGGAGGAGGAAAAAGTATGATGTGTTTTCCACCTTGAGTTACTTATAAAGTAATAAAGGCAGTATTAAAAAAATTAATATATAAAAGACTTATTTAAAATACTGATGAGCTTCTAAAGCTTAGTGCTGTGTGTCTAAAAAAAGTCATCATCTCTTGATTGTTTATATTATACATTTCACTTGATTAAAGATTGTTACTATTCATAGTCATTTGATTTTATTAAGTCTTTCCTAGTATATGTGCCTTATCCAGATGTGTATAGAGATGTTTCTTGAAGATGGGCAAAGAGCATTATAAACAAATAGGTTCCTGTTTTTGTACTGAAATAAACTTGTTAGGAACAATAATGATATAAGTTCTAATATATTTCATGTAACATTAAAATGAATCATTGAGCCTTTTAATCAGTTAACTGGGATACAGGTTAATTGATGACCATAAGTCCAGTTGATTTTTATTTTATTTTTTAGAATGTTCATTTCTGTCCAGTATCAGTTTTTCAGAATCCAAGCAATTTTTCCCTTGTGTATTCATAGTTGTATCATTTTATGTATTAAAACTTATCATTTTTACATGGTCATTTCAGGACTGTTAGAAATTGTCTAAAGTTTATTTAAGCTTACGTAGCATATTTTTCATATTCAAGGAAAGGAAGTTATTTTGCTGACTGTTTTAATCCTTGAAATAATTCTAATTAATTCAGCTCTTAGACAACATAACTGTTGTTGAGAATTTTGGAAATTAACTCCACACATCTGGAAAGGCCAGAAGCTGGGAAAATCTGATTCAAAAGGCATGGTAATGCTCAAGGCTCTCAGGGTTTAATATGTACCATTGCAGAAAGTAAAGAAGCATTTTGTATGATGGGTTGGCTACAGTGCTGTCAAGATTTGTATTTAAAGATTATCCTAAAACATTACAGATGGAGAATCGTAAAACATCTGTTAACCGTCTGCATTCTGTTAATAGCAAGAGCAGTTAGACTTATATACTGATTCTTAGTGCTTTACAGCCCTCTCTAAGCAATTTACAGAGTCAGTATATTGTCCCCAACAATCTGGGGTCCCCATTTTACCGACTTTGGAAGACTGAGTCAACCTTGAGCCAGTCACAGTCGAATTCCTGGCAATGACCAATGAGTTAGCATGCAATACTGCATTCTAACCACTGCACCTCTTAATGGAATGGAATGCAAAGTAAAACACACATGCAGAATTTGAATAGCAGTATACTATGTTTATTGGGATCCACCGAAATCACCAAGTAGTAAGATAGTATTTCATAGAATGGTATGGACATAGAACATTTTGTAATAGAATAGAATAGAACATTTTCGTAAAGGATATGGTCATGACTGGTCTCTGGTATGTTACAGATTTTCAAAAATTATTAACCAAGCTAATTATTCAATGCTGTATTTGTAAACTTGAAAGTAAATTACTGTCTTAAGTACAAAGTATAACATAGCTGACTGGGGAATTCTGGGAGCTGGAAGTCCACAGGTCTTGAAGTTGCCAAGGTTGGACACACCAGTCTGGATAGTAATAGTAATAGTGCTCAGACTTATATACTGCTTCACAGTGCTTTTACAGCCCTCTCTAAGCGGTTTACAGAGTCAGTATATTGCCCCCAACAATCTAATCTGGGTCTTCATTTTACCCACATCGGAAGGATGGAAGGCTGAGTAGATAGTAATCTTACCATTGTTCATTTATTTACACATTTACCTGGGAGGAAATCCTTTTAAATAAAGTGGAATTAAAATGTTACAAGACAAGGGTAGGTTTACATTTTAAGTTTGTGGGAAGTGCAAACAAAAATTACAGTATTCTTCAGTGCAATCTGAAGAATGAAATGAGTTATTTTAAAAAAGATACTTTATTTTCTGAAATTATATTGCTGTAGTAGCTTTCCAGTATTTAAAAGAATCAGGCCACTTGCAGGACTGAGACCAGAAAAAATATACATTGGAAACAAGTTTAGCAAATTTAACTAAAAAAACCGAATAATTTTCTATGTGTAGAGTCCGTAGACACATTGAAAACAACTTTTTGCTAGAATAAACTTGGGAAATAGAAGACATGATCGAAAATGAATTGGCATTATTTCTCTCAAATATATTTAATTAAAGATTAATCCTTTTTCTTGTTTCAGGGATCTCTCCAAAGTAAATGTCCTGGTCCCTGGTGCTGGGCTAGGTAGATTGGCCTGGGAAATAGCTATGCTTGGTTACACTTGCCAAGGAAATGAATGGAGCCTCTTTATGCTCTTTTCTTCTAATTTTGTATTGAACAGGTACATATACCGTCTTGTACATGTGGTTCTACGCTTGTATTTTTGAACTGGCCAGCACTGACACTGTTATTTCACGAAACTCGGGTTCTTTAACTGAATGTTTGGGTGTTTGATATTTCACGTGCTTCTTTAAATTATTTAAATGCTAAACTAATATGCCTCATGGGTGTTATATGAGGGGAATTTATTGTATTTCATATGTGTTCATTTTAATCGGCTACATTTAACTGTTTTCAGATGCCATTTTCAAAGTGACAAACAGTGTTCAAATTGGTTAAATAGTTTTTCAGTTGTATATAATAGGAAATGATATAGTAATAGTAAGTAGTCCATGGTTGCATGATGCTTCTTAGCACATCAAGATTCTACTACCAAAATTCATCTTCAAAATGGCTAAAAGGTTTCTTCCATGCTTAAACCCCCAACACTCATCACTAAATTGCCATGTTTTTGCCTTATTCCAGAGTTCTTTTTAAAAATAAAAGTGGAAAACTCTAGAAAGGCAATCTGCTTACTTGTAAGTTCCTGAATACCCTGGAGAGAAAAAAAGGTCCTACCCTTTCTAGATCACCTACAAGAAATCACCTACAAGACATTTCTAGATCACCTACAAGACATTTGAGGTGTCTGCAATCTTGTTTTAATTTTAAAGATTTAATGAGATTAATTTTAAGCAATGAATGAAGTTGTTTCAAAGTTGTTTAAAGTTGCTTAAAAAACTAAACTCCATTTCTTTAAGAGTTTTAAAGTTTTAAACAGCAAATGTTTTTTTCTAGTTGCTTCTTTGTAGGTTACAAATAATAAGTGAAATCTTACAGCAATTATTTTTAAGAAAGAAATGTTAATTATCAAGTTGTGTTTGAAAAAACACAAAATGAAAGATTAAAACTTTGTATTGTTTAATAATAATAAATAACAACTTTTTGATAATTATATGTTTCAGATGCTGTGAAACTAATTCATGTAAATTATATCCCTGGATTCATCAGTTTAGCAATAACAAGAGATCTGCTGATCAAATACAGCCAATTTATTTCCCGGATGTTGACCCTCACAGTCTTCCTCCTGGTGCCAACTTTTCTATGACAGCAGGCGATTTTCGAGAAATCTACTCTGAGAGTAGTAAGTGGGGAGGGGAAGTAATTAGACTTGGAAAATGAAATTTGTCAAATTCTCAACACAAGGCAATATTAGACAATTAGAATTACTTTTGTAAATAATTTTTAAAAGCCTTAGGTTAAAAAAAAAAAAGAATACATCTCCCTTTGTTTATTAAAGTGTCTTATAATTTTACTGAAATATATTTAGTTGTTCAAGGACTCTCTGATCTGGGTTTGGGTTGTTTTTTTTTATCAGTTAGCAAATAAGATTTGATTGTGCTTTAGCATTACAATAAAGAATAGGAAAGTCTTTGTGCAAAATAATAAGATTAGATTAGTTTCTTTTTCCTTTTCTCCCAGATAGAAAATAAATACAGACAGTTCTCAACTTATGACCATTTATTCAGTGACCATTCAAAGTTATGATGATGCTTAACAAATGATGGTTACAAGCAGGCTTTGGAGTTGTGGCCATCCCAACACTCCTGTGATCTTATGATTGTGATCTGGTCATATTTAATTAATAGCAGTGCCCCACGACATTATCGCCTGTTATGACCTTCTCTGCTAGCTTCCCCAGAAAGTCAGTGGGGAAGCTGGCAGGGAAGGTCACAAGTTGCTGCAGTAAGTCTCCTCCATCCTTGCACCTTTCCCCATCCCCTTTGCACTCATGTGGCATCTCCCATTGCACATCACCATGCACCTTCCCAACACTCATGCATCTTTGCTCGCCTTCCCCAAATCTTGCCATGGCCCTTTTGCATCCTTGTGGAAACTCCGGAGCTTGTATGTTTTCCTTGTGCACCTTTTGCGTACTCCCTCATACACTACTCTGCACATTGTGTTCTCCCATTCCTGGCAGCAGCCGCTTGCCAGCTACTTGCAAACCACCCAGAACTTGCAATTTCCTGCTGGCTTCTCCACTGACAGGAAGGTGCCTTACATAACAACTGTGGGATTCAGTTCACAGTGGCAATAGGATTGCAGGGATTGCTTTACTAAGCAGTGTGGGTTGAGCTTTTAAGACCACATTGCTTAATGACATAAATTTCAGTCCCAATTGCCGTCATAAGTCAAGGAGTAACTGTAAATCAGAATCACTTTAACAGTACCATCTACAGAACAAGTAATGATTTAAAATAGATTCAAGCTTTCTTGTTAAAAGCTTACAAAAAACACAAATGCAGAACACAGTACTTGGTCTTGTTTAACATTTGACTAGAATTCATTTTACCTTTATATGGCTGTGTGTATTGACAGAGGGACAAACCAATCAACTGAATTGGTAGTTCCTCTAAAAAGATTTTACACATGGGGCACTTCTGGAAGCAGAAGACATTGCTACCTCTTTCATTACATGACTGCAAGCTTCTTGAGGGAGCATCTTCTGCTTTTAGTTTTCTTTTCTCTATTACTAGTAATGTCTAATTAAGTATTATTACTACAGATTCTTGCTAGTTACTTTAGGCCAGTGATGGCTAATCTTTTCTGGACTGAGTGCCCAAAGTGTGCGTGCGCGTGTGCCTAACCCCCAAAACACACTGCACAGACCACCTTTGCACATGCGTCCTGTGCATGCACCGACTGCGCATGTGCACGTGACCCATGTGCATGCATCCCACGCATGCATGAGAGAGCCCATCGCACCCCGTGCATGTGCAGCGGAGACCTGACAACCAGCTGGCCAGTGGGAGGCGTGCGCGTATGTGCGGTGGAGCTGAACTAGGGCGACGGCTCGCGTGCCTACAGAGAGGGCGCTGCATGCAGCCTGTGGCACATGTGCCATAGTTTTGCCATCACAGCTTTAGGCTAATGACAGTTAAAATCAGATGGTTCAATTCTACAAATTATGAATGTGTTAGATTCTTCTGCATAAGTAGACTCTTTGGAATTTACTATTTACAACACATTGTTGCAGCCGAGGAAATGGGTGAAAATTAAGACACTGAACTGAGCACAGATAACTATCACTCTTAAGTCTTCTTTATGATGGTAACCTGCAAGCTTCACTGCACAGCTAGACTGTTCTCTGTTCCTGTTTCTATATACAGATATATGGGACTGCATAGCAACCTGTTTCTTCATAGACACGGCACACAATGTCATTGATTACATTGATACAATATGGAAAATACTTAAACCGGGAGGAATATGGATCAATTTAGGTAATTTACTAGATCTTTTGAGTTTAATAGAAAGGGCTGAAGTATTTTGTACATTGTAATTTAAGTAAGATATGAGGGAATTCCAGCTTAATCTCAACCCTTTGAATTAAGAGCATTGTCAGTTTATAGGTTAAAGCTTTTTGATAGTCTTTTATTTCAATTATTTTGGGGAAAGAAACCAATCAATCAAGCAGAATAGAACTGAAAGGGACCTTGGAGGTTGTCTAGTCCAACTTCCTGCTCCAGCAGGAGACCATATACCATTTCAGACATTCAATTCAATAAAACATTTTAGAACAGAATCTACCTTTAAACTGGAAGAAAATGCAAATGTGCTTCAGGTACTACTTACCTGTGTATTTACCCAGGCCTTCAGATCATCTACAGAGTCCTTCAACTCTTTTCATTAGAGGAGGTAAGGTCAGAGAGAGAACCTTTGGGGTGGGACCCCATTCATGGAATTTCTTTGCCAAAAAACTTGAGTGATGATCATGCTAGCAGCATTTCAGTGCCAAATGAAGATCTTTCAGGATTTTTGTATTTATATTTGCATTGTCTTTGCATTGTACAGTTGTCTTAATTCATATGATGTGTTTATTTTGCACTTTTTATATTTTTTAATTCAGACTGTATTTTTAGTAAATCGCCTGAAATATTTCAGCTACTGGGCAGGGTTTTTTTAAAAAATAAATTATTCTGGATTTCAGAAGGATTTGATAAAGTTACTGCTTTTTCTAATATATCCTAGGTCCTCTTCTTTATCATTTTGAAAATTTAGCAAATGAATTATCTATTGAATTGAGCTATGAGGATATAAAAAATGTAATATTACAATATGGATTCCATATTGAGGTAAGAAATGTTGATTTTCACATACCAATAATAATGTTAATATATAATTCCTCATCCTGTTCATTCTTCATCACATGATTAGTTACTATGATAGTAACAAAGTGATTAATTTATCAATATTCCATAATGAAGCTTTGGGAACAAAGTGCCTTTTAGGCAGAATTTAAAAAAACAAACAAAACAGTCCACCAGAACATGATTTTTGCATATTTAGAGTTGCCTAAACATGCAAAGATGGATGGATGAGGGGGACTTTGAATAAAAACAAAAAGAATAAAAGAATTCCAAAGATAAATGGAATATGCAAGTGTTAGTGGAGAGCAAGGGAGAGTAAATGTTTGTGTTGGGGGACAGGAGAGGCATAGCGATTGATTCTTAATTGTTTACAGGCATGTTCTAAAGGAAGAGAAGGGCAATTGGGAAGAACACATGAGATTAAATACTTTTTCACCCAATACTGATCTGCTACAAATTTCAGTTGTGTAGCATTACAGTAGCATTTCATGTTTCAGATGAAATGCAGATAACTAAACAAAACACTGTTTATTTTTCAGATGGAGAATGAATCTGTTTTGACAACATACACTGTGAATGAATTATCTATGATGAAATACTATTATGAATGTGTGATGTTTGTGGTTAGGAAACCAGAAAGCAGTATCTGAAACAGACTGTCCAAAAAGAATATTGCTGGCATTTTTGATAACAATGTTAGCAGAACATGAAGTGGCCTGTAAGGGATGACTGGACCCAGCCTCTTATTAGTGGTGCCTTTTTATTCATAACAGAATATAACATTCTTTATTTTCTACACTCCTTAATGATATCCAAACATGCATTTCTGCATTACTTACATTTGGGTTATTAATGTGGAATTCAAATATTTATGTATCTGCTCTTTCTGGTTTATTTAATTGGTAATTTTGGAAATATTGATATTTTAATACATTATCGACATTCATCATTCTCTGTAATATACAGAAATGTTTACTACATTTGTATGAAAGAAACACTACTGGATACAAAACTGGTCCCCTCCCCACAGACATATTGTTTAGAAAACAAATACAAATTTCAATTTTGATCAGTATTTTAGTGAATTTTCTAAAAGGGTCCCCCCTCCCATTGCAAATACTGCAAGAAGCATCATGTGAATGTGGCTGTTTACATCTCAAAGCTTTAGAAAAAGTAAGAAAACTTTTGTAAAAAAAAAAAAAAAACCTCACATTTGTCTTTATAAGAATTTTATACACAAAATTGACACATAAAGCTTCAATCAATATTGCTTTTGCTCATACCATGTTGAGCATATGGATAAATAGTTTGAAGCACTGATATATGGAAACTGTTACTATAAATGTATTACTTGTCTAAATGAGACTGTAGATAGGTTTGTAATACTTTGTCACAAATCCCAAAATGAAGATCTGGAAGTATTCCTAAAAGATGTCTGGCATTGATTCATACTGTTGTTGCAGGCATTATTTTTTCATAGAACAAGTTCATACAAGGTAAAACCACTTTTTTTTTAAGGGCAGTGCTATTGGTAATTGTGTGAACTTACCCACATTATGATATACTGACACACATACGCAAACAAACTGGATAATTGTTTTCAGAAATGTACTATCATTTTCATGATGTAACTTGTTAGAATCTCATAATTTTGCACTAATTACCATATGATCAGCTTTACTAGGCATAACTTGAGCACCAGCTCTGTTTGGATTTATGCATTACTCACTGCCATGAATTCTAGTTATTTAAGTACAGTTTATGAAAAATTTCTGTAAAATTAACTCTAGGTAAATTTATGGAAATTAATATACCATCTCTCAAAACCAAGTTAGGCATTCTTCTATACACCTCCTATATCAACTTAGCTTGCAAATACAGTCCAAATATACTTCCAAGTGAATTGAGCTAAGAAGATATAATCTAGGGCAGGGGTATCAAATCCGCATCATCACATCGTCATCACATGACATATTGGGACTTTTCCCCCCTTCGCTAAACTGGGCGGGGATGGAGCCAGCGCGTGACACATCTGGCCCATGGGTCATGAGTTTGACACCCCTGATCTAGGGCACATGACTGGCTTTTGAAATACCAAATAATGCAAGAGAATCTCTTATGCTACTAAGGCCTAGTTAACTATTATGTGTCCTTTTTCAAGTTGAAAGGTTAAAGAATAATTTTGCTTCCTGCTGTACTTGAACTAGAAATAGAATATATTGCTCTATGAGCAATGTTGTTAGTTATTTAAACTCATAGTGCAAAAAGCCAACATTCATATTTGCTTTTTAAGTTACTTAGCTCAGTTTAAACTGTAGAATATGAAACCTTCATGCTTTCTTAAAATTGATATTTTAAGGAAAACTGAATTTCCATATTAAATCAAGCTGTGGCCATTCTGTTATCCTCAGTAACTCATATAGATGCATGTTCAAAGTTGCCTTTCAGTACAAAACTTACCTGAGAGTAAGTTCCATTGAAATAAGTGGGGTTGATTTCTCAGTGGGTATTGGATTGTTCTATTGATAATTTCCTCCTATCTTTGCTAAATTCAGGGCACAACTTCCGTGTCAACTTTTCAATCCTAGAAAATGTTCTTTTACAACTTAAACTGTCTGAAATTACTTTGGAACTAATGTAATTTAAGCATTAGTGCTCAAATAAGTTTTATTGTACATCAAGTGTCTTAAATTTATCATATTTATTTGTTTTTTACATATTTTTGTTAAAATTACAAGTATAAATCCTTTAAGTCATTAACATTTTCTTTCCAACTTTTTTCCATTCCCCATTCAAACTCATTTTCATGTAAAGTATGTGTGTGTATTCTTTGAAATTCAGCAGTAACTAATTTTTGAGGAATATTAAGATTTTTTTCCTTCTACATGTGTACAATACTTCCAGAGAACAAACATGGCAAAGATTTCTGAAAATTAGGAATTAGGAATCATTTTCCAATACTGATATGTAGAATTCATATTCTGTATCTTACAATAGAACTATCATGGGTTAATCTTTGTTAATTCTTGTATGTATGTTTGCATACTCTTTGTATATTTGCACACAATAGGAAATTATCAATTTTGATGAAAGGAGGCTGGCAGTTGTGATCATTTTATGATCATATGATGTATAACATTAAAAGGTACATATGCAGCCCCATTAAATGAAAGTAAATTACAAAATGTAAAGTATCCTTTATTTCAAATAGTGAATTTGCAACCATCTGTGAACATTACTTCCAAGTAATGTAGCAAGTGAAGTTTAATATTTTTCTATTGATCTGCTGTTTTTTCAGTATTACTGACCTTGTTTCCATTGTGTAAATTATCTTTGAATACCTTTTCATCATCTTTTTATTAGCTGAAAATGACATATCTTGGTGCCTGAAAGTTTATCCTGCCTCCTTTAAATAAAAAAAATCCTGGGTATTCAGTATCAAAGCCTGATTTTCACAATGCAAGTGTGATTAAACGAGAGATTTTAGAGGATTTTTTTTTAAATACTGATACTCACTAGTCTGGAAAAGATTATAAAACTACAGATAGTCCTTGACTTACAACAGTTCATTTAGTGACTGTTTCAAGTTACTGAAAACAGTGACATGATCATTTTTCACACTTAACGACTGTTGCAACATCCCCATGGCCATGTGATCAAAATTCAGACTCTTGGCAACTGACTCGTATTTATGACGGTTTCAGTGTCCCGGTGTGATCACCTTTTGTGACCTTCTGATAAGCAAAGTCAATGGGGAAGCCAGATACATTTAACAACTGTATTACTAATGTAACAACTGCAGTGAGTCACTTAACAATTGTGGCAAGAAAGGTTGTAAAATTGGGCAAAAATTACTTAACAAATGTCTCACTTAACAATGGAAATTTTGGGCTCAATTGTGTTTGTAAGCTGAGGACTACCTATATTTTCAAAGAGTTTGGATTCCACCGTCAGGCAAATTATATACAAATGAAGGCAGTTCAACACCATTATTATATTAAACAATAACAATACAATACATAAAATAATGTATTTGATAGTGCCACTATTTGGTAAAAAACATTGTTACTCCATCCCTCAAAGCCTTGTTGAAAAATCACCTTTTAACCATTTTTTTTGAAAAAAAAAAAAAAAAAACAGAAGAGACAGGCAGCTATTCCATAAGTTCACTAAAAGAAATGCTTGCTTCCAAAATTTTACGACAAATCAGAGTAAAACAATGAGGAGAGCTTTGGAGAAAAATCAATAGCATTTACTCCAATATACAGTTTAATAGAAAATTAATGTAAAATGTTGTATACAGGGTATAGGAATCCAACAGTTTTCAAAATAGAAAATCATTTAACGAATTTGGAAATGTTTCAGTAAAATTGGAACATTCTACCACTTGTCATGTAAAAGAAAATAATTGCTAGTAGCAGAAAAAAATATATCAAAACACACTGCAAAATTCTACAAAATTTTAATCAAAACCTCACATGTTATTACTAGATAATTCCAGAACACCTAAGTAAAATATAGCACAATTCATCAAGCTACATGTTGATAGCTTCAGAAACAAATCTACCCAACAATTGAGAAAAAAAACCTTTGCTGATGATGAGATTAGGAGAAATTGGAATATGCAACAATGGCAAAATTGATAGGGTTGTACATATGCATAATAAAAATTTAAATTCCGGCGGGAATAGTTCGCCAATAAACTACAGCAAGGAAAATGTGTGTTCCTAGGAAAAGAATAAAAAATAATGAAAATACGTACTAGCCATTATCAATGTTCAATGTAAAGTGCAACTGTTTAAGCTGTAGTTACAGTTTGGAAATAAATGGGAAGGAAGGGAAGAATACATTTTAAAAATTTGCATATTATTTTTTCACTGATGTTTTATTATTTTTTTCTCCACATCTTTATTCTTTTTGTCAAGAAAATTAAAAAGTGTTTTGATATATGTGACTCTTCTCATTTGTGAAGAATTCTGGCAGCATTCAGTAGTGGTGTTTCCTTTCCTCAAGACATACATACAAATGCACCTGCATAAATTTTAGTTTCATATGTGTAATATATATGGGAATGATTTTAGGAGACAAGAAGAAGAATCACAGACTAGGCAACAGTCAGATAAGCCTGCAGAAGGAATAGGGGCATGGCAAAATCTTATCACTCAACACAGAACCATTCCCTCTCCCATCACTGCTGGTCCGTAAAGCCAGAAATATTGGAGACTTCTTACCTACACAAGGGCCACTACCTAAGACAGAAGACTAAGCAGAGCACTTCTGTGAACAACAACTAGCAGAAGTCATGATTAAGTTTCCATAATTTCATAACATGGACAGCCTTAGCGATTGTTCCAACTGGGAAATTGAACATCATCAGTTCAGGCCAAGTCCAAAAAGAGTAGATAATTCTTGGCAGCCAGGGCCCTCTGACAAATCAGCCATCAACAGGCAATCAACAACCCCAAAAAAGAACAAAATGATCAAACACTTCTTCATCAGCAATCTTAACACTGATGAGCAGAGATTAATACAAAGATTAACATTTAGGCATTAATCAAAAAGCAAACATTTCCCCAAGCAAGCTGACAGTAAATAGCCCAATCAAGGAGTTACCAAAACTACTCTCACCCACACTGACAGGGCAAACCCTCAGAACATAAAATAAGAACAAACTCCACTCCTTACAGCACTGATGATTTTACCTAGTTGGGTAATGAAACGTTTGCAAAACAACAACCCAAGCTTACCAAGGACTATGAACGTCCTCTTATTTCTATTTCCTAGCCATGAAGAATAAAAGGAAGCCGGGCATACGCAGCTACTTACTACGTGCCCGCCAGAGGGCACACGCGACCCGGAGTACAAACCAAAAGTATCGCGCAGTGCTGTATGCTCTTCCAGTAGTAGCCCCGCCCCCGTTTGCAGCGGTTACGCCTGCGCAGTGAAGCTAAGCAAGCCCCCTCGGAGCTCGGCCAAAGCCGGCCTTGATGGCTAAGCGCAGAGCGGAGGCGGTGGCCTGTCGCGCGCCTTGCCAGCCGCGCTCTTTCCCGCGCGCGCCTCCTTCGAAGCGCTCGCGGAGCGATCTCGAACGGCGGGAGTCGCTCTGGCGGGAAAACGGCGGGGAGAAGAAGCGCAAATGGACGGTTGTTGCGGAGGGAGGCGACGAGGCGGGGGCCGGCGGCAAGAGGCTCGCGGAAGGAACGGCGCGGCGGGAGCCCGAGCAACGGATTCCTATAGTCGCCGGGATGGCGAGCGAAGCGGCGGCCCTCGCCGGAGGAGATGCAACGGGCAGTCAGGGAGGGCCCGAGAAGGTGAAGAAAGCCCGCTGTGCTTGGGGGCTTCTGGGAAACTGTGGTTTAGGGGTTCGTCTCTTGCTTTCAGGGACGAGCGAGCCGGAGCATCAGGCGGGAAAGCTTCCGTAGTGGAGGTCGGCGATGGCCTCGAGGAGCCGTGAAGGGACCTTTGTGGTTCAAACCTTGGCAAAAGCAGAAAGGGAACACAGGTAGTCCTCGACTTACAACCACAATGGAGCCCAAATTTTTCTGTTGCTAAGCGAGGTGGCTGTTAATGGCGAGTTTGGCCCCATTTACGACCTTTCTAGCCACTGTTGTTAAGTGAATAACTACAGTTGTTAAGGTAATGACAGTTGTTAAGCGGATCTGGTTTCCCCATTTTGACTCTGCTTGTCAGAAGGTTGCAAATGGAGAATCACATGACCCCGGGATACTGCAACGTCATAAGTAGGAATCCATTGCCAAGCGCCTGAATTTTGATCAGGTGACAGGCGGGGGAAATGGATGCTGCAACAGTCATAAGTGTGAAAAACGGTCATAAGTCACTTTTTCCCCAGTGCTGCTGTAACTTCGAATGGACACGAAATGAAGTGTTGTAAGTCGAGGACTATCTGTACCAGTTTATTAAGGGCTTCTGACAGTTTTTTTTTTAAAAAAAACTCTAGATTGGCTGGATAAAAACTAAGGTGGTAGAGCCCCCTTAGGCTTCAGCTGTCACAAAGTTTGAGGCTTCTGCTGCCACAAGGTTATTAAAAAGCTTGTAAAGGAGTACACAATTCTCTGTGAATAAATCCTCCCAAACATGCTTTTTCTGAAAAGGAAAACTGGTTTTGTTGTATTGGAAGCAAAATGTTTAAAAGAAAAAATTAAGTCTACTTGCCTTTTGGTAAAAGCACCTTAGGAACAACCATGATTTATTTGGATGATAGAGAACCTCCATAGACAACTCTGCTTTTAGTTAACTGTTTTATTGTATGTCAATCAAAGTTACATTTATGAGATGGGCGACTGATACATAAACCAATTTTTGCAGCAAACACATATTTTTCCAATATACTTCTTGTGGAGGTGACTCTGACGCTGCTAATAAGTAAATTGACTGCAAATTTCTTTGGGACTGCGTGTTGTAAGGCTGTAGCCATGGATCACCTAATTTAATTTTTTAAAAGATCAATCAAGGCTATTAGATGAAATAAAGCCAATTTATTTCATTTCATTTCCAAATTTCAGGCAAAAAGACACACTTGGTCTTTTAAGTTGAATTATTTATTTTTTGATTTAAAAAACCTAATACAGATTAAAAATAAGTACAGAAAAGAAAAATAGAAAAGAAATAAAATATAGTAAGGAAAAAGAAAAGAAATATATAAAGAAATGAATGTCTTTCAACACAACAAATTTAAATTATTTTAGTAACTTATCCCCTTCTCTTAAAATGCAATAAACTATCTTTTCCCATAGCTTTTCTATAAACAAAATTTAAAGCTTCACTGTTCAGTCCTGATCAGATTGTTATACGTGTACATTGCATTGCCAGTCGTTCAAAGAGACAGAATAATGGAGAGAAATAGAAAAATTCAACTCCTTTTTAATGGTGAATGATTACCAGGTTCTGGTTACCACATAATGAATTTAAATATATTTTTTTCATATGCATAAGCTTTTTGTGTCTTCCCAACTCCAAAATTAGATAGAAATTTAAGGAAATGGCATAATTCTAATTCTAGGCAACCACAATTTTTGGCTAGCTGTGAACTATTGAGAATTGCAAAATGTATTTTCACAGAATACTATTTTTCCATTTCAAGCCACCAGAGGGTGATACAAGTCAAATTTTCTAAGTTCTATGTTGGGCAACTTCTGCCTTTGATTGATATAACACGTAAAATACATGACATTCAAATACAGATAAGAGTCTTTAAAAGGAAGGGCACACAGAAGAATGCAGATGTTTCCATTGTGGTAAATCAATTTTAATTTGATTGAGGTGCTACAATGATGGTAACTAGAGAACCCTTGAATATTTGTGTGAATATTTCTCCATACTATGTTCTTTCTTTGTCTATGAGGTCTTAATTTCTAGCATTATTTTGATTATATTTTGTTGGTGGTGACTTTGTTTTTTAATACAGTTAAACCTATTTGAACATTTTGTTTTCATAGCCTGAAGATGACGTTTGGCACTACAACTCCTTCCAGTTCTGGAAGTTACCATTACCTACCATTGATTTGTCTGATATTCAAGAATTAGAAAAAGGCTCCATAACAGAAACAAGATCCTCCAGTAACACCTCACTATCAGAAATGGAAACCTGAAGAATAATCTATTGGTATAGATTATAGAGTGTGGTTACTGTTTTGCACTGTTGTTCCTTGAAAGTATAAGCAGAGTTGAAACTATGAAGGTGTTAAATATAATTTGAAGAAAGGATAACTTCTGCATTCTTTTAAAATGTAGAATTCATCAAAGACTAACTAGAGAAGCTATCAATATATTGAACCAATACATTTAGAGGATTAAAGGAATTTACAAAAACTGATACGTATGAATGAAATTGCTTTAGCTCATTGCCAGTATAAATTAAATGTGTGCAAAATTTTAAAAAGGGGTATACTGCCATGGAAAAGAGTATAAGTTATGTGTGTATTTTAATTATGGCTAGAAAAGTTTAACAGCAAAATAAAACTGCAAGTCTCTGCAAAACTGAAACAACTATGGCCAACACTTTCTTCCAAGAATTTCCATAGAAATAAATTTTGTTGCTGAAAATAATTTAATCAGTTATTTTTATTATAACTGGTTACTTGATGTTAAGAAGTTCTAGCAATTTGCCAGCAAATTGAAGAATCATGATGGAAAATGATAGGAAACCTGCACAATGGACCAACTGATGGAAGCTCTGGGCATATTTACAGAAAGTGGCTTGGAGCTGGATTGTACCAGGAGGCAAGTTGCAGTCAGCTAGGAATGTCTTAATTGTTAACAGATTTAGAATGAAACAAATATAGAAGAGTCAAGGATGAATAAAGTAAAGCTACTACAATTAAACCTCCTTTCTCTTCCTGTCCATGTAGGTCCCCATGGCTGCCCTAATCTTTCCATTTTTATTTACTCCACATACCCTGTTTTGCACACCGCCTGTCACCACTTCAGTGCATATTCAACTGATCCACTCCTCCCCCACCTTCTTGTGCTCACCTTCCTTCATTGTGCTCCTTTAGCTGCATGCTGCCCGTGTTCATATAGCTTGCCTCACACTTTCCCTTAGCTACACATTGCCATTGGTGGTTTTCTGATCATTCAACCTGTCACCCAAAAAACCTCAGCTTAGAACATGTGCTCTTTATTCATACCAAACACTGAGACCAAACGTAGAGATCAATCTGACATAGAATATTCAGAACTGTCTGTTCCAGTACTGAATATTTTGCATATCCATACTGTATAGTTAAAAACTTGCATATTATAAAAGTTTGATTATTTTTAAAATACTGACTTTGCTGTCACTTTCTTAATGATGGTTGTTTGAAATCTTCAACAGAATTCTGATAATTTAGTTTTTAAGCAGATTACAGTTTTTTTTTTAAAAAAACGAGCATATTAAAATTGTCTTCACTGCCTAATTAAATTTCTACTGATTTCTTAAAACTGAAAAAATACTGTATATACAATGAAAAGAATTCACTTAAATGATTTCTTATTTATAATGGTATTTTCACTTTAACCTTAGGTGCCATTACAGTAAACCTATGTGTCGATAAACAAGCATGGGCAATGTTTGTAGACTTTTTTCTAATAAGGTGTGTTGAAATAATTTTCCTTGTAGAAAGTAATACATAAGGCTTATCTGATATATAATAATACTTACCTAATTTCACTGACCTTCTATATTTTTCCAATAGTTACACAGTTCATTTCATGTAACTGCTATAAAGTTAGTTTTGCATGCTTATTCAAAAATAAGGCCTGCTGAAAATAGTAGTCTTTGTTCTAAGATGCTGAATTTTGGTTAGCAATTGCAGATTTTTCCCCCTTAAAAATACAAATTTTGCTGTATAGCAGACTCTTTCTAATTTTGTACTTAAATTTTGGTTGCTGTATTTCATAAGAATTCACTATCGAGCTCTTTGATGCAGAAGAAAAAACAAGTATAGTTTCCTTTCTCCTCCATTCTGCTCCATTTATCTGTTTGCTATGGAATGAAAGAAAGTTACTCTTACAACATTTCATCAGCCTAAACATTCCTGTTCCTTTACCGGCATTATTTCATTATTTTGAGTCATGGGCCAAAGTTTGGGAGAATAAGACGAGGAACAACCAACCAAAAGAAGCTACCTTTATAAAAGGAACTATTATCTGAAAAATGCACATGGTCAGCTCTCTTATGAACACATTCTTGGATAAGAATATTGGATAAGTTGATTTTGTATTTTAGTAATTAAAATGCATTGTAAATCATATATTTGACTTTTTTCTTGTTTTCTGCAGTACACACACACTACTTGCACAAAATATATTTGTAAGGACCTACTCAGCTATAATATACAAACAACAAGCTTTTTAATAACTATTGCATCAATATTTTGTTGCAACAACTACTAAGAAGAAATAAGTATTTAGTAGCATTGAGATTAGCAAGAAAAATAGTAAACGTGCTTTTTGGTTATCTCATAATGAACAAGTCAGCTTATATTAGTAAAAGATCCACGGTGATGGATCTCTTTGGATTTTTTTCCATTGGAAAACTTCTATTCTGAACTAAGCTGCTACTTAAAACAAACAAGAAACATTCTGAATGTTAATCATTTCCTTAATGTTGTATATAAACTTGAAACCAGATTGTCACATGCTTTTGAGTATAAGTTGTAGTCTCTTCAGTTTAATTGCAGTACAAGTATGTCACCAGAGTTTTCAGAGTTCATCTTTTTCCCTTTTCCCATTAAAGCTTTTAATTGCAAGCACATGGACAATTGTAATCATTACTTTCCAGCATTGTTTCCATTAGCTGTTAGGGCAAAGCAGGGTTTATCTGATTGTGATGTAGATGGAAAGTTCAGTATGAAATCCAGGGGCTAAAGCCTAGAAAAAGTTAGTTTTAGTGATGAGAACGAAGAAGGTAAGTAAGCTGACTTTTCTATTGTGATGTATGCATCTTTGATATGGAACAACTTTGAATAAAATGTAAAGTTTTTATTGGGTTCAATGTCAAAGAATAAACGTTTTCAGCATGTCAAAAATTAACCAGAGAAAGATAGAAAACAGTAGCACTGACTTTTTCCCCTTACCTATTGTTGCGTTTTTGGCATATACTTCTCAGCAAAAGACAAAACTGGATAAAACTGCATGTGAAGAAAAGTTACCTAAGTCTTCAAACTAGTCCAGCTGCGTCAATCACTTATGTTAGGACTTTCACATATTACTGATTTGTGTGTATAAGGATCAATAAAAGTGTAAAGAATTGAAATTATTTCTGGGATTTAAATTGTGTCAAATAAATTTTGCATTCTTAAGCTCTTTAAGTTTTACTTCTGTCTTGTCTATAACGTAGCTGTAGGTCATCCTGTGAACACATCAATTCAGAGAATTGTGATTACACTGATTTTTGGGGAGGGGGAAGGAATATTATTTACTGTGTAAGAAATAATATTTAAAGTGGAAAAATGCAATATATATTCCTTACACATTTCATCAATACATTTCAAAACAATTACAAGTCCTTTTCCATTAGTGATGCACAAATGCAGAGCTGGGTATTTTCTGGGGGGGGGGGGAAGACTGCAAAATATCAATTATTTAATAAGATAAATTATAGTAAAATTATTCATTCCTGATTCAGAGGATTTACCTTTGGGATGCTCAGTAAGTTGTGCAAAGGAAAAGTGATGATAGGATAGTTTTATATATCATGAAATATATGAAATAAAAACGAGTGGCCAAATCAACTATTTTTGGGAAGAGTTGTTTTATGCTTCAATTCTCATACCAATTGTAGTCTGCAGGTGATCAATATTGCATGCTTCTATTTTAGTTGTATCTTAGCCTCTAGGCAGAAACCTCAAACTTCTGAAGTAATGAAAATGCAGGTGAAAATGGGAGCAGTGCTTCCCTAGTTTTGTGTCAGGTGCTTGAGCCAAATAAATGAATTTGTAACATTCCATATTTTTTAAGAAAGTAAAAATATGTTGTAACACTGCTGTAATGAATATGTTGGTCATATTGCACCTTTTCTACTATTCAGTATGTTTTTTTAGATCTGACACCTCAGAAAACTGATTAATAATAGCAAGAAGAAGCCTTACTTCAAAGGTGGATTATTGGCCAAATATTTATCATTAGAAGTCTTTGCTGAATTAAACCTTTTTCAGATCAAATTCTTTGCTGTAACCTGCTTGTGATTCTGACTGAATCTGACACCTGCTTCTGAACCACAATGCAGTGGTCCTGAGTTTCTAGTAGAATTTTGAGGACCTGCCAAATTCTGTTTTGCCATTAAACCACCTTCTGAAAACTTGACTTTGCAGGGAGAGAATAAAGTGGCTTGATTGCTTTTGGTTTTTATTTTTTTTAAAAGAGTACAGGTGTGCAAAATATTCCACGCTCCGAATAAAGCTCTCTGTTTCAGAGTTTGGTCCAGAGCTCAAAAAAAAAGCAGGACTTGTCCACTATTGTTCTAAGTGTTCAGCTATCCCATGAAGAACTAGTTTTTGAGCTGTGGAGTTTTTCTGAATGGCTAATGAAAGAGTAGGAATGCGTTCTACCCTTACTACTTGAAAATGAAAGTGGGAGTGAAGCTGAATTGGTGAAATGCATTCAGAGCTCTTGACAAAAGATTGTTGGTTCTTTTGTTGTCCTTAAATCTTTCAGTCTGCTGAAGTGTAGTCAATTGGTTTTGTGTAATGCTTTTTGGAACTCTGCCAAAACAGAAGTACATGATGTTTTGAAGATACTTTTGCAATGTTGAGTTTTTTGGTTTTCAGATACAAAACAATAAGGATTTGTTGATTAAAGATAATTATGAACACTAAAACTGCAAAGTGTATGTGTATTAGCCCTAAGCTTTCCCCTACCCTTTTTAAAATTAACCATTATTTGCTATGCTTAATCTGAGCACAAAATCTGATTATTTGTACAAGGACAGGCTAAGAATATATATTTATATCTTCTTGGCTATTTTTCTGTAAAGTGAGTATCATCCCTTCAAAATAGACCAGATCAGGAAACAAAGTCTGAAAGATCTTGATATTGAATTAATCCAGGCTATAATAACAGAATCAGTAAGGGAAGCTTGGCTGTGTTTTCTAGTCCCTCCGCTACATCTCAGTGAATTAGGGTGGATCCAGTCCGAGTTTTCTCATTCCTCTATTTCTTGAAATTAATGCAGGCTTTTGTTTTTGTGACTTGATGCATATTCTCTTTAGTGTCATCTCTGAGGCTATCTACATAATATATGGATTATTAGTGTCCTTGCCTCCCTGTCTCTGTGACAAAAAACAGGAACTCCCAGCTTGTCTCAATTTTCCTTTTTTTGTACAACAATATGAGAAAATTTTGTTCAGTATTCCAAATACAACTTTCTTTTTTATTTTGTACATCCCTTGTTAAAATGTTAAGAAGGGAGACTAACTGATTATCACATTGATTTATATTCAGGAGGTGTGATCATTAATCTGAGTTGATCTGTTTTCTTTGTGCAAATAATTTAGGGTCAAAAATCCAAGTATTAGCTGTTTTTTTTCTTTGTGGAAAGTGTGAGAACAGTGCCAAAGGCATTTACTATAATAGAGCCAAAGACACTTACAGCCAAAGGCACTTACTATATTCAGGCTTCTTTTTCTTTCCTTTTTTAAAAAAATACTAGGATTTACCTTGAAAAAAAATCTTAACTTTATATAGTGTAAGCCCAACCACTGATATCATGATATCAAAGTAAAATTATTTTGGTTTCCAGGGGGTGCTTCAGAGGGTCCTAGCAATTTTGCAGTTATGCTATCTTGCATATGCTATCTTTGCATTTATTGCAGTTATGCTATCTTACCCTACTATGTCCCTACTATTTTGAAAAATCAAGTTTGGCAAGTTGCTATTCCTGATCAGTAGGAAGGCTCCAAAAAGTTTGAAACTCTACTCCTTCACATATATTATTTTAACTTATGGGCAGGGAGGAACCCTGCAGTGTTTCAACTGAGGTGGAGAAGTACATGCTAGAATTCATAACAGACCAAACTGGATAGTTTGACCCTGCCCCTTGGCCTGTCTGTTGTTTATTTTGCAAGAGAGCCTTAGTATGTAACTTTAAGAATCCTCAAAAGAACTTAGGGTCATAAAGTCGGCTGCCAGTCTCTGATAGAAGGAAGTGGAACATTAACCAATGGTGTAGTCCAAGGATCAAGCAAAGTGTTCTTTTGAGTTTTGAATGGACTTTCTTTCTGTGTGTCTGTGATACTTGAAGCAGCTTTCAGGGACTGGAAAAGAGAGAGTGCAGCACTGATTTATGAGTGCAACTCCGGCTTGTGAAGGTTCAATTTATGAAGTAAGGAAGAAACACCAGACAAGATGAAAGTTCAAGTGAAGGTAAAAAAAAAAGCAATCTTTATAGAATTGGGCAGATGGACAAGTTTGGACCGAGGTTTTTTGCTAGTCATTTTAATGCAGTACATCTAGGCAGCTGGTAATCTTTCTGCCGTAAAGTATGTCTCCATCCTGCTTCTTCCATAGCAGGTACTTTTTTTGCACACTGCTTCAGGCATCCTGCTGATCTTGTTTTCACAATTCCACCTTACTGGAAGAAATTACAAAAGTTATGTAGCATATGTTTATGAACATGGATATTATGCATGGGGTAGATAAATTGTTATTTACTTGGCTCTTGTTTTCTGAATCCATTTCCCTTTTTTGTAGCTATGTGGAGAGAGACAGAATGCAGATCATGGTTTAGAAGTATATTCACATATTTTCAGTTTTCTATGTAATTGAGTTAGAAAAATAACATACAGTATTGTATGAAGGTACAGTCATTGGGTAGGGAGTGGAAAAAAGGGGAAAAATTAGGTTTATTACTAAGGATCTAGTTCTGGGTGTGCAGGAGATAAAGTGATAGAACATTATTAAGTTCTTGGTTTCCTAAACTAGGAGAAGGCGCCTAGTATTCATCACTATTCACCAATTTTCTTAGACTAGGAAATGTCGTTCATCAATATGGCTGCGAGAGGTTGAAGGAACTCTCTCTATATCCTTTTCATATAGGCAAACTAGTAATTTAAGACTGCTAAACACAAAAAATTATCACTGCCATAACTTCAAATACCAGCTCTATTGATATTAGATTATATTAATTACATTGGTTTGAACATTAGGGACTCATTCATGCTTCTACAGATCAAACTTTATATATCACACTTTCAAAAAGTGCTATGCTTTTTTCCAGTGACCTGAAAGTTTCCATTCTTATAAAAGGGGGTTCTAGAAAGAGACAAATGTGAAGTCAGTGAATACCCATGTAACTCTTTTCAGTTTGTTACTATAGAATTGTCCACATTGTATATGTGTAAATGATCATTTGCATTATATATACTTTTTATATGTCAAGGCACTCTCCCTATCCATAATATGTTTGCATACTCAAATATGCTTCTATACTAATACTTGTATATATGAACGGACAGATTTCCTGGCTAAGAATAATAGTTTATTTGATGTGGTGAATTTGGTGTATAAAAGTATGTACCACTCTAAATGTTAGTTTCTAAGACATAGTAACATGTTGTATTATAGATGTCAAGAGAATATTTAATATTGCATGATGTATATACTTTTTATTTTTCCATAGAGAAGAGAACATGTAAAATAAACTCATCTGGAACTAAGAAATCCAGACATGGCTGACTTTAAATCCAGTCTGTTAGTGATCATACTCTGTGTGTGTGTGTGTGTGTGTGTGTGTGTGTGTACATGTGTTTGTATTAATATAAATATTTGGGAAGTTAAGTTTTTCCAATTCACCAATTTCTGGATGTTATGTCTATACTTGTGCAGTTCTAGAGGACCTACAAACTTGTTATCAGCATTTAAGTGTACCTTTGATTAAGAAATCTCCACCAAGATCAACTTTAATTTTTCTTCTGCCATGGCAACTATTGGGAAATAAACATTCGCATAATCAACAGTTGAGATGATAAACATGTAGACTTCTGGTAACTATTGATTTCCTTTCTCAGCCAAGGCTCTGTTGAACGCTCTGAATTTTTTGGAGTGGGTATGCAAACATAATAGCCAGTCAGCCAACTTTAACTGTTATATAGTAGATCAAGAACCAGGTTTGGAAATTCTGAAAGCTGAACCTTAAAACAAGGAAAAAATATTATTCTATGTGTTTTCGAGTGTTTAAACGGCAAGAAAGAAGTGCAATTGAAATACAATAGTGAAAGTTGAGTGATGGGTATAGCAAGTCACATATTTACAAAGCAATTAGTCTTTACTGCTTTCTCAAGAACCGCAGCCAGCCATTTTTTTTAAAAAAAGGGATATAAGTATCCTTTAATTGCAAGAATTTATAGGCTCCTATCCTGCTAGAAGGAAATAGACTGAGAGACAGTTTGGCCAGTGCCATGATGACCTATGCAGTTGGTGAAAAAAGCAGCAAAAGAATCTGTGTATAAGAGTGGGAAACGGGAAAACTGTTAAAACATGAAAATTGCCACATTCTGATATAATGGAGGGATGTTTTCTTCATCTTTTAATTTGTATGATATAAGATACATTATGGTAGTGGCAGCCTTAGGCCACGGAGTCTAAAATCTGGAGATAGTTACAAGTATCACTGAATGACATTAAGTTATTTGTCATCTCTTACACAATCTATCTTCACAAGAAGAAAAAGAAAGAATACGGCAAGTGCCTGGGTTAAGATCGCCTCTTGCAGCAAAATTCGAGTTAAATATACAATGGTTCAAGTTCATTACACAATGCTACTTATACAGTATTAAACAATAATACGTTCTGGCTTACAGTTTTGATTTAAGGATAGAGCTTGGGAACAGAACACATTTTTAAATGGAGATTACTTTAAATACTTGTGTAAATGTACCATGATAATCAACAACGGATTGAATAACATCATAAGAACATATAACAAAAACATAAAAATCTCATAATACAAACAATATAACAACAGCTGTCGACGGCATCCCTTCAGAAAATTGAACTTATAACTGAATTCCTTGAAAATGGAAAGTGACACCAACCTAGTCTCTGGAGGGGAGACTATTCCATAAAATAATGGCCATTATGAAAGAAAGTACAGGTGGTCCTTGACTTGCAACCACAATTGGGACCAGAACTTCCATCCCTAGTGAGGCAGTTGTTAAATGAACTGTGCCCAGTTTTGAGACCCATTTTGCTGTGATCATTAAATGAATCACATCAGTTATTAAGTAAAGCATCTGGCCATTAAATGAATCCAGTTTCCCCAATTGACCATGCTTATTGGAAGCTAGCTGAGAAGGTTGCAAATGATGCTCGTGTGAACCTGGGACGTTGCTAATGTAAGTGAGCCTCAGTTCTACTCATCTGAAAATTGAGAACTACTATCAACTTCAGCTACTATCAAGAAGCTGAAGAAACTTCTTGGATAAGAAGCAAAACATCTTCAAAATAAAACCAGAAAGTCCAGTTGCCTCTTGGAAAAAAGGACCTTTGGGACAACCATGACTTGGATAAACTAAGAATTTCCAAAGACATTTATCAACTTTATAAGAAGAACATATCTGAGGGATCAATTCCACTTGAAGGCAACAGTTCTTAAGATACCTAGGAACTAAGTCACATTGAGCTTTATAACTAGCAGCTTTAGTCGTATTCAAAAACCCACTGGGAGCAAGAGCAGGATCTTCAACATAGTTTTCAATGGATGTCACTTGCCAGCTTATCACTACCTGCATTGCCTCATGCATATTTTGTAACCTCAGCAACAAGGCTCCTGACTACGGTCAATTTTCTTAAGCTCATTGCCATTATCCTTCTCCAACCATGGAGTTCCGATTGCTGAAGGATTCAAATCTTTTGGAGTAACAGTATGAGGAGTTGTGATCTTTTAGGTGGTTTTGTACACAACTCCTGTGCTTCCCATCGTGGCTGCATAGCAACATCTACAGATTTAAAGGTTCACCAACTGTATTCTAGACCAATTTGGGATAGATAGATAGATAGATAGATAGATAGATAGATAGATATTTATTCATCCCAAATTGAGTAATTCTGCTGTCCCCTTCTTCTTCTTTTTCTTCAGCATTTGTCTCGCGTTCTGGCGAGGTCCGCTAATGTCCTTGAGTACTGCTTCCACGCCTCTCTGTCTGCCACATATGTCGGGTCTGCCTTCGCGATCTCTAGATCGGCCTTGATCGTGTCCATCCAGCGTTGCTTAGGTCTACCACGCGGTCTCGCTCCTCCGACAATCACCTTCATCACAGATTTGATGATGGATTCTTCCTTGGCGCGACTCACATGGCCGAACCATCGTAGCCGGGACTGCCTCATGACCGTGGGGATGGGCACGACGTTGAACCGTCTGCACACTTCTTCATTCCTGACGCGATCGAGTAGGGTGAGGCCTACCGACCATCGGAGCATTCGCATCTCCATTGTCTGGAGTCTGCTTTCGACTTCTTTGGTCGTCGGCCAGCACTCTGCGCCGTATATGGCCATGGGGCGCACCACAGAGTTATAGATTTTCGCCTTCAGGCGCATCGGCATCTTCTTGTCACAGAGGACGCCCGTGACGGACTTCCATTTGCCCCACGCTGCGTTGATCCTGGCTGCCACCTCAGTTTGTAGTAGGCCTTCTTCCCCAAGAGTAGTTCCCAGGTACTTGAAGGTGGAGGCGCGCGGTAGCTCCTGCCCGTTCACGTGGATGGAACCTGTCGTTTCGTTGTCAGTGGTCAGGTATTCGGACTTCTTTAGGTTCAACCGGAGCCCGAACTGCTCGAGGCGGTCATGCCACTGTTGGACTAGGTGCTCAAGTTCAGCCTTGCGCAGGTTGGCCAGGAACACATCATCGGCGTAGAGCAGCGTCCATGGGGCGGGCGTGTGCAGGTCGTGTGTAATTGTGTCCATCACCAGAATGAACAGCAGTGGTGAGAGAGCAGAGCCCTGGTGTACGCCGACGGTGATATTGAACTCCTCTGATATCCCAGCTGCCGCTTTTACACGGCTTTTGTGACATCTGTATAGGAGTTGGACCCATTGTACGAGTAGCTCGGGCACGCCGTGATCTCGCAGTGCGTACCAGATGAGATCATGCGGGACTTGGTCGAAGGCCTTTTCCAAGTCCAAGAAGGCGGTGTGGAGCGGGATTTTCTTCTCTCTGTGAGCCTCCATCAGCATCCGCACACCGAAGATGGCATCGGTGGTGCCGCAGTTCTTGATGAATCCGGCCTGGTTGACGCTGATGTCGACGATGTCCCGAATGCGCTTATCGAGGACGCGTTCGAAGATCTTCATAGTGTGTGACAGTAACCTGACCGGTCTGTAGTTGGAGCAGTCCGCTGGGCTGCCCTTTCCCTTCCAGATCGGAACAGTGGTGCTGCGGTACCAGTCGTGTGGCACTATTCCCGTGGAGACGATGTTGTTGAACAGCTCGCACAGCCACAATGCCGAGCCCGGTAGTGCCTTTTTCCAGAAGTCGGCAGGGATGTCGTCTGGTCCTGTTGCCTTACCGTTTTTCATGGCCTTGATGGCGTCGGTGACCTCGCTGGCGTGAATGCCTGAGACTGGGCCTTCGACGGGGTCACCTCGCGGGGTTCGTGGGTGTGGGAACTCCTCGGTGGAGATCTTCTCGAAGTATTGCCGCCACCTCTCGGCAGCGTCTCTGGGGTTGATGATCAAATTTCCCCTTTCGTCGTTGATCCCATGAAACTGGTCAATGTCCAGGGTCTTCCTGTGTCTGCTTTTGGCTAGGCGGTAGATCTCATTCTCGCCTTCTCGCGTGTTCAGCTTCTCGTAGATGTCGTCGTAGTGGGAGCTTCTGGCTGTCGCTACTGCTTTCTTGGCTGCCTTTTTGGCCGCCTTGTACTCGCAGAGCTTCTCGCTGGTCTTGTCCTGAAGAAAGGCCTTGTAGAGCCGTTTCTTCAGGTGCACGGCATCTTGTACTTCCGGTGTCCAGAGCCATGTATCACGTTCGATGCGTCTCCGTCCTGGCTTGGTACAACCAAGCTGTTGGCAGCCGGCAGTGTGAACAGTGCTCTTCAGCATGGACCACGCTTCCTGTGGCCCGTCGACCATCTGCAGGAACTGCTCCGGTTTGATGAGGGGTCCCGCCATCTTCTTCTGGTTCCACCACTTGATTCGTGACTGGTCTGCATTCTTTTTGTCAATCTTGGTCTTGGGCTTGCTGATCCTGATCTTCGCCTTCAGCGGCCTGTGCTGACTGCTCGATTCGTACGGGTACACCTTGGCGTTGAGCACGTTTTTAGCGGCTCTTCGTCGTACGATGATGTAGTCGATCTGTGTGTGGTGGTTCCCATTTCTGCTATGGTAGGTGAGGAGTTGGGGTTCTCGCCTAATGAAGCAGGTGTTCGTGATGGTCATATCATGGGAGTCGGCAAAGTCCAGGATCCTCTGGCCATTCTCATTCATATCGCCTGTGCCGTGCCCACCGTGGCACTGGTGTCCGTTTTTGTCCCGCCCTACATGACCATTCAGGTCGCCAGAGATGATGATGTCGTCTTCATATGGGATCTGCCTGAGTTGGATGTCGAGCAGTTCCCAGAAGGTATCCTTCTCCTCCTCGTGACATCCGGTCTGAGGGGCGTAGGCGGACAAGATGTGTAGGCGCTGCCTCTCGGTCGCTACGACGATTATCATCAGTCGTTCTGTGAGGCGCTTAACTTCTGCAACGGAGCTTTGCCAGCTGGGACTGACAACCACAGCTACACCGCCGCGGTTTTCCTTACAGCTGGTGTATATGATCTTATAGCCGTCTATAGTCGTAGCCTTGTTGCCCTTCCAGCGAGTTTCCTGGAGGCAGCAGATGTCCAGCTTCCTGTCCCGCATGGCCTTGACGATCTCGGTCGAGCGTCCAGTCAGCGAATCCACGTTCCAGGTGGCCACCTTGAGCGTCTGGCAATCCTCTGTTCCCCGCTTGCGATTTTTCACACGGATCGGGTAGTCTCCGTGCGCGTCAGACCCGGACGCGGCCGTCATAGCTTTCTCACACGGTGCAAGTGCGCCGTGCTTTCCGCGTGGACCATTTCGTTGATTTTTGACGCAGGCCAATGGTCTCCTACGCCCGTCGGTTCCCCCGAACGTGGTAGCATTGGGCGTGTGTTCAGTAGTGGACGTTTCCACCATGTTGATGCGGCATTTGAGTACTCCAGCCGGCCTGTCGCATGGGCCTGTCGCCGGAGGGTCTGCTCTCAGTTACGGTCAGCGTTTAACGGCTTCGCGCATCCAGGGGACACCACTTGGAGGTGGCAGACCGCTCGTCCCCTTAGAATAATAACCACTTGGAGGTGGCAGACCGCTCGTCCCCAGAGTAATTCTGCTGTCCCCAAAAAGAGTAATTCTGCTCTTTTTCCTATTCTGGCTCAGTTCAATAGCTTGATTGAAATAATGGTTTCATAGATGATTCTCTACGAAGATACACGATTTCACAATTCACTAGTTACATACTGATTCTACTAGACAGCAACATTTGCAATAGATGATTTACCCTTCTGGTAAGTTGTCAATAGTCATTTGTTAAGAATTTCAAGAAGTTCATTGGGAGACTCCTATGAATTACCTGTGGATTTTAAAAAGTATCAATTATAGAACACAAACTTTAATTTAAATGAATGTCTACACTTCAAAACTTTTTGAATAGTAGATACATGTGAAACAGACATGTCCATATTATCATATGGCACAGATGCTTTCAAAAATTGGCTATTACAGAGATGGGTAGGTATATATTATATAGAATATAGATGGGTATATATTCACAGAGTGATTGCTATCACTTATTTTACTATTTGCCACCAAACAGCCATTTATCACAAAGCAACCCAGTGAAGCTGTTGCTCTCCCAATCCCTAGACTCCTGGATTTTAGGATGCTCTTCATTTTTCCTATATTAAAATAAGCAAGACAACTTGTCTAATGGATACAAGGAGATATCCGTGCGCATGATAAAATCTTTATAGATCAGCATTTCTTCTAAACATGTCTTTATATGGTCATCATTTATAAAGCCATACTGGCATAGTCCTAGTCATTTAAAGCAAAATATTGACTTCAATAAAGAGTGACCGGTCCCGTTTTCTCACTGCTGTAATATAAAATAGTTGCTGGACCTTAAATGTTTTTTTCATTTTGGAGAGGTAAGATTTCTCTTATCATTATTTCTTATTTTATTCAATGCAAGATTGCTTCTATCTTTAGGCCTGGGTAAGTTTAAAAAAAAAGGGTTGCAAAGGGAAGACTTGTGTAAACTGATGATCTTATGTACAGCTTCTACATTTTTTTTTCAGTCCTGTGTCAATATTTGCAATATAGTATTAACTTCTCTCTGATCCTATAGAAGTTGCTTATTTTTGTATATCTAAGATTTCTAGAAAATCTCTTTGAGATGTAATATTTCTTTTCAGTCCCAGAAATCTTGGATTGAAGGTGTCTTCAGTAAAAGAGAATGTGCAAAAATTGTACCCAGCTCAAAAGATTCTCACAGGTACTTTGCTTCTTCTTGTGTTTTTTTTTTTGTTTGAACAGTACAAGGAATATGGTGTATTCTGTATAAATGTATACTGAACAAAATCAGCATTCATTGCCTAAAGAGAAAAGTTAGACATGCTGACATAAGAAAAATCTGAAATCTTATTAGCACCATTAAGTTAATGCCAAATAATAAAAATTTGTATAAAGATTTTCAGACAGAGCTCTTCAATATGCAAGATTGGAAATGAAACATTGGCCTGTGTGAGGGACCTGATATTTAAACCACAAAATTAAATACTGTCATTTTCATTTCTGTAAATAATTAGCTTAAAGGTGCCGCTATATTTTAACTCAGCATTTCCAGCTTTTCCTCTTAAAAGTGATACTTCTACAAACTAGATGGCACTAGAAGAAATACGTTTATCATGGATTAAATATTCTTCACATATTATTTCAGTGTTCTGCACATTTAGATTGGCTTATATTAATGCAAAAGGAATTAATACAAAGGAACAGAAATAAAATGCAGTGTGAGACATGATGGACCAGTGTCCAGTATGTTAATGCAGTTATTATAACAAACAACAACTATAAACTAGATTTATTTGCCTGACTTGGAATAAAGTTAGCATAAAGAGCATTGAATCATTAGATACAGATAGACAGTCCTTGTTTAGCAACCACAATTGGCTCTGGTGACTCTGCTAAGTGAAGTGGTAGCTAAGTGAAAATCAGGTGACCATGACTTTGCTTTTCTGATGGAATGTGCACCTGGAGAAGCAGCATATAGGAGTTTTGGCAATAGACGAACCAAATAGACCTCGAATGTGATACTATGTATGCACTAAAATGAATATGTTGGTCAAGAATAACTGTACAAAACTAGCATTGTATAAATAGTATACACGCTATTTGTTCTTTACTTTAGTATGTATGGCGAAGGAAATGCCAGGATGGTCACACTGTGTTCAATATTTTGATATGTAAATAATAAAAAAAAATATAACTGCGAAGAAAATGAGCCTTCCCATATGGGACACCCCTGCAGTGAACCTGCTCAGCTCACTCCTTATTTGCTGGGGGAGGTGGCATTCTTGCCATCTGTCTAGCAGCTTGGATAAATATAAAGAAACTCACAGATACTATAGCTGGTGGGTGGGGAGGAGGAAGGAGGTATCTGTAGTGAAGCTGCTCTTCAATGGAAAGAAAGAACTGATTTTGTTTTCTGGGTGAGGGTAAGGGTGAAGGACAGGAACAGGGAAGAATGTCATATGAAACCATGACAAAAGTTTGGCTGAAATCAAAGGAGATTATATCCAAAACATTGTTCTTGTCTGCTCACATAGAAATTTGTCAAAAAAGGAAATGAGATTTATCTCATATTTGGACAAACTGAAGCTTTGTCTTCAAGAGGTTTATAAAGGACCTGTTTCATTATATTCTGTAACATAGTTTTAGGTATTGTTAGGCTCAATGGTTAATCATTCCTGAGATATCATTCTTCCTCTTTCTTAAATAATAGACCACATTTGTTCTTCAAGTAGTTGGCAGAAGTCCCAACAGCTCTTCAATCAATCTCTTCAATACTGGAGGGTGTATTTCATTGGGGCCTGGGGTTTGAAAACATTCATATTAGCTATGAAGTCCTTTACTACATACTTACTAGCTTGCATCTTCCCTTTCCTAGTATGGTTTGATTGCTTTTTGTACCCTATGAGTATTATTAAGTGTTGTACCTTATGATTCTTGACTCTTGATGAATGAATCGTTTCTTTTATGTACACTGAGAGTATTTGCACCAAGACAAATTCCTTGTGTGTCCAATCACACTTGGCTAATAAAGAATTCTATTCTATTCTTATTATATTTTTCAAGTCTACACTATGAAAATCACCATGTCTTTTGTAAAGGCAGAAGGAACATTGGCATTTTCTCTGCTTTCTTGGTCATCTTTTAAGATTGCCCAGTTTGGAATAAGCACTGAGTTCAAGACCTCTGTTTCTCTTGATGATGACATCTTTGAGCAAACCTTTTTATTGGCTAAAATCAGCTAGCAAGAGAGACGTATCAATAACATGACATTATTTATATGTCTCTCTAGCTAGCTGATTTTCTACCTTTGCCCTCCTGCCCTCATTGTTGCATTTTTGAGCTCTGTAAACTTCCTTGGCTGTTAACCCTTCCTTATATTCCTAATACACATCCTTATTTAGAGTCACAATGACTTCATAGCTCTTTTAGGCTTAAGCAAACTACTTTAATAAATCTCCATCTATGGCTTTTGCCTGTTTGAGTCAACTGTAGCAGACAATTGATATTCTTTCTATTAACCTACCCTTTTATTTTAACCCAGATGTTTTCAACATTCACGTTACCATCAATCCAGTGGACCACTGTACAGGTAAGTATATTCTTGATATACACTAATTTTTAATTCTTGTGAATTTCCCATTTTATCCAACAATATGTACCGATCAAGCCAAAAAATTATTATTGTGGTTCCTTCCATGTTTCTATAATTCTTCTATAATCCTTGTAGATCCAGTTTATTTTAGTGGTTAAGATGCTGATATAGAAAGTAGGAGATTGATATGATCACAGAGGTCATTTATGTAGAGTATGAAAAGAGTTGGTTCTAGAACACTGCCCTGGGGGACACCACTGTTGACAGGTACAGAATTTTATAGGACGCTCCCAATTTTGACTATTTGTTGTCTGTTTGACAGGAATGCTTCTATCCAGTTATGTAGGTGTCCAGAGATACCGTAAAATTTTAGTTTTAGGAGTAGTTTGTCATGTACCACTGAATCAAAGGCTTTCCAGAAGTCTATATAGATTACGTCTATTGCTTTGCCCTGATTGAGTTGTGTAGTCTGTATGTTTTTGCAGTGTAAGAGTTGCAGATTACATGATAGTTTTTTCCTGAAACCAAATTGTTTATTAGAGAGTAGGTTGTTTGTTTCTAAGTGGATATATATATATATATATAGATGAGTGGATATAAGTGGATATATATATAGATATAGATAGATAGATAGATAGATAGATAGATAGATAGATAGATAGATAGAAAGATAGATAGATAGATAGATAGATAGATAGATAGATAGATAGATAGATAGATAGATAGATAGATACCACTTGTATCATACCTGACTTTGTGCCCAATAACATGTAGTTCATATTGTTTGTCATTAAGGATAAAATTGGATACATAAAGAAATATTTAACATCATGTTAAACTTTTTCTATTTGTTCTTCTTTTTTCCTTTTATTCTTTTCTCCTTTTATTCCCTATATTTCATGTGATGCGTTTATATTTTAAACTCCATTTCATTTTTGCTACTATCTTTAGTCTATTACTTACCAATTTGTTATCAAAGATTTTATGATGCTTGTTTCTTTATAGACTAATATTTGAAGAATGGGATCTAAATCCTAAGGAATGCCATACACAATAATGTACAGTTTCAGGCATGTATATTTTATAATTATTGCATTGGGAGGCTAACACAACTACCCTGTTGGAATCATGCATAATAATTTCAACAGGATAGTTGTGTTAGTCTCTTAATGCAAAATGTTGCTGTAACAACAACAACAACAAGAACTTTATGGAATGCAAGTCCCTGGAACTTATGCCATATTCAATGTGTTAAGTCTATGTATTAAATACTACAAAAATGTTCATTTAATTGATTTATATGCTTTGTGCATTTTTTATGGAAACCGTTTTTCAGAGGTTCTGCAGGATGTCAAGTATGCCAGAATCTAATTCGGTAAGACTATCTAAAATCTCAATATCTGCAATATCTGCAAAAAGAATGGAGTATTCTTGACAAATGATGCAATTCCTATTTAAGCATTCTTCAATAATGAAAGAAAGAAAGAAAAGAAAAGAAAAGAAAAGAAAAGAAAAGAAAAGAAAAGAAAGAAAGAAAGAAAGAAAGAAAGAAAGAAAGAAAGAAAGAAAGAAAGAAAGAAAGAAAGAAAGAAAGAAAGAAAGCAGGCAGGAAGGCAGGAATAATTTATTTGCCAGTGATCATGTTATAGTGATGATCTACAAATTGAATTCCAAGATATTAATAACTTTTGTCTTAGAAATGGAGCACAACAAAAATATTTCAGAGAAATTATGTAACTGTGCTCCCCTCAACTTCTGGAAAATCCTGGAAAAACTAGCTACTGCATGAAAGAAAAAAAATAGTAATTTTTTGTAAAAGTCTGCCAAGTTTCCAACGGGCAACTTTTTTTTATGCTCAGCACAGGTCAAGACCATTGTGCAAGATTTTAATCTCTATTAAAGGGATCTTTAAAACATATTAAAGATAGGGGTAACAACAAGCTTAATTGTAAGGACATTCCTTCCTTTAGGAAGTTAGCCTGTAAAAAAGTTAAACACTGCAATCAAAATGGGCAAGATCATTTAGATCAACATAATGAGAAAACAATACTTTGAATCCCAGGGATTGCTTTAATGGTGAGTAAAGAGTGAGTAGAAAGTGAAATTGTCCACCACTTCTCTAAAAAAAAGGTACTTGCAAATATCAATTTACTAAGAGATATGTTGACAGAGGCAAGGATTAATTTAGCACAACACTAGAAAAGAAAGATGTTACTGAAGATATCAGACTGGGATCTTAAATTTGGAAAACTAACCGCATACATGTACAACATAAGTTTAACTAAATTGAAGCAAGAATGGCTCCAATGCATATTTTGTATTATGCAACAAGCCAAAGATAAATATTTGAAGCATGGTTTTGATACCCTTGTCTTTGCCACTCTATTTTTGAAACATCAATTTTTAAATAAGAACTGAAATCCAGGACATGGAAAAAAATAAATGTCTATAAATATTGGACATTAGTTAAGTACAACAAAAGAAATGTTAACATATTTATCTATAATGTTCTTAGTAGTTTTTCATCTTTTCATTTCATTTCCTTTTCTTTTTTGTTCTTAACAAATAGAAGAAATTTTGGCTCTTAGCTCCAAGACTGAATTCCTATTCTCATTATTAAAATAATGCAACATAAGAATAAAATGTAATTTAATGATTTTATGGTTAACTTCTAATCAAAGATACACTGAGCACTAACAATACACTCTTGGCAATTCTTTTGTCCAATCATGAATATTATATTTCTATACTAGAAATATTTAAAAAAACACCTAAAAATAGTTATTTGCCTGTTCTGACAAAGTGGCACATCATGAGTTCTTTTTTTTTTTTAAACAATCAATAACCAAATTAATCTAGACTCAATTAAAACAAGCTCTGGACAACTTGGACAATTGATATTTTACAAAAGAAAGCTTACAAATAAAAAACAGACGCCATGTTTTTCATACATTGAAAGATGCAGTTATGTTTTGAGCTTCAGAAAGCATGAGAATAATGTTCATATTTTTAATATTAAACTTTGAGCCAAAGTAGCTAGTATGGTGATTTAATGTTAAAAAAAAGAGCACCAACTTTGATTGAATTAATACTAATAGAAACTCTCTCTTTCTATTTGAGATGTTGTTGTGGTCGGCTAATTGGTGATCACCATGGGGTAGATTATGGTTATCCTGTATTTCAGTCCGAAAAAGAAAAACATAATGTGGAATGGTCTGTTGAAAGAGATACAAAGATTAGTCCAACTGATGCATTTGGTACAATCAATTTTCAAGACAGTGATCACACATACCATGCCAAGGTTTGTACAACTTTAAACCTGGATTTGTAACACTATCGAGTTTATTACAGAATTCTGTAGAAGTACGACTGTGAAACTCTATGAAACCAATATTAGTACTAAACATAAAACCGCTGTGAGATTGAACAAAGAGAACCTATATAAATGTGCTTTTATTTAAATGTTTTGTCACAACTTGTTGAGCTGAATATCAGCAAACAATACATATGAATCATGATGGAAATAGCAGTCTTAATACCTCAATTGTAATAATTGCAGAAAAGAAGGATTATGACGATGGAGATATTAAGGAGCTATTGCCTAGGCATAAGGTACCGAAGTATTGTTTTTTAAGTTCAGAGCAACCACGTAACATTCAGAAGTAACTCAGCAGATGCCTCCCTAATTTACTGAAATATAAAAAGCAGGAAATATAAAAAGCAGACCCAAAGGCAACTGGACCTTCTTGGTTTTCTTCCTTTGAAAATGTTTTGCTTCTCATTCAAGAGGCTTCTTGGATAAGAAGCAAAATGTTTTCAAAGGAAAAAACAAACAAAAAGGTCCAGTTGCTTTTTGGGGGGAAAAAACAGCTTTGGGACAACCATGACCTGGATGATTGAGAATCACCATAGACATTTACATAATCAGACTTTCAAGATTCTGTTATAATAACCAATCTTAATAAAAAATAGTTTTAGCCTTCTTGTTGAGTTGATTTTCTGGTTTATCTAACAGGCTAGAAAATAATTTAATTAAAGCAGGGAATCCATTCACTCCCTTTGTGATAAATGTACACTTTTCCGACCAGGAATTTGGAAAACATTAAAACATTAGTGAAATCATATTAATCAGTGGATTTCTGTTCCTGTTGATGTTGTGGTACTGGGGAAGAAAAAGACATCAGGTAGACAATTAAAGTTGTGAAGCATGATTTGAACCATGAAACTGAAAATTGTAGGCAATGTTACAGAGTTGAAAAAGTCTTGAAGGTTGGAGAGCCACAGAAATTACCTTGGAACAAACAGGCAGAAATGACTATGAAAACAAAAGCTTTGTTAAGCGTGGGAAACAGAGAAATCATGAGATAGATGGTAAAACTGGCTCCACTACAGTGGTGGGATTCAAATTTTTTTACTACCGGTTCTGTGGGTGTGCCTTGGTGGGCGTGGCTTGGTGGGCATGGCAGGGGAAGGATTCTGTAAAATCTCCATTCCACCCCACTCCAGGGAGAAGGTTACTGCAAAATCTCCATTCCCTCCCCACCCCACTAACCTGCTTTCCAGCTCCATTCTCCTGTGCAGGGCAACAAAAGAAGAGGCAGCGGATCAGCTGGGACTCAGGAGGCAGAGAATAGATGGGGGTGGGGCCAGTCAGAGGTGGTATTTGCTGGTTCTCCGAACTACTCAAAATTTCCGCTACTGGTTCTCCAGAACTGGTCAGAACCTGCTGAATACCATCTCTGCTCCACTGTAATTCTCTAAGGTATTAAAAGAGAGAAGGGAAAATAAAGGCTTTCAAAATTCTGTCAGTACAGCCTAAATTAATGAAGTATAGTTCCAATCAAACTTTGTAGAGTTTCTTTCTTTGACCTAGTGTCAAACTCACATTGTCATGGTGTCATCTCGTGACGTATCGTGACTTTTTTCCTCTTCACTAAACCAGGTGTGGGCGTGGCCAGAAAGTGACACATCTGGCCCATGGGCCACGAGTTTGACAGCCCTGACCTAGGGCCTATTTGATAGAGAAAGGCAAGACAATGATTAGAACTCACAGCAGCTTGAGGAAGCTAGAATTAAGTTTCTATATTATTCCTGTAATCTTATAGTTATTCCTGTTGTTTTTGTGTTTGGGCAACTACAGACATTGTGGTTTTCTTTGGTCCCACAGTATATCAGAACCTCTTACGACATAAAACTAGATCAGCTGTTGCAGCTCATGATTAAAGAATGGCAGATGGAATTTCCCAGATTGGTCATTTCGGTTCACGGTGGTATCCAAAACTTCAAACTTCCATCTAAACTGCTGCAACTTTTCAGCAAAGGATTGGTCAAAGCTGCTGAAACTACAGGAGCTTGGATATTAACAGAAGGAATTAACACCGGTAAACTTCTCTCTCTTTAATATTTGGTAGGCAAATGTTTCTGACATCTGTGAACACTAGAATAGTCTTGCTATGACCCTGTTTGATAGGAGTTACATATTAAGCATATTAAGACTATACCAGGTAGCAGTAGAGCTGCTTGTGTCTGTCATATGCACGCAACAGAGCTGTTTTAAAGGATGGTACTCTCCCCAAATATATTGCTTACTTCCTTGTAGTATCTTCTTCCAAGCACTCTTGGACAATAATATTAATTTACAGAAATAAAAGTTTTGTGTAGGAGTTAAAGAGCTGGCCCAGAAACCAGTTGACGGTGAGTTCTAGTCCCGTCATAATCTAGCCACTCTCTTAGCCCAATATTATTACACATTCTCAATCATATTTAACATAAAGCATGTGGAAAAATATTGTGCCATCTCATTCTTCAGGAAAAAAAATCATGTATGATAAGTGAGGAACCAATGCACATTATTGTGTAGATATTTTACAGACGTACATAATTAAAATGTAGTAATTCCATCAGATTCAACATTGCTCTGATTCTCATTTACCTTTGGAAAGATATTTCATTTCTGTAATCTGATCATATTGTAAATGTGTAATGATGATAATATGTCATCTATTTCAATGTAATTGTCTAGGAATATCTAAGCATGTGGGAAATGCATTGAAATTCCATGCCTCTCAATATTTAAGAAAGATCTGTGCTATTGGAATTTCTCCTTGGGGCATCATTGAAAATCAGAAAGAACTTATTGGCAAAGACGTGAGTTCCCAAATGGTTTTTTTCCCCTTTAATGAACTCTTTGCACTGTTGCACTGTGTAAGTATAAGAGACAAGGTATAGATTGGAGAACACTACAATTTCCTACTTATAGTATATGTGAAGATAAATATTTCTATTTACTTGTTTAAGTTGCTGCAAATTTTGTTGTCTAGAATATATCCTGTATAATACTGGTAATTTACTGGTCATTTAAAATATCTTATTATTTATTTATCATATGCACCGAACAGAGGTGGTATTCAGCAGGTTCTGACCAGTTCTGGAGAACCGGTAGCAGAAATTTTGAGTAGTTCGTGGAACCGGCAAATGCCACCTCTGACTGGCCCTGCTCCTATCTATTCTCTGCCTCCCAAGTCCCAGCTGATCAGCTGGGTCTTCTTTTGTTGCCCTGCACAGGAGAACGGAGCTGGAAAGCAGGTTAATGGGGTGGGGAGGAAATAGGATTTTACAGTATCCTTCCCCTGCCATGGCCATGAAGCCACACCCACAAAGCCAGTAGTAAAAAAAATTGGCACCGAAACTTCTAAAACTATATTTCTGTTTTAACCTCCCATTGTTAAATAGTTTGGACAGAGAAATATGGCTGAGAAGTCCCCTGATTTTTGATCCAAATTCACTCCATCCTTATACCACACAGATTCTCAACTAATTAGAGTCCCAGTCCATTATAATCTAGAAACCCACAATTACACCTGTTACATTTTTTCCCTGCAGTTATAAACATACTTCTTTTAGAAATGAAACTTGGGTTTTAAAATTCTGTATAACAGAGATGTTAATATTTATAGGATGGAGAGTATTTTTTTCCATTACATTTGAACAATTTTCAAATGGCAAGCTTTTTTTAAAGGATTATAATATATTTTAAAGCTAGGGGAATATCAGGTGAGATTTGTCTATTTATTTCTGCACAGAAATACATACTGTGTTTATTTTTGTATGATTTACTGTGGAATTTATAATTATTAGGTATTTAGCAGAATGTCAAAGTATAAGAAAAGTGTTTGGAACTATTTATGAATCATTCATTTTTGATTTTATGGAAGTAAATCATATTAGTTTTCATTGTGCAATGTAAGATACCACTTGAAATTTTATATTTATATATTGAAAATTAATCAATCATGACAAACCTCACAAACTAAGTCACTTCTTATGCGACTAAATTGTGCCATAGGTTATCCTGTTAGCAAGATCATTGTTGTTTCATTTTTTAAAAAAGTAATGAAGATTAATAAGAAATGAAATGCTCTTTATTTTTTCTACCAATCCTGTAAAAAATGTTATTCACAAAAAGTATAGAAGAACAACAGGATAGCGTAATGGAAGAGGAAAAAAATCTTTTCATATTTCATCTGCAAAATCTTCTCTCCCTCCTATATGGAATTTCTCATTACCTAAGGCTGTTAATTTGCCAGGGACAACTTCTTCCTGAGCTACTAATGTTTGTTTGCCATCCATCTTAATGACAGTGAAACTGTGCTTTGGAAGGGCTGTTTTTTAATTTTTGTGTCTCATTAGGTAGTCTGCCTGTATCAGACACTTGGAAATCCCCTTAGCAAGCTGAGCACCCTCAACAGCATGCATTCCCATTTCATACTGGTTGATGATGGCACAGTGGGCAAGTATGGCAGTGAGATGAAACTCAGGAGAAGTCTGGAAAAGTATCTATCACTTCAAAAAATACATACCAGTAAGAAATCCTTATTCTGTATTACTTCTGTGAGAACCTCTTTCAGTGGTGCACTTTTCTAATTGATCTTGGGGATAGAGGGATTGTGTATTTTGGCAACCCTACCCCTACCCCTATTCCTACTCTATCTCTACTCCTACCTCAGAGGTCTGCAATCTGTGGCTCTGGAGCCGCATGCGGCTCTTTTAGCCCTCTGCTGCAGCTCCCTGTTGGCTGATCCCATCACTGGCTGGCCCCTCCCGTCCCTCCCGTCACTCCTCGCCTGTCCTGAGAAGCCGGGGTGGTATTCAGCAGGTTCTGACCAGTTCTGGAGAACCGGTAGTGGAAATTTTGAGTAGTTCAGAGAACCAGCAAATACCATCTCTAACTGGAGATTTTACAATATCCTTCCCTGGCCATGCCCACCAAGCCATGCCCACAGAACCGGGAGTAAAAGAAATTGAATCCCACCACTGCTGAGAAGGTAAGGATGATGGCAGGGGATGGAGACTCACTCCATATTCCAGAGTAGGAGGGGACTGAGTGGGAATGAGTGACGTCGAGTTGGCCACGCCCACCCAATCACACCGGTTGTTAAATTATTGGCTCCCGGTGTTTTCTTTTCTGTGGGATACAGATCCAAATGGCTCTTTGTGTGTTTAAGGTTGCAGACCCCTGCCCTACCTCTACCTTAACCCAAACCCCAAACCCAAACCCAACCCTAACCCTAATTCTAACCTTAACCCTTTCAATGAAGTGGTTTGTTTTATTGGTCTTACCATATTTTTTATTAGTAATTTCTTGATATTTCTGTTCTTTTTAAATCAACATACCATTACTATGTATTTAATTGTTAAAGTAGTCATTAAAAACATGCATTTTTAAAAGGTTTTTCTTTTTATTTCATGCAAGAAGTAAAAGCATCTTCTGATGAGAAGCTTATCATAGGGCAGATACTGTTTATAAAAAAAAAATACAAGAAAAATATTCTTGATTCTGAAAATAGCTGTCATGCATACCCACATTCATCCCACTGAACAAATGAAATCTAGTCACGTATTAAAATGTGCCATTTTTATTAAGGGAAAAGTCTTCCATTTACAGTTCTAACATTTTGTAACGTGAGAAACGTTATGAGCAACAGATTTCAACAAGTACTGAATCCCCTAAATGAATGGTTGCAATTTCTGTGTGATTTGAAATAGGAATGGGACAAGGTGTGCCCTTAGTTGGGCTAGTGGTAGAAGGTGGTCCCAATGAAATCCTGACAGTCTGGGAATATGTCAGGGACACACCTGCTGTTCCAGTAGTGATATGTGAAGGAACTGGAAGAGCTGCAGACCTTCTTGCATTCACTTATAAACACACCGCAGATGACAGGTGAGTATTTGCATAACATTCCTTCAAATATGGAATGAAAAAATAGTGCGCCAAAATAAGCAGCTCAAATCTTTAAATGATTCTTTAAATCTTGTTTCTTAAGACAACTTCTGTCTAGTTCATATTTGGTTATAGGTAGACAGTTGTTAAATGAATTTTGCCCTATTTTATTACCCTTTTTGCTCTAGTTATTAAGCAAATCATGGCAGTCATTAAGTGAATCACACTGTTGTTAAGCAAATTTAGCTTTACCATCGAAATTGCTTGCTGGAAACCTGCTTTGAAGGTACAAATCACCCAATCCAACCTTCACAAATGCCTGCCTTTACCAAACACCTGTATTTTGATCGCATGGGGATGCTCCAATGGTCACAAATGTGAAAAACAGTCATTTTTTTCAGTGCCGTTGTAACGTTGAAAGGTTATTAAATGAATGGTTATAAGTCAAAATATATTTAGGAGAGGTACAGTATAACAAGCATTGCTGGGGCTATTGGAAAATGTTACGCTGGTGGGGAACATGACAAGATGCATGTAATGAACTAATATCTATTTCACCATTCATTTCCTGTCAGAAACTGGAACACTCAACTTAAGGAAAAGATATTATTAAAGATTAAAAATAGCTTCAGTTTTGGACAAAAGCAGTCCCATCACTTGTTCAAAATTTTAATGGAATGTATGGAACATAGAGATTCTGTAAGTATCCTGATTTAATGGTATCTCTTTATTAATCCCATCCTCTTCTCTGTCACTGAATTATTACTTATACCAAGATACTGTTTAATTAATATTATCAAAAGAAAAAATATGAATTAATAATTATTGATATTTCATAATTATTAATATCATTATAATAATAGTGACAAATACTTTTTTTAAAGCAAATTTTATTAATTTCAAAAACAAACAAATCATCATCAACCATTACATATTTAAACCTTTTTCCATTATAAATTTTACAAGTCAGATAAAACCTTATCTTATACAATACAATTCTATTTTAAGCCATTTCCATATGAGCATAAAAATACCTCTTATCCAATTTCTCTTTACTTCTCTTTACTCTTATTCAATTTCACTATTATTATTTCATCTATTTCTTTCTGACTTGATCACCATTATTTTCATTCTGTAGTTCTACAAGGTTTTATTAATGCTCTCAAAAACATAGACACACAACAAACAAACATATAAAAAATCTTTTAGGAAAGTAACTTGGCCCCAGGTACCTCTCTTTATATGGGCTTTAATTATATTCATGCTCATCTTACAGATCATTACCTATTTTGTTTACCATTCTGTATCTTCTATATATACTTCTCCACACATTTCACTCTTCATAATTCTATCTTATTTAATCCATCTTAATTTAAATCATTATATTGTATCTTTTGCCCATTCTTTATTATCCCTCTATCTCATTCCTTATAATGAAAAAAAAAAAAAAGAATTTCTCCTGAAATCACTAATCAGAGTGTGATGCCTTTCTATCCTCCCCCTAAATTAATTAGATTAACATTTAAACTAACACCTAATACCCAATCTGATTCTGCTTGGTACATTCTATCTACTAATTTTTTCTTTTAATAACAATAAAAACAGAGTAATAAATCGAAAATGTTTAAATACATAGTGCCCTCCTAAATACATAGTTGAATAATAAATCTAAATATTAAATCTTATAACATTCCCATTGTCTTTCCCTTTAATATTTTATTACATTTTAAAATCAATCATTATTAAACATTTCAACATTTTGATTTCTTATTAACTCTTAAGCCATTCTAATTTTCTATTTCTAATACAGATGTTACAATACCATCTTATGTACCTTGCAAAATCTTTTTTAGAAATTATCCTTTACCCTTTGTCCCTAAAAAAGATTCCTCTTTTCCCATCTAATTTCAAAACATTGTGGCTTTTCTCCGCCTTTCCCCTTTCTTTCTTCCCCCACCAAATCTTCCTACCCCCCTTCTTCTAGCCTCTGCCTTGCTAGCATCCCTTCTCTGTTGTGTTCCCTTTTTCTTTTGTTTACTATCATTATGTTTATTTTGCATCATATTTTTCTCTTTCTTAAATGTTTTTTTAGATCTTAAGTCCTTCATTTTCCTCGCTTTCTTCCTTCCTTCTTTCTTAGATAAATTTTGGGATTCATTAAAGATGGCGTCTTCGTCTTCTTCTTCTTGTTGTTCTTCTGCTTCCATCTGTTGTATTGTTTGCTGATAGTTAACCAGCACCATTTCTAAAAATAGGAAGGCTTTTTCCATACCATCTTTACAGGCTGCTTTTGTTTGCTCATATTCTTCCCTCAGTTCCTCAAAAGAAAAAGCCATTATAAATCTTTTCTTTTCTTTTTTTCCCTCTTTCTTCTTACACCAACCAAGATATTTCAAGAGAAAGTAAAACAGTCCCAAAATCCACAATCCTCAATCAACCCAGGCCAAGACAGAATTCTCTCTTTCTCTTCCAGGGGTAGTATCAGACAAAGGAAAAAAGAAAGTCCAAATCTGTATTTTGAAGCCTTATTAGAGTTATATTTCTGTCTTCAAATCCTTAAGGCATCTCCTCCAACAAAATCAAACCTGTTTTTTTTTGTCCTCTCCCTTCCGACTTATCCCAAAAGCTAGTTTTACCTGAAAAAAAAAACAGGTTTCTCAATACCACTTATTAATTCCGTCGGGAGGGAGAATCAACTTTCCTTTCAGCACCTCAGAATTGCCGCTTATTTTCTCTTGTAGAAAGAATCATCCAAAAAGCCATCATTTCCAGGAATTAAATTAAATGTATCTCAGAGTCCTGGATCAACCAAGAAAACTTTCACTCTCAAAAGCTTTCTCCTCTTCCTCCAGCGCATACTTGCGCAGCTGCCGGCTTCTTTGTGGCGGCCATTGCGGACCGCCGCTGCGCCGTCTTGGGAAAAGGGGGTTCTGCCGGCCGGGGAGGGGGTCTGCAACACCCCCAAACTCCTCTCCGGATCCCCCCTATCTTCAGCTACCCCTGCAGGGTAGCCTAGCTCCGGACCCGTCCGGATCGGAGCACCAAAAGCGGCTAGCGCGGCAGGGATCGCGTGGAATCGCAAATCCCTGCCGCTCGCGAAGCCAACAAACCGGAAGTCCCCGACAAATACTTTTTTTAAATAAGGCATTTGTATACTTCAAGATAAGGTTGGACATTTTTGCACTAATGATATGAATCAGTAATCCTTATATTTTTCTTTCTATCATCTTTCACAAAAAAAACGTAGTTTCACAATACATTTTGATCAATTGCAGCAGGATATTTATCTGGAACACATATGAAGAAATCTGTTGAATTCAATTTGGTTTTATTTATCATTTAGTCAATCATAGTCAGCCGTTTGCATATTTGTGCCCATATTTTACATATTTTTTTAATATAGTTTTCATAATAAGTTCATTCTGCAAATGATTCCTCTCATGAAGTATATTTTTGTACAATTCTAATATACACAATTTTATGCACCATATCTCCCTAACGCTATGCATTTTTGTGTTAACATCCATTGTTATACTTGCAGAGCAATACTCGTCCTTATACTTTTTCGGTTGGGATACTTTGAGAAAATTATTTGATTGCTACAATTTTTATATTAGTTTGCATATTGATATTGGAATCACAAATTATGATAATGTGGCTTAAAATATGAAATGACTGTCCATCATTCTTTCTTTGGAAGCATTATGAAATGATTTGAATTCTTCCCTTATATATGCAGACTCCATCTGTCTTCAGCATTTGCTTCCTATTCTTTATGCAGCTTAACTCCCGCTGTCTTAGATATCTCTCTGCCATGCCAGCTTCAGCTTATTCCTTCTGATCTTATTTTCATATTTTTCAGGGCATTGATTCTCTTCCTTCCTGTCAATCTTTTTCTCTAAAACTTAGGAGATCTTAGAAATTGTCTAATGGTGTTCGCTTTTCTTTCCTCTGGTAACTTATGTTATTTTTGACAGATAACAATATTTGATGCTGAATCAGAGGAACATCAGGACATGGATCTCTCAATCCTGACTGCACTCTTGAAAGGTACTTTATGTTGTCTTTTCTCACGTACTTCCAAAATCAAATCAGGAAGTAGAAGTTAAATTATTCTGAGTATGAAACTTAACACATAATGTGTTTATTCATAGGCACACATATGTCTGCTCCAGATCAGCTCAATCTGGCTCTGGCTTGGAACAGATTGGACATTGCTAAAAAACATATATTGGTTTATGGACAACACTGGAAGGTAAATTTCATATTTAATTTCTTTCTGCTGCATACGACTACTACCATCAGTTCTGCTTTTCTGCATTGTTTTACATGTCTTATCATGCATATGGTGCATTTTATATCTGAATTGCCATCAGCGCTGTGATAACATTAACAAAAATTTCCATTCCCCATATTGTGTATGAAGGTTGGCTCCCTTGAACAAGCAATGCAGGATGCCCTTATTATGGATCAGGTAGAATTTGTGAAATTGCTAATAGAACATGGTGTGAATCTACACCGCTTCCTTACGATATCCCGACTGGAAGAACTATACAATACTGTGAGTACCTGAAATTCTGATTTGCTTTTAATAATGACAAATGACTTTTAAACCATAGAATCAAAGAAACGAAACAGCATCACAAACTCGGTCGTTACTGTATAAATAGGTTACAGGATAACTACAAAGACCCATAAAAATGTTAGGTCATTCTCTGGTTTGGGTCTCTTCAGCAACAGATCAAAATCCGTGATTGTGCGCAGTTTCGATCTGTGCTCGCCGCTGGAGTGCCCCGATCCTTTGGATTCGGGGCTGAAGCCATCCCATAGAGGTGGTGAAGAGGGGGGAAATTGCTAGCCGAGTGGAGGGGAGCCGCATCTCTCCTCCTTGGCTGGTCTAAACTCTGGTCTAAGACAGATGAAAGTATAAGTACAATGAATAAAAAGATATAGAAATTTAGATAAAAGAAATACAATTGAATAAGAAGAAAATGAGATAACCCCCCCCCCAAAATTAAGAGAAATAAAGGGAGAAATAGTGAGAAGTTGGAAAAAGAGTAATAAGATATGAAGTTGAATACATAAGATGAATATGCATATGAAATTGTGTCTGTATGGAAATGTGATAACCCGGAATGATGCTGTACTCAAATAAGATGTTTTATTCGTTTTGTTAAAACTCAATAAAACTTTATTAAAAAAAAAAGTTAGGTCCTTGAAATTTATATTTTCCCAGGGAAAATTATTTCTTTAACCAAGAGGGAAGTAAAAACATGCACTAAACAGCTAATACATATATTAAATATATAGAAATCAGTGGGGTTTTAAAATATATTATTATAAAATAGAGAAAAAAAATTCCCCAAAATTTGGCTATTTGACTTCTGATTTAGCCTTAAGAATAATTTTGTTCCCTTGCCAGTTTTGTTCTAATGGACAGCTCTATTTTGTTTTGTGCGACATCTATCCCACCATGCTATATAAAATGGTAGAAGGAATTGGGCAAAGCAAGTAAAAAACTCCAATGTTAACAATCTTTTTTTCTTTTCAGCGTTTGGAAGCATCTCAGGCCACTTAAAGATTGTGAAACCCACAACAATAATTTTTAAAAAATCCTTGAAAAAAATAACACAGGATGTAAATAAGCTATGTATTTGAAACAGAGTAAGATGAATCCTGGGAATTTTTAAAGAAAAAAGAAAAAAGAAAACTCCCAGATTTTACACTGTTCTTGTCCCCACCTCTCTTGAGTTGAAAACCAAAGTCAAATAGTCTTCCTGAATTCATTCTGATTCACCAGTTTTTATATTCTGGGGTCCAGAATATGACCTCAGTCCCAATAATTGCTTCTGTTTTGAAGAATACTTTTTGACCACCACATGCTGAGATTTTGCAAGTTCTTGTAAAAGAAATTTGAAGTCTTGTGAGATTCTGAAGTTTTCACACAATTTCTTCATGCAAGTCTCTCAAACTCATGAACAATTTAAAAAATAGTGTAATTAAATATTATTTTTGTGATATATTTACATGCTATTCATTTATTCATGTTATTTTTTTTATTTCTAAATTCCAGAGACAAGGGCCAACAAACCTACTTTTGCATCATCTTCTTTGTGACGTGAAACAGGTAATTTCCTTCTAAAATACGAAGAGCAAGGGCTTTTATAGGCAGCAATTTATCACTATTTGGTATTAACAAATGTATATATCAGGGGTGCCAACCTTGGCAACTTTAAGATATGTGGATTTCAACTCACAGAATTCGCCAGCCGGCCATGCAAGTCTAACAATTGGCAAGGTTGGACATTTATTGGTCCATAGCAATTGCTGTAATAAAAAAGATGATACTAAATAAGATTTTCTAATTGAATACTCTTCTGTGAAATATTCTCCATTCCTTTTTGTCTTGTTACGGAGGAAGATATCTGGGTAACTTCTAATTAAAGATGTAAAAATTTGAGGAATATGGTATTGACTAACATGGTAAAAGCTATAACTGCTCATAGGTTATTGCTACAATGAATGTATATGTAAATTGTGGAACTTTGTTCTAATTAAGTGTTCTTCAGTAGCTAAAGTAACAACAAAGGTGATTCTTATATTCAATATTCAAGTTAACTTTCTGTAAAAGCATTAAGTTATATAGTAAATATTTTATTTTATTTCAGGCACTCTATTTGGCCATCAGATAATTTGACTTTTATCTCTTCATTTCATTTGTTTGGCAGTTTTCCCGATTTTAAAAACCTTGTCAAATATTTGTTTCACTGGCTTTTATTGATGCCACATTAGATTATTGTTTCATAGCTAACTGTCTTCAATTTTGGCCCAGGAAATAAAAATGAATGAATAAACTGTAGCCTAGAAAAGTTTTATATTCATCACAGTTTAATCAAGAACACAAGAGGAAATTTTAACAAAAGTAATGTCTTGAATTCACTACAAGGTGGCAAGAATAATGCTTTTGAAAGATTTTCTCAGATGTGAAAACAATTTCTTACATATGTTACAAAACAAATATTTGTTGCAATGTACGACGTTAAATATTTGTGTTACAGAGTACTCTTCCCGTGGACTATAAAATATTGTTGATTGATATTGGATTGGTTATAGAATACTTGATTGGTGGAGCTTATCAGAGCAGCTACACAAGAAAACATTTCAGAATTTTATACAATAATATTTACAGGAAACATAAGGTAAATAAGCACATGATTCCATGCCACATTTTCTTACATTGTATGGGGAGCACCCTCGTTCATCATTATTTCTTACCTCCCTTATGCTTTCCTTATGCTGATTTTGTGTTTTTACCATAGGAAGCTCAACTAATGTGGAGAGGGATGGAAGAATAAAGGAAATTCTATTTTTTATGTTTTAAGTGTATATTTGAAATAGACAATAAACAGATGACCCTCATTAGATCAGCACACGATCAGTGTAATATTTCAGATGTGTGACTATTTCTTTTAAAATAGTGACCCAATCTACACCACCGTTACAGCTGTGCAGTAAATAGGAGGGAGCACTAAGTATGCTGCTTTGAACTCCTCTACAAAAACTGAGCTTTAAATCTAATAAAGAAATAAAACAGAGCTATTTTCAAAAGCTAATTGTAAACACTGAGTTTAGCTTAAAATGTACTAACATGATATCCAAGAAATGTTGAAAAATTGCTGTACTTATTTTTTGCTTAGTTTGCAACCATGACACATGCTTTTTGTAAAGCAAATTAAACTCTGTATAGTTTTATAAGCACACATTTTAACTTAGTGGGTGGGAAAGGACCGTTTTGCATGTATGCATGCATTTTAATCAGCATCGTCATGACCAGGATATCTTGTTTGTGCAACCTAGTCTTAATAAAGCTCTTTCTTTCTATTTCATAACAAATCTTTAGAATCAAGACGTTGCCTCCAGGCTGGCGCAGAACCTCTCGCTTCATCAAGTTAATCAGACTGGGAGTCGAAGTGGACCTGCTGAAAATACTTTGCATTTCCAGTTTATTAGAACAGCTCAGCCATACAAATACAAAGTACTGTGAATCTTGTTTACTGGTGCAGTTTGTTAAAAGGGCATTAGACTGGAGATCCTGTTTGTTCACTTGACAAGATAAAAGAGGCAGGCATACTGGCTTAATTCTTTCCCTTTAATATATTGAGACAAGGTTGAATCAGATAAGAGCTAGAAGTAGCACTGGCTTTCTATGCTTCTCTTGTTTTAGTCGGTGCAGTGAGAAGTAGAGAAAGATTTCAGGTCTTTGCTGAAGTCAGATAATAGACAGAGATCGTTTGGAAACACTTTAACCTGCCTGAGCCAACTTAAGATAAGGGATAGACTGAATAGATCTTACTCAAGATTTGACTGTCTGCAACAGTTCTTGTTATTGTGGGGTTTTGCTGAGAGAACAAATAATTCTCCTAAGTCTTTGAGAAGCTCTTCACTCATTTTGTTTCCTGCTAGACATGGCTGATAATAGAATTAGAAATGATTACAGTGTTAGATTATAGAACTGGAATTATGGCTCATTATAAATTATATGCCAGTTTATTGCCTGAATAGTCATGATTTTCTAATGCAAAAAAATATTTATTTAGACAATTTCCTATCTGATTGCTCATCCTCATATCCCAATACAAAAACTGAAGCATAAACATATCCCAGCAATATTTTTTTAATGACATTGCTTTCATCTCATTGACAACTCACAACTGGAGCAATTTAAAATCATAAATCTGCTCTAGTTGTTAAAGCGGTGCTTACTCACTTCTCCCAACACATTTTTTGGGGGACATGATCTAGCACAAGGATCTCCAACCTTGGCAACTTTAAGACTTGTGGACTTCAATTCCCGGTCTTAAAGTTGCCAAGGTTGGAGACCCCTGGGCTAGCCTACTTTATTGATAATAGAATTGACAGATATGCCCTTAGCTGTTGTAGGAATAGGCTGCTGCTCTATTCTCTGTGCACTGCTCTCCATGGACTTTGGCTGAAGAGGAGGCTAGAAATTTAGGTTCTGCAGAAGCATCTGCCCATCTAATACCTTTCTGAAGCACTGCTCATGTCTTAATGTGGACTCCTTATGAATCCTTTGGCATATTTTTAGCATTCAATATCTTGATCCATTACTCCTTATCTCACATGCCTCCTTTTCATCCATTAGTCCAATTGGTGGGTCACAGATGTGGTGGAAAGTGAAGAGTGAAGTGGGACTCAGCACCATGATGTTCCATGCATTCCCTCCTCTGTGCCTGACACTATCAGGCTGGCTGGTTTTAGACACAGGTTTAGTGGGGGTTCCACCCCCCCCCAAAAAAGATTACTAGACCTAAATTCAGAAATAATCCAAGCAATAGATCACACATCTAGAGTATTTCTGAGCTTGCAACCCATTAGTCAGTCAATCTGACAGATGCCTAAAGCATAAATATGTTCCAGCATCTGTCCATTTTCCATTCAAGCATTTTCCAATATTCTCCCATTCCTGTTGCATCACATGTTAAAGAGAGTGATTGTGGGTTTTGTTTTAAAATTCACTGACAGAAAAACAAAGCCAGGAGAATCCACCAATTGCTTTCCTTAATCTGTTTTAGGTTAAATCTATAAGGATATCTGTATTCACTGGCATCATAGCTAAAGCAGAATAAAGCTTCTTCATAAAGGCAACAGAATAAATATAGCTGGCTATTAGTCCTCACCGCTTGATGAGACTTGGCAGCTTTCCCTAGTTTTTAATTGTAGCTGTTGAAATTGTGATCTGGGTTGTGGACTTTGTATTTCTCTGTACTTCTACTTGTTTCAAATACGCCTTATGTGTGTTTAATTGCCTAGGTACAAACCAACCACAAAAAAGTTTAATATTAATTATTGCATACAGTTTTCTGACAGTTGTTTCATGCATTGCGGTTCCATTTGTGAACTTACAATTTTCCATACAATGTTTTTATCTTTTAAATATTACATATTCCCACTTCTGCTTCTAACTTTGTAGCTCCAAGGCATAAAGCTAAGCTTGACTGATGGAGAAAAAAAAAGTTAGGAACAAAAGGCTGAAAGTTTAATGACTGATATTGACTTTTTATTGATATAGGAAAAATCAACAAATTTCCATAAATCTAAGGAGAAGATCAAAGATGAATTCACCGTATTTGATGATCAAGAGTCAGTTGGTTTTATTTACCCCTACAATGATCTCTTGGTTTGGGCAGTTTTAATGAAAAGGCAGAAGATGGCTAGGTTCTTCTGGCAGCATGGAAAGGAAGCAATGGTGAAGGCTGTGGTAGCTTGCAAACTCTATAGAGCCATGGCACGTGAAGCCAAACAATGCAACATGGAGGATGATACAGCCGAGGAACTGAAGAAGTATTCAAAGTAAGGACCTTCCTTTCACTTTGGATAATAATGATCTGCGGTACTTAGAACGATTAGACACTTTTGACTTGGTTACTTAATACAGTTTTTATATTAAGGCAGGTGAAATCTGATCTGAAAAATCTTTTGGCTCCGCATGCAAAGATCTGGCTTGAAACACATGTAATCATCCCTAAGCACTATGTCAGGAGTCCGGCAGTTACCCCAATTAAATCACGAGACTCAGGCCAAACTTCCAAAACTAAACTGGCTTTATTTGGGAGTTAACATGTTGGCACTGCCTGGGTGTAGCTGAGACACATAATTCACTGTCACCCTTGACCCTGGTTTCCCCCCACCCCCTGGGTGTATCATAATTCATATTCTCCAATGACACACATCCATATCCAAGAGTCATAAATCATATTCTCCAGTTAGATTTTTGCACGGCAGAAACTTCAATCACCTCGTTACAATCTCTGAAAAACTATATATGGAATGCAGTTTTGATTTCCAAGCTGCTGCACTGCTCTTTCAAAACCCTCCCCTCCCTTTCTATTTACAACTCTAAAACATCCATATAAATGTTTTATGAGTTGACACACTAATTCAATTTTTTTTCTAGAATTCTTATGCCGTATACATGCATTCTTTACTTTTTATGATGCTACAGTACATCATGTTATATATAAAAAATGATGAATACAAATTCTGGTTTATTTATGAACTATATTTTTATAAACTATATTTAAGCTGATGGTCCTATATGTTTAATTTCATTATTTGAGATACTTTATTTTGTGTATCTGAATGATGCCTAGATTAAAATCTATTGAAATGTTGGCATTATTCCTAAAATGAGTTATTATTTTATAGTATCAGCATGAAACTTATCTGTTCTTTCTGTTCCTATCTGCGATTCATCTTTACTTTATCTGATTAATAGAGTCTGATAGGAAGTATAAAAGACTAAGTCTTGTTAGACATAATGGGATTAATAGCTGAGTAATTAGGTGTATGATTGTAGTAAAATAGGTTTAAAAAATATAGCTGGAATCTATTAAAGCTGATGAGAGTTTTAGCATAAATCAGGAATAAGCATCCAAGAAATATATAAAAGCCTTGAGCCCTTTTTAAATTTCCGCCCTTTGACCAAGATAACCAGGGCTATTTTCCTGCCATTTTGAAGCAGACAGCATAAAATCTATTTTAAAATCAAAATTTCAAATTCTGAAATACCTCCCTTAACTAGTTCTCCTGTAGTTTTCATACATGTATTTGATACTAGTAAAAAGTAAATAAATAAATAAATCCGAGCCCTTGATTTTCAGAATAAATTATAGAAGGATGCTTGGATTTTCTGAAAGAAATACTTTAATTTAAAACTGTAGAAAAACATTGTGTTGTATATAACTGCTCTCTAAATCTCACTTGGCATAATGTTCTGACCAAGGCTTTCTGACACAGTAACAATCACACGCTGTTGCCAAAACCCCTTTTTAAATTTCAACAGCTGTGACTTATATGCATTCGTAACCCGTAATAAATCCCAAACAATTTATGAATAGTCCAACAGAAGTCTGTCGCAGTCTTTCAGGATAAGGCTGATAAGCACCATCTTTATTTCCCTTGAAATGCTGCCAACGACTAAATTGCCAATTAGCTGTATAAGGCCAAATGGAGCACAAAGCCAACATGGAGCTTCAGAATTGAAATCAACCAGAACGAACAAAGTTGCTTCCTGCAAAGGCTCATGTCCCTTTGCTCCTTCTTTATTTCTTGTGGAAGGGGCCAATCATCTCCAAGCCTTACTCCCAAGTCGCCCCTTTTGTCTTAACTGTTCTTGCCTTCTAGCAGCTCTGCGCAAGCACACACTGGGAACAGGCTTCCCCTGTTCCTCTGCCTCACTGATGTCAGATTCTGGAGGCTCCAGAGTCAGCACACAACTCTCAGATGACCCTGGCCCCATCTCTGTGTTGGACTCTGATCCCATGTTTGATTTCTCCCCAGACTCCAGGACTGGCCCATGTTCCTCCCCACTGTCGACTCTGCTGCCAGCTCTGCAGGCCATCAGTGGACCAGAACACATAATTCTCATTCAAGAAAATGTTTAAAGTCATGTTACACATATGATATAGAGATATATGCAAAGACGCCTTGGTTCCTATGATTAATTCTATTCTAACAGTCACAACTCTCTTCACCTTGCCCTATTTTATTTTGCTGTTATAGTGAGTTTGGGCAGCTTGCTCTAGATGTGTTAGATAATGCATTCAAACAAAATGAGCAGATGGCCATGAAGCTGTTGACATATGAGTTGAAGAACTGGAGTAACTCAACATGTCTGAAACTGGCTGTGTCAGTGGGTTTGAGACCTTTTGTGTCTCACACATGCACCCAGATGCTGTTGACTGATATGTGGATGGGGCGTCTAAAAATGAGAAAGAATTCCTGGTTTAAGGTAAACAATTTATTCTTTATCTAAACCAAATTTCTTCTGCTTTGGGCTACACAGTTGGAGATGCTTAGACTGGAAATATATGAAGGTTTCCCTCATTTTAGTTCAGTGATTTTAGTTTCAAGAGAGAAAGCCCTGTTTGCTGAGGTAATCTCATTATATTGTTCTCTTATCCTGGTCTTTTCAAAGACGTTATTAAGAAATTAACTGCCCCATTACAATTTTTATTCTGTTGACCCTCTTTTTCTGTTTGACTGTCAATCACTGTCAATTACCTAACCGTTTTCCAACGTAATAGCTGCTAAAGCTTAATCATTTTCATACATCTTGGTCAGTGTCAGAATATGAGGAAAATTAATTTTTTAAACACCACTACAGTTGTAGATGACCTGTTTCATTCATGGATGAAATGAAAGCAACATCATTGGGAAACCCAATATTTTTTTAAAAATATTTCCAGGATATGTTTGTACCAATGCAAGATAAGGAAAGTTTTTGTCAGTTTCATAATTTTGATCCTGTGAATAATGCAGTAAAATTGGATTCCGGGACAATCACAAATCCAATATTGCATTATTTTGTTGTACCTGAATAGTACATAGTTCATCAATTATGATTCTTGACTCTTGACGAATGTATCTTTTCTTTTATGTATACTGAGAGTATTTGCACCAAGATAAATCCCTTGTGTGTCCAACCACACTTGGCCAATAAAGAATTCTATTCTATTCTATTCCATTCTATTCTATTCTATTCTATTCTATTCTATTCTATTCTATTCTATTCTATTCTATTCTATTCTATTCTATTTCATGGCCACATACAATTACTGGATTGGAGAACTACAGTATGTAACTGTGTGAGTTCTGAACAGACGGTGAGAAACAGTAAGTGGATGTCCCCAGAGGAACTACCTGAAACATCTATACATACATCTATCCAAGGGTGGAAAACTATGGCCCCTTTATGACCCATCAACTTTAATGACCAGAACCATTGACCCATCTATACTGATTCAAGAATTCTGGGAGTTGAAGTCCACAAGTTGTAAAGGGGTCATAATTGCCTACATCTATGCGTATTTTTTCAGATTCTGGTAACACCAGGTGTCTTAAATGTCAGTGTCTGATGAACTGACAAAAATGCAGGAGAAAAACTGCACGTAATTTATCTGACACAACAAACAAATGAGAACTTTGTGATAACTTATAAGGCCCTCTTTCCTGTTTCTCAAACCCTGAATTGTTGGTTATCTCTTTAAAAGCATTTCCTCCTTGGATTATGGGTAGGGGAAGGAATGGACTCTGTACTCTTTTAATACAGGACTCATTTATGTTTCTTAGTTTTGCAGAAGCCCTTGCCTCTGCTGCCAAAATAAATATAGATTATCATACTCCTACATTTGATTGTTTCATAGCAATTTTATTTTTTAGAAGAAAATTTTATTGGATTTTTTTTCCATTAAAAAGTGGAAACACTAATAAAAAAGTAATTAAGATAAGAAAAAGAAAAAAAATGCAGAAAGAAAGAAAAAGAAATATAAGGACGTGACAGTTTTCTTTTTACAACAGTATAAATATAAATTCAAATTGACCACTTTTTCTAAAGTTTATTCTATTAATTCATTTGTTTTATTTTTTTTTGTATCCTGCCTTTACTTTTACAAACAACTCAAGGCTGCAGATATATGCAACATACCTTTCTCCTCCTATTTTCCACACAACAACAATCCTGTGAGATGGGCTGGGCTGAGAAGGGGTGGGTGGGAAGGAGAGATAGATTGGCCCAAGATCATTTAGTCATTTCATGGCTGTGGTGAACTTGAACTCAAGTTCTCCTGGTTCTAGCCGGTGCCTTAACCAATAGATGAAACTAGCTTTCAAGATTACTTTCATTTCTTCTATTACCTATTTTTTCCAATCCTCAAACCCATGTATGTCAGTAATGGTCACTTGCTTACTTCCATATGTAGTAAGAACACATAAAACAATTTTATTTCCTAATCATGGAGTACATTTGCCAGCTCTATTTTTGTGAATGTATTTGACACATGTAACACTACTCATTGAGAACTGCATTGGTTGCCTGTATGTTTCCGGGTGCTAGTTATCACCTATAAAGCCCTTCATGGGTTGGAACTGGGTTTCTTAAGGGAAGTCTTCTCCCAGTTGTTTCTACCAGTTCAATTATCATGTTGTAGTTCCCCTCAGCTAAGGACTAGTGACAACCAGGAAATGTGCCATCTATGTTACAGCCCTTCCCTTCTGGAATAGTCTCCCTTCAGATATCAGGTTTACCTCAACCCTGTTGGGCTTTTGTAAGGCCATGAAGACTTGGTTGTGTGTATTTTGCATTATTGTAATAGTTTAATTGTTTTTATGTTTTATGATGTGTGCCAGTCAGTCACTTGCTGAGATGGATGGCCATAGAAAGTAAATAAATAAATAACTAAAGATAAACCATTTTTGTGTTTGACGCACACACATACATCTTTAAAATACATAATATATTTATATATAAAGCATAAATATATATTTTAAAGTGTTTTTTGAATTGTTTTTACCTCTATAAATGACCATAAAAAAGGCCTGCAAGTCTGATGGTTGGTATAAAAATCTAAATAAAACAAATAAAGCCCAAGATAGGCACCCATAAATCAGTTGATTGGAATCAAAGTGCACTGATATAAAACCGTTTATGGAACTGCAGCACGATGGGCACTGCACATACTCCTGGAGAGAGAGCGTCCATAACAGAAAACCTTATCATATGAACAAAGCTTTTCCTCCAACCCAGGTAGGAAATGTCCAGCCTCCAGACCAATCAGGATTGCAAGGAGGGCAAAACTCTGCTGTCCCTCCAACCATGGCTATAATCCAGAATGATGGATCCCTATGACTGATATTTTAAATGTGATTTTTGCAATCAGGTGAATTTAACTGAGCTGTGATCGGATTAGCTTCAGTGCAAAAATATTGCATTAGACTAGCCAAGTTAATCTTTGGCAAGTTTAAGATGCCAAGATGTCAGGATTGGATTTGCTTTTTGAAACCTTCTCTGCAGTTATTGCCCAATAACAACTATTGCTGTCTAATGTTAAGTAAGAATAAAAAAAACACCCATTCATAGTAAAAATTTGATGCTCTTTTAGGTGATTCTAAGTATTCTTCTACCTCCCACCATCTTGATGCTGGACTTTAAAAGCAAGGCTGAAATGTCCCATGTCCCCCAGCCCCAGGAGCCCCACCAATTCACATGGTACCATGGTGATCCCAACACCACCAGTGGAAAAGATAACTTATCATTGGTTAGTATGTAAACCAGGTTTGGATTTCATTTTATTGGATGGAATAAAAGCAGACTTTTTTTGTCAGGAAATGTTCTGATCTAAATATTGTGTCAGAAGAAAAATCTAAAGCTTACGAAGTTTTAGGGGCAGGTTTATATATTAATAAAGGAGAAGTGTCGGTCACATGCTTCGCATATTCTAAGTGCCATAATTGAATAACTATGTGTGCCACAGATGTGATAAATAAATACAAGGCAGATAGCATGGTCCTTGAATAATGACCACAACAAAGCTCAAAATTTCTGTGGCTAAGCAAGAAAGTTTTTAGGTGAATTTTGCCACATTTTATTCCTTTTTTTTTACCACAATTGTTAAATGATTCACTACATTTGTTAAGTTAGTAATATGTGTGTTAAGTGGCTTCCCCATTAGCCTTGCTTGTCAAAAAGTGATTCAAAAAAGTGATCACATGACCTTGGGCAATGCAATCATCCAAAATATCAGTCAGTTGCCAAGCATCCAAATTTTGATCACATGACCGTGGGGACGCTGAAACAGTCATAAGTGTGAAAAAAAGGTCCTAAGTCACTTTTGTCAGTAGTGTTATAACTTCAGATGGTCACTAAATGAACTGTTATAAGTCGAGGACTATCTGTACATAGCTTTTTCCACTGCATTTAGATATCCTTTTTTCTGCTAGGAAATTCACAGCACAATTTTGTTATTATTCCAACAGTTTCTTTTCTTTTCCACTTTTTCACCTCTTGAAAAAAGCAAAGCAGCTTTATTCTGTCTTCGATATATCATTAGTATGACACAAGTACACCCAAGCTCATTTTTTTACCAAAAACTGAGGTTTTAGAATAATTTTATTCAAAATGACAATTGCAACAATAAACATGAATACAAATGGGAAAAAAAGGATAGATAAAAGGTAAAAGAAAAGAATGAAAATAAAAAATAGAAAGAAAAAAAATATAAGACTATGGTAAAGAAAAAGAAAAGAAATATATAAAGAAATAGCTTTCCCCAACGAAAACAACTTTGTATATCCCACTTACTTTTTTAAGGGGCAATCTCTGAAGGTGATTAGAAGCAAAGTATGTGAACCAAGTGTCTTTTCAAAGGTTGAACAGTGATTTGAGCAAAAGGCTATTCCCTCATGTTTTAGAGCAGGGGTCTCCAACCTTTGCAACTTTGCTGGCTGGGGAATTCTGAGAGTTGAAGTCCCCCAGGCGTAAAGCTGCCAAGGTTGGAGACCCCTGTTTTAAATCTCTAAACTCACTGTGGACTGCTTTCTTGCAGTTTCCTAATGAAGAGAGGAATTATAAAGAGCTAGTCTGCTTATTGGGTTTTCTTTTGACCGCAGCTGTAGGTTCCGTTTTTAGCAAAGCTTGCCTTCACTTTGCCATTTCTTCCTCAGAAGTCCCAAACCAAGCATATTCACGCCAGTCTATGCAAGTTGGATCTATAGAGACTACTTTGCAAGCCAACATAATGTTGCCTGCATCCCACCAATTCAGAAATACTTACAGTGGATTGATTTAATCAGAATATTTGCTTATTTACATATACTGGAATTCATTTATTTAGTTGGATGGCAACTAATTTAAACATTTCCTTTTTTAAAAAAGAACAATTATGATTTTGAGAAAGAGGTTGAGAAGCAAGCTGAAAAACCGACTTACCCCAACAACAATGAACCACAAAGCCTTCTTGGAACAAGGAAGATCTATGAATTCTACAACGCCCCTATTGTCAAGTTCTGGTTCCATACGGTCAGTTATTGATGTTACACTGAACGTTTTACCAAAATGTGTATCAATAACTCAATCCCTCTGCACGCCACTGAAACAGACCTATTCATGAGAGAGAAGAAGAATGTGGCATTTTAAGTAGTTACTTGGTTGAATTTTATTTTACTTATTTATTTAGATTTTCTAATAGCCAAATATATTGCAGAATGATCTTATTTGAAATAATGATGTGGAGTTTATTGTCCTGAGAATGTTGCATTGATAAGACAATGAGATTACTAAATATAAACCTGCATATTTAACTGACTGATTTAACTGACTGATTTAACTGACTGATACTATATTTACAATTCAATCTCTCAAAATAGCAGAGTTCTATGGGCTTACTTTGTGATGATGTAAACTATTAGTTGCTCATTTTTGTCACAGCTGTCAATCATAAAATGTCTATTGTATATTTGCTAGATGGCCTATTTAATCTTTCTCATGCTGTTTACTTACACAATCTTGGTGAAGATGAAACCAACCCCCAGTGCTCAGGAATGGCTTGTGATCATCTACATTTTTACTACCTCCATTGAGAAAGTCAGAGAGGTATGCCCTTGATTTAATAATCCTAGCATTATTGCTGTAGTTAATTCTTACATACAAATACATCCAGATATGTGTACAAATCAAATTGTACAAATTATTTGATTGACAAATCAAATAAATAAATAAATAAATTACAGGTAGTCCTTGATTTACAACCACAATTGAGCCCAAAATTTCTGTTGCTGAACAAGACAATGTTTAAGTGAGTTTTGCCCCATTTTATGACTTTTTTTTGCCACATTTGTTAAGTGAATCACTGCTTTTTTAAAGTTAGTAACATGTTTGTTAAGTGAACCTGGTTGCCCCATTGACTTTGCTTGTCAGAAGGTCCCATAAGGGGATCACATGACCCCAGGACACTGCAACCATCATAAATATGGGTTAGTTGCCAAGAATCTGAATTTTGATCACATCACCATGGGGATGCTGAAAAGGTCATGTGTGAAAAACAATCATAAGTCACTTTTTTCAGTGCCACTGTAATTTCGATCAGTCACTAAATGAATACTGTTGTAAGTCGAGGACTACCTATTTATGAAAGACAAACAAACCTGCAGGAATTTTCAATCAACTTATTTTTTTTCTTGAAAAATATTAATATTTCATATTTTGTAAAAACAAAACTGAACAGGAGTTGAAAATGTACATTGGGAATGCAGCCTTTCAGCAATCTATATTTTTGGGTGGGTGGGTGGAAGTACCAAATACATCTGAAAGCAGCACTTAACAGTTGTGGGCAGCATTTTTGTTTTGCAGTATTCCCCTTTCCCCCAATTTCACAGAACTGGGGCTGGCAGGGGCCATTTAGGAGTTTCAGCTTTTTGCTGATGCATTTGATCCTGGAACCAAACATTATACCTAATTATAATTAAAAATGCAATAGGTAAATATATACATTAAATAGAAATCAAATGTACTTTTTAAATGCTGCTTTTGCCTCTTTCTTTTCAGAATACAATCTTTACCATGCTATTTAAAGACCAAATTTTGCCCAAGAAATGCTGTGCTCTCCCTCCAAAAAAAAATCAGCTCTAAGTGTACAAATTAATTAAATGTTGTCTATGTGTATGCTAAAGATCTGGCTTTGATGGAGTGAGTAATTGAGAAGCTATTCCTTTATGAAACAGCATTGTGCACTGGTTCTTGGTTTACCAAGTACAATTTTGCAGAATGTTGTGTTTTACATATTAGTAATTTACCTCACAAGTGTTTGCTCTATGCAATGTGGAAACATTTGTCTCTTAGATTGTATCAAGTAATTGCTAACTCCTGACCAACATTTCTTTAAATATTAGTATCTTTTCTAATAGTATCCTTCAACTCATTGGGACTCGTACACCTGGAGTCATTCATATGTTTCCCTGTTTTTTGGGTTGGACGCAAACATTTTAATACCACTCCTTTACTTTGCAGCTTATCAGCACAATCGTAGCAATGTATAATTACTTCGTACTGTATAATGTGTTAAGAAATCTTTTTTATGACCTTCCAAAGTTTCCAGTTCATAACTTGCTTTGCTGAAAAAGCCCTGAAGGGCACTCTTATTGTTCCAGAAACCTCCACACACACTCCACCACTAATTTTCTCTTCTTGTAATGTCAAAAATTTATCCTTTCAGGATTGGCATGCCTTTTAAAAATGCCCACTAGTTGTTTTCTTCTTTTTGTATCAGAATAAAACTAATTCATTAATTCATACTTCACTTGACTAAAACTCTTTTGATTTCCCTTCTGCTTCCTTGGTTTTTTATTAATATCCTTTTATTAATATTTCATTTTGCCAGAGTGCTAGCTATATTTTAAATAGATGTATAATTATTGCAGCCCTACAGTCACTCTAATGAAACAGAAAACAAATAGACATAGAAATAGAAATATATTTCAGTTGGAAGGAGAGACAAAAATCTGATATTCAGGGTTTTTGAACAGCAGTTGATTGGGTAATTTGAGTAATTTCAATTGTTCCTTCTGCCAAAGTCCCCCAACCATTTTTCCAAAATTTCAGTGAGTGATTCTTTGCTACCATCTTGCCAATTAGCTACCCTAGTCACGTTTCCAAAGTTGCAAATATCTATTAATCATCAAGACAATTAGGTTTGACCAGGGATAATAATAACTTTTAGGAATCATAGACTATTTACGAAAAACATTTAAAGCAATAAGAACACAATTTTATTAACTTTTTGTTATTGTTGTTGCATAATCTGCATGCAAAATGAAGATTTTCCAGATCAAGGAACTTAATAGCCTGTTTTATCTGCAACCTCCATGCATGTGCTTCTGAACCTCAGACTATGAATACGTTCACAAGTAAGTTGTAAATTGAAAGTCTAAGATATGGGCTATATCTTAGACTTTCAATTTACAACTTACCTGTGAACATATTCATGGATCTTCATTTGAGCATAAGGTTTCTGTCTGCAGTTATTTTATTCTCATCATGAAGACAAGGAGCTGAGATGTTGTACAATACTAATTTTGTGACCTTGATATGTGGTTGATCAATAATCCTGACATGAGCCCATTGGAGTACTGGAGATGCTTCAGCTTCAATATGAATCTTCAATATGAAGATATTGTTATTTAGAGGTAAAACCCAGAGAGGAAAACATGAGCTAACTGCAAGTGTTACCATTTTATACATAAAGATACCCTCCATCAAAAGGTTATTAATTGCTCTGGTTCAATGAAGTGATAGGTAACTGATAAACCCTCCTAGAAGTTATGGAGGAAGATCTCATTAAAAAAATTAACTGGGAAAAATAAGGCATGAATGACGCAGGATTTCATCTATCATTGAGTCTATCATCTGCACCTCTATAACTGTCTGGTTTGCAACCCAACAGGACAGACACAGACTTCAGAGGATAATTAGGACTGCAGAAAAAACAATTACTATCAACCTGCCTTCAATCGAGGACCTGTATACTGCACGAGTCAAAAAGAGGGCTGTGAAAATATTTACAGACCCCTCACATCCCGGACCTAAACTGGTTCAACTCCTTCCCTCAAAATGACGCTATAGAGCACAGCACACCAGAACAACTAGACACAAGGACAGTTTTTTCCCAAACGCCATCACTCTGCTAAACAAATAATTCCTTCAACACTGTTCAACTATTTACAAAATGTGCACTACTATTACTATTAATCTTCTTACTCCTTATCACCCATCCTCTCCAACTTGTGACTGTATGGCTGTAACTTTGTCGCTTGTATCCTTGCGATTTATATTGACTGTTTCCTAGTATGATTTGATTGCTGATTGTACCCTATGACTATCATTAAGTGTTGTACGTTATAATTCTTGATTCTTAACAAATGTATCTTTTCTTTTATGTATACTGAGAGTATTTACACCAAGACAAATTCATTGTGTTTCCAATCACACTTGGCCAATAAAGTATTCTATTCTATTCTATAAAGAAAATTTCAAATTTCAAGAATTCAAAAGAAAGAACATAGACCAAATCCACAAAACCTGAGAAAAATGCATGAATAAATTAAATGACCTTTCCCCTACTGTCTGAAGAATAAAGAAGACACAAAATACAGTAATTAGACCTCCACTTACTATTCAAGTATTATTCAACTATTCAATAGAAAATCAAGGCAGCAAAAAATAGAATGCATCAGGTTGAAGAGATGGTCAATATGTGCCATTAGTGTATATTGTAACTCTCTGAGAAGACATCATTCCCTGATCTGAAGCAAATCTGAATCAGGATAAATTTTCTTGTTATCAGAAATAACCCATATTTGGCAAAACATTAACATTGAAAATAAACAAAGATCTTTCAAATTTTAAAATTGGCTTCGTTCTAAATTATCATTACAATTTAGCTTACATAAAAGATAAAAATATATCTATTTCAAGCTACTAATTCATAGTCATTAAAGCATTGTAATTTGTGCCTTATGGATGAAAAAATAAATAAAACTAATACTGACAATAATTATTTTGTTTCTGGAGAAAATTAATTTAATGTGTAAGTGTAATAGAGGTGTTGGACATTTGCTTTGTAATAATTCAGAAGTCAAATGGAGAATCATTTTTCCTTTGTCTAGTGTCACTCTATTGAGATACATAATTGTGTTTATATAGTGATGTTATAACAAATCATTCTGCCTTTAGATTTTTATTTCAGAGCCAAGCAAGTTCATCCAAAAGGTGAAAGTATGGATTTATGAATACTGGAATTTTACAGACTTTATTGCTATCATCCTGTTCATGACCGGATTTGGTTTGCGCTGGGCTAATCCTCCACTTCAAACAATAGGAAGGTTAATTTATTGTTTGGATATAATATTCTGGTATGCTCGACTTCTTGATTTTTTTGCTGTGAATCAGCATGCTGGCCCCTATCTGACAATGATAGGCAAAATGGTAAGTACTGTTGAATGCTATTAATAATAATTATAACCTTTTCTTAATGAGTCTTGGCTTTAATAGTTCTTTGGGTAGTCTAAGAACCATGAAACTATGAGTACTAGTCCTGCTTTAGGCATGAAAATCCAGCTGGATGACTTTGGGCCTGACATTCTCTCTCAGCCCAACTCACTTCACAGGGTTGTTGTTGTGACAAAAATAGGAGGCAGAAGGAGTATTTAGTATGTTTGCCACCTTGAGTTATTCATAAACAATAATAAAAGTGATATAAAAGTCAAATAAATAAAAAGTTGTGGCCACACAAGTCAATAGAACTGCAATACTGGACCAGAAATGTGCATGGAATAATAAAATGTGATGATGAAAGACACTTGACTTACTGTTTACAAGATATGTGTTGGTGGATGTTGCTCCCACTTGGAACCCCCTGTTAATATAATGAGGAATTTATTCAGCCTTAAGTATTAACTCAAGTATCTTGGTAATCTCTCTTACCCTGTCTCTCTTCCATTGTAAATCAGATCATAATCTACAATTAATCTTCAATTTATTCTTGACTTAAATCTTGGATTCATTGAGAATAACAAACCAGGCCTCCCAGTTTAAACAATATGCTAGACAAAGAATTCCTGATTTATTTGGTCATTTGAATGACTGGATTAAATGTTCAAATATGTTGGGAGAAGGATTTATGAAAAGCTCATTAATTTGATTGGAAATAGATAATAAATCATGCTATTATTAGCATGATTAGAATATTATTATTCATGCTTTTTGAACAATTGGCAACCCTGTATCTTGTAAGATGCCTTTAAATCATTTATTAATAGATTGCACAATCAGGTTTATTAAAAGCAACAACAGAGACTGTCTTTTCTTTAAAATTCTTACTACTATGATAGTTTGTTTTGTTTTTCATTACAGACAGCAAATATGTTTTATATTGTAATTATGATGGCCATAGTGCTATTAAGTTTTGGCGTTGCACGAAAAGCCATACTTTCTCCAAATGAGCAGCCATCATGGACTCTTGCACGAGATATTGTATTTCAGCCATATTGGATGATATTTGGTGAGGTATATGCGGGAGAAATTGATGGTATGTCTGGTGTTGTTGAAGTGTTGCATTTAAATTTCATGTAAATGAAATCACCTTCATGTAAATCTTCTATTTACATTTATTAGTTTAATTGTTTTTAATAGATTTATAGTCAGTATGCTTTAATAGTAGATTTTTCTGTATGCCGCCCAGACTCACTTCTTGTAAAATACAAATTGGACAAATAAAACAAATAAATGCATAGCTTACTTATTAACACAGCCATTTATTACGTGGCTAATAATAATGAATAGTGGAAAATGTTTGCCTTAATTGTGCTTTATAACCTGTGATACAAATGAAGCATAATTTCATCATTCTCCAATTTCACCGCAATGAAAAGCTCCAATATGTGGATAAATTAGGGATGGGATGTTTCTGGTTCTATAGAACTGGTAGCTGTGAAGAATAGCCGACACTGAATTGGTTCGGTTTTTGGCCCACCCACCTGCCTGGGCTCTAGGCTGTCATTTATTCCCTGCTTTTCCCTCCTCAGCTGCTTTGCATGGCACAGCTGACATTGAAAAAGCAGGAAATAAGAGGATTTTCAAACGCTGCACACCCACGCAGTGCTTGTCAGCTGTCCAGGCGGCACAGCTGATAATTTCTTGCAAACGCTGCACACACACATGTTATGATTGTCCACAGTTCGGAGAACTGGCAAATCGCTCCATTGGCTGGCCCTTCCCCTACCTGCCCACTCACTCCTTACCTGGCATGCGAGCCATCCAACTTGCCTGGTTTGGTAAGTTGCTATTTTTCCTTTTTTTCCTGATCATCAGCTGTTCTGCTCTGCCAGGAGATTTAGATTAGCTAGAAAGCAAGAAATCCTTGGATTTCTTGCTTTCTAGCTAATCTAAAAGCAGAGCCAAATCCTCCTTAGGACTGAAGCTTTTACTTTTCAGTGCAGGCTTAGGTAGCTGATTGCAGATAGATAGATCTCTAAGTGAATGTGTGATTCTATAAGCAACTCAATCTTCCTGGCTGCTTTGCCTGCTTTTGGGTAAAAGTTGCTCTTTTTTGTAAAAAAAATCAATATTTACATAAATATTTATAATATTTACATACAAGCCATGCCCACCCAGTCACATGACCACCAAGCCACACCCACAAATTAGGCCACACCCACAGAACCAGTTGTTAAGAAATTTGAACCCCTGGGATAACCAATAAAATATACCCCTTTTCCCCATCCTTTCTCACTTTGATGATTGACTTTCCCAGTGGGAGTCTGTCTTAAACTCTTAAAATTAAGGGAAGAGAGAAAGATAGGCTAGATGACTAGATGATTAGGTAGATGATTAGATGTCTTAGATTGCACTATGCCTTAAATATACTATATTTATATATACTGTATATACTATATAATTATATACTATAATCTCTAGTGAGGTTGTAGTTCAATAATTTTCAGTGCTTTTAGCCACTGCTCTGACTTTATAACCTTCATAATATAGAATAGACATTATGAGATATATGTGTTTTTCTAAGAACTCTGTCCTCTTGTCAGGTGTCACTAAATTCTGTAAATATGTAATTTGTCTTTCATTATGAAAAAATAAAAGAAATAATTATACAGAAAATGGTTGGAAATAATTCATTTATGGCTAATTCACTACCATCAAATTGATTAAACTTCATTATTTGGTTTCAACTGGCTGGAGCACTTAATTCATGAATGGATGTATCATTATCTTAGTATTCACAAACCAGATTTATACAGTTTATTTTATATTTTTTTCAGCTTGTGAATTAGATGAAAACTGTCCTCCAGGTTCATTCCTCACCCCATTTCTTCAAGCAGTGTACCTCTTTGTACAATACATCATTATGGTCAATCTACTTATTGCTTTCTTCAAGTAAGTATTGCTTTCTTCTATCCCTATCTTGATAATTTTAAGAAATTTTAGAATTAAAGTTCCAAAAAGAAAATTTGGGGGAGTATAGTCCAGACATACCTAGGGTCATACCTAGGGTAATACGTAGGGTATTAACATTTATGTTTTATTGTTATTATTGGTAGTATATCTAGTGTCAACCCTGAAACTGACCTGACTGGTCACTGGAGCCATATTGGAGCTTCAATGTTGCCACACTGGAGCTGAGGTATGGGGAAGGGAGATTAGAGATAGAGAGGTTTGTGTAGCCAAAATAAAATACTTTCTCTTGAGAACTAAGGACACTCTCACACCTGGATCAGGGAAGAAGGAGGGAGGTATCCAGATGCTTAGGCAGCTTCTTGATTGGACCATGTGACTGATTGTTTGGAGTTTGAGGAACAACTTTCTCTTTTAACTAGGTGAAAAATGTTGGAAACTTTAAAGTCAGTTTTCACCAGATACGTGCCAAGATGATTTTTCCAATAAAGCGATCTTTTGAGGAATCTACCTGCTTCGGAGTTTTGCTTGCTATGGACCTATTACTTGGAACCCTGACATGTAGCTTACTCCATGTAGCTTTATTTTTACAGAAGTAAAAATCCACCTACTTCAGCTATAATATATAGATTCCAAGGCACAACTTAGGAGAAAAAGCACAATAAGTCCAAGGTTATGATCATGATTTTTTTCTTACTAGATGTTGTCTGTTCCTAACAAATGAATTCAACACTGAATGTTTTTTTTCAACAGATTCTTGCTTGCATGCTGCCTTTGTATCAGGGGTGGGATGCTACCAGTTCTGCCCAGTTCTATAGAACCGGTAGCTCTGAAGAGCAGCAGACACCGAACCAGTTCTGTGTTTGCTGCCGTTTGGCCCACCCGCCTGGGCTCTTACCTGTCCTTTATTTCCTGCTTTTTCAACCTTAGTTGCTTTGTGCGGCACAGCTGAGGGTGAAAAAGCAGGAAAAAAGAGGCTTTTCAAATGCTGCGCACCTGCACGCAGCGCTTTTCAGCTGTCCAGGCAGCACAGCTGATTTTTTTTTTTTACATGTGCGCGCAAAATATAGTCACCGAACCAGTAGTAACACCGGAAAATATAGTCACCGAACCAGTAGTAACACCGGTTGAATCCCGCCCCTGCTTTGTATAGATGTCTAGGATTTACCACTGGTGGGTAATGATCAGGCAGAAGATGAAAAGCAAACTCTTTATTTAAAAAAACCTTCATTTGGTGTTTTCCCTATTAGAGTCATACTTTTTTTCTTTCTGAGTTATATGGTACATGTCTCATTTGCAAAGGAACAATCAAATGATTGGTAAAAACATTATGAATATTATCACCATTTATGTTTTTTAAAGGAATGAAGGTTGATTTTCAACCACAATAGAGTCCTAACTTTTTCTTGCTAAGCGAGATATTAGTTAAGTGGCTTTTACCCCATTTTGTGCCTTTTCCTGTTGGTTAGTCTCTTGCAGTTGTTAAGTGAATCACTGCAGTTAATGACACTGTTGTTAAGTGAATCTGACTGCCCCATTGACTTTTGCTTGTCAGAAGGTCACAGAAGGGGATCCACCTGACCCCGGGACACTGCAACCATCACAAATATGAGTCAGTTGACAAGTGTCTGAACTTTGATCATGTGGCACAGGGATACTGCAATGGTTGTAAGTCTGAAATCAGTCAGAAACAGGTGGTATTCAGTAGGTTCTGACCAGTTCTGGAGAACCAGTAGCGGAAATTTTGAGTAGTTCGGAGAACCGGCAAATACCACCTCTGACTTGCCCTGCCCCCATACCTTCTCTGCCTCCTGAGTCCCAGCTGATCGGCTGGGTCTTCTTCTTTGGTTGCCCTGCACAGGAGTACGGAGCTGGAAAGCAGGTTAGTGGGGTGGGGAGGGAATGGAGATTTTACAGTATCCTTCCCCTGACACACCCAGCAAGTCACACCCACAGAACCAGTAATAAAAAAATTGAATCCCACCACTGGTCAGAACTCACTTTTTAAAGTGCTGTTGTAACTCTGGTTACTAAACAAGCTGTTGCGTGTCGAAGACTACCTGTATTTCTTCTTGTTTCCCAATGCAAGTGCTCTCTAACATAAATATGATGTAATATGTCAATGGTTATAAAGTTTGTGGTTTGTAAAGTGGCCATACGATCCACCCTCTGCCTTTCTTTCTTAATCCGCAGTAATGTTTATTTTGATATGAAGTCTATGTCAAACAAACTCTGGAAATACAACCGTTACCGCTATATCATGACATACCATGATAAGCCATGGCTGCCCCCACCTTTCATCATATTGAGCCACATTGGCATTGCGCTAAATTGCCTTTGCAACCGCCGGTTCCCAAGTGAAATGGATCAAGAGGAGAAGGAGCATGTTGAACTCAGTAAGCAGAGTCTATCTACCTTTAGATTTCTTATACAAGGACCAAATATATATGTCATTAAAAAAAGGACCATAATGGCATTCCAATTGATAATTGTGTGCTTATACGTATAGTCAAATAAGAACTTAAATTCTCTTTAAATGGGTGTCTTTAAATTCAGAACTCGAGAAGTTATGCTGCTCTTTTTTATTATTCCTTCTTCCTTGAATGTGTAAGCGGGCAGCAGAATTCTAAAAATAAAGTTTATTTATGTATTTGTTGTAATCATTGTTGGCACAATGTGAAAGAACAAGATACAATGAACAATAAATGAATGAATAAGGTGGAAAATTTGACCAACTAATACCACACTTGCAAATATATGCCACATCAAACAAGAAGTATAAAGCAAAGAACAACCAAGGAGAAGAAACCAGGAAGAAGAAAATAAGACCTGGGAGAAAAGCCAGCTCTTTAAGGACTTCCAGAATGTCATCAAGATCTTCTAAGTGAGGGAATTTCATTGCACAGAGCAGTTCTTCCTCTCCACCGCCTAGCACCCATGTGGGTTTTTTGGGATGTGTGTGTGCAATTCCAAAGAAGAATTCACAGGTTATGATTACAATCAGCATCCTAGTGCCAAGTGAAAGGTGTACATCATGTTCAGTTATTTCTAATCAAGTTGAGTTGTAGCTATACCATTCAGTTGATAAAACATGCTGTGTTCCAGAGAGGTGGGGTCCTTGGTGCTCTCTGAGCTTGGTTTTCTTGTGGACATTTAATTACCAAACTAGATAACATCATAAGTGTATACTGTTGATATTAGCTGGTTTGGTAATTAAACGTCTGCAAGAAAACCACCAAGCTTAGAGAGCACCAAGGGCCTTACAGTTACATCCTGGGCTACAAATATTATGTCCTATTGATTCCAGAGAGACCCTGTAATGATAAAACTAATTTTATCATAATCTCTGATCATGAACTAGATTGTTTAGAAGGGAATGCTATGGCTTCCAGAATATGTTGAACAACTTTTGTTCATGCAAACTATCAACTGGTAAAACCATTATATTACTTTTCCCCCTTGAGTTTACTTCTGCCTTCTTTAAGGAGGGCTCCTTTATATGCAGGAAAGAAAATAACTTTTTTTTCAATATCATCCGTTATTTAACAAAATATGAGGAATAGACTATATGTGATGTTTACATAGATGTGTGTGTGTGGTGTGTATAAGATGAATGGAAATTACAATGAAAAGGATTTTATTTATTATATTTTATTTTATTCTGGATGACACACAATATAATAAACAATAAAATACAATACAGAACAAAACAAGATGGCATCCAGTCATTGTATGCAAATAGACAAACATATCCAACCAGGGCTCTATCCATCTTAATCAAAGGCCTGAAAGACCAACTTATATCTTCAGATGTCATTGTCTCAAGTTTCATTTTATCACTCCCTATCAGCAGTTAATCTAC